TCTGTAAATATTTGTAAAAAAAAACACATTCCACTTGTGTAACACTCAAGGAATTGAACAAATATTTTAAGAATTTATATCATTGTCTGAAAGAAAATCTCAACTTTTCAGTCGCAAGAATTTCTAGTTTAAGAATTCATAAACTCATATCGAGTAAACTCATTTTCGAGTACCGGGCAAGACTTTCCCAATCGGATTTGAATTTTTGATGACTTTGACCGAAATATGAACAACGAAAATTATTATTCACAATGGACACAGCTGTGCGTCTAATTTGGTATTCGAATCAGAGAAGGAATTTCATTTCCTATGACCAAAAATTGGGTAAAAGGGAGAAAATCAATTGACCATCGATACCCAAGAACTCTCTTCTGAAGTAGTTGGCCAGTTGGCCATTTCTAAAATAGTAGCTTCGGGTTTTGTCCACACTACACGATGATGATGGTCTATTAATCTCGGAATGCTGCTTCTGCAATGTCTGTTCTTGTGTCCATCAAAGATAAATTGCTAGAATTTGGAGGCTTTCACCAAGAGTTTTTTAAGAAAAATCCAAAATCTGGTCTTTCTACAGAGACAAAAGAGCTTAGTTAGTCATCGCTCTTTTGTCAGTCAGCCAATTAGTTAGTTAGAGCTATGCATTTTTCGTCCGTAAAGGTTAAAAAGAGAAGATGCGCAGGATGCCAAGGACACTCACCACACTCCACCTTAAAGTCCCTGGCAAACAGCAATTTCAATTAGTTCAATTACACAACTGCAACAGGAGACCAACCAAGTCGAGGGTGTAATACACCCCAGTGAACGAAGGCAAACAACCCTTTACTTTTTTGCCACCACCACCACCGCCTCTCTTGCGGTACATCGATGGCAACTTTTTGCAATTAAAACTTGAAACGTGAAAGACAATAAAAATCAATTATCTTTAATAAAAGGCCAGCGACCCATCAGAAACTCAGCAGCTGGTCAGCGAAAGGTAAAACGATCGCCAAAAATGTAACACTGATACGAGCCAAAAACCAAAAATTGAAGATGAATACCAACCCCGAGAATTGCCATTGCATTTAATTAAGAACTTGATTTGACGTGGGGAAAGGGTATAGGGAAATGCACTTTGACCGTTGCATCCGTTCCATTAGACAGGACCCGTTTTTTGCAGGTTCAAAATCTAGCCTAGGGTTTGGGTTTTCATTTTTGGGGTTGCATGCGGGTTTTTGGCCTCGAGACACGCACCACCAAAAATGCTTTCTGATTTTCATTTTCTATTTTTTTTTTTTTTTGTTGGTTTGTTTTTTGAATACATCATTGGCAACTGGAGTGGAGAGTAGAGTGAAGTCGAGTGGAGTGGCTGCCAAGGATGCATCGTCCGCTGGTCAGACTGCAGTCTGCAGTCTGCCTCCCTGCCTGCCTGCTCTATTTATAACTGTCTGGATGGATAGATGGATGGCTGGGAGGATGGGATGGATGTCGATGTGGATGTGGATGTGGAGGTTGCCGGTCTGGCTGGGCGGGGTCTGGATGCAGAATTTATTTGCCATGACCATGTCGGAGAGCGTGTGGATGTGGATTTTCGTAGCATGCTGCAGCATGCGTCACGCTGCCAGACGCATCGGCGGCTGTGAAAGTCGCGTTTTTGGTGACGATATGGCACAGCCAAACGCATTGCCCGCTGACCCTTCTGATCTACGAAAAAAAAAAGGATTGGGCAACGTGCGTCTGGGGGAAAGTGCAAATGACAGACGTGCATGCTGATGCTGATGATTTTATCAGATGCCAGACGAAATTTGGTGGCTTGCATATCGGATTTTCAGACGGGAGACGGAGTACCAAAAGCTCAACTCATCAGAAAATTGAAAATTCGTTGGGTAGGATCATTTTTCACGTTGAAGTGTAAACCGTAAGTACTCAGAATGTTTTTAAAATCGTATGAAATCTTATTTTTCGAATAGCTTTTCCTTTTACAAAGTTATATTAGGAAGCTCACAATCTAAAAGCCCTTACAAGCCATTACATAATGATTGAAACGGCAAAATCATTTGCATTTCTACACCTTCTAGAAAATATGTAAATATCTTAAAAACAATGTCCAACTTAAATGGAATTCGAACCAGTCCTTTCATAATAAACCTGGCCTGGTTTATTAAGTCTTTAAAGCACTCTTTTATTTTTCCAGGTCTTCATTTTAATGAGAATCTAAAGCTTGCTCTGACAACCGAAGAGGTATTGAAATTCTACACAGATACTTGTTAACATTCTATTAGATTTCCCTTTCGCTGCTTAGGGGCTTACCCCGTCATTAGTGGGTCAGAACAGCAAGAGCCAAGAGCTCCCACCAAGCCAGCCACCCTCTCCAGGGCTGACACATTGCCTGATCTCCCACTCACAGTTCAGTTCACCCTGCTTTTGGCGAAAGGGCAAGAACTAAATCGTTTAACCTGCCACACGACGAGTGGGCCAAAGTTCTTTGGCTTTGCTTCGTTCATGGGATTTAGCGCATCCGCCTACGAGTGCACTTAATCACATGGAAGAGCAGCAACCAACTGGCGGCCTGCTGCTCCTCCGCCTTTTGGGCACGTACGCAGCTCCAAGTTACAGAAACGCTTCGGTTTTATGGTATGGCTTGGGGTATGCGGTATGGAGGGGTTGAGTCCACAGGTATTCACAGCGAGAGCGTAAACGATGCCAAGTGGCAAGCGACAAACGGCTCCATCCAAGTCCGGCGGATTTTACGGAAAAGGACAGGCGACGAGCGCCAACTCTTCAAATGACGAGAAGATGCTGCTTCATGTGCTAATTGCGCTGTCAAGTCAAGTGTGTGCGACGAGCAGCAGCAACATCAGGACTAGCAACAGCAACATCAACAGACGGAAGCAACAGCTCAAAGGCCACCCACAAACAGAAATATATAAATAAATATATATAATTCATACATATATATGTCCCGATGAGCAGGCCATTAGGCGTTGTTTGAGCGCAGGCTAAGAGAAAAATTCTTGCATACTTTGCGCGGCCGCAAGAAGAGCATGGAACTTCGGTTTTACGCTCTCAACACTCTCTGGCATTTTCTCATTATCCGCCGGCAACACAACAAGAAGAATTTTCCGCCGAAATTAAGTAATATATATCTGTGCTAAGAATGCCTTACCAGCCCAGCCTAGGCCTGGCCAATGAATCAATAAACCATCGAAAACACAGCCTGTTTATCATGTTTCCCGGGCCTTTATTGACTGCTGCCTTTCGCATGGAGAATCAACATTTTTATCAAAACGAATGCAGATAAGCGCCGGCAAGTCGCCACCAGAAGCAGACGAACGAGAATTTCCCATACAGCAACTGCCACTGGGCGAAATCGATTTTTCCAGCCCTCGCCAAAAGCAACACAACAAGAGCAGCAACAATTGCTGTTGCTGCTGCTGATGTTGCTGCTGCTGCTGCTGTTGATGTTGCTGCTGCCGTTGCAATTGATGTTGCTGATGCTGCAGGCGGCGTGGGTGAGAACACAAGTTCGGGCTGTGGAAAATTACAATGGTTGCCGGCGGCAAGAGAAAGCTGCAAGCTAATTGCAATGCAAACTTTAATGCAGCTGTAAACATGCATTTACTCTTCAATATCGCAGTAATAATACTAATTAAAGGCCTTAAAATAGAAATAAAAATTACGCAACAAATCAAATAATTTCTTTTTTTCCAACTAACTCAAGTTAATCAAAGCAAAGATATTTATTTTGCAAATTTAATAGCATTTTAAAGGGAAAACTCATTCGATTTGCTAAGTAGGAACTTCCAGAAGATACATTAAATCATAAAAGTTAAAAAACAAAAATGCTTAAGGGTCTTAGCTTAAGTTCCTTGTTATGAAGTATTAATGAAATCGTAAAGAAAACTTTTACACAAAACGTGAGCGGAATATAAATGCTCGATTTTCCCCGTTACGGAATGGATTGGTTTTTTCGGGGAAGTATAAACAAAACAACCTTTTGTTTTGCTGTGAAATAAAACAATTCCGAACCTCTATTTGAAAAGCTATCTATGCTTTGATTTTTCATTTGATTTCCAGCAATATTCAATGGTAAAAAACTAAATCAACTTCTGATAAAACAACACGATATGGTGGACAGCATGGCAATCGCGACTACTCGATAAGCTCTATGCAATTCGGCCACTTCAACCCCCAATTCGGAAAACTTTATCAGAATCAGCGCAGCAACTACCACCAACACCATCACCACCACCACGGATTTATCAGCAAGGCCAGGCGCCCAGATTGCCCATGGGCCACCCATCGAAAAAAAACCCATACAAGGGATCAGGAAGCGGGAAAAGGTGAGGTGGTAAGGGTGCTGATTGAACGGGTGCTGTGTATCCCCTTAGCTGAGCGAATGCCCAAAAACACGCACTAAAACAGGAATCGCATCTGATAAGGGTGGCTACAGTGGATCTCCTAACCAAAAATAAAGGTGGGATCTGCACTGGGAAAATAGCTATAATTCCATTTATTTAGTTCATAAAATTATACAGAACGTTCTTTACTTATTTTGATTTATTCCTAAATAGTTTTTGTAACAAGAGTCTAATAAAGATCAATATTAACTATAAATATAATCTTAAATGATCTTGTAGTATATAATAAACAGATGTTAAAAACGTATTATGGTTTAACTATTTGAAGAAAATATATATCTAAAAAATCTGCTAAAATTGATAACAATATCTAATAGTTTTAAGTTATCTGAGGTTAAAAATAAAAACATAAGCTGGTTAGACTATTTCAAAGATAATTTTGACAGTTTAAAATGTTAATTTGATAATTGAGTAGATGGCACAGAATTCTTAACCCTTTCAAAACAGAACATATAATCAGTTATCTCACTTAACAAATTTTAAATAAGACTGCTCTGTTATCATTTCAGCTATCAAATTCCGTTTACAACTTTTTATCGGCTTTGAATTCGAAAAAAATCCTGCTCTCCTGCAATTTAGTATATCGAATATCTAAATGGTACTCACCCTAGCATGCATGTGCACATCATTCTCCCCGGGCTGCTGGACTCCGGTACGGATCTTTTTGTTTTGCGGCCCCTCGGTGACGACTATGGTGGCCCCTCCTCCACCGGCGCCGCTGGCGCCACTGCCATTACTAGCTCCGTTGTAGGGCATTGTGGTCGCCGTTGCGAACTGGAGCGAAATCTCGGGGCTGATTAAAGTTTGTTGGTGTAGAATTTTGGCGGATTTTTGAGGCCTTAGCCCAGTGTTTGCGCGAAATATATATTCAATTTACGTGCGACGAAGCCGCGCGAATTTCGAGATCTTTTTTAGGTGGCGAAAGAACGCTTTTTAAAACCGCGCGCGCGATTTTATTGTTTGATACTCTTTCTTCCTTCTTTTTTTTGTGGCTAACACTCGAATCTCTTCAGCGAGAAATGAGTTGTAAATGTTTACTTTGTAATTGGTGTTGAATGTGGGATGTTTGGGTTGTAATATGTTTATATGATGTAGCTGTGTAGCTGTGGTCTCTTCTTATTTATTTACTCTTCGCCTCGCTTCGACTTCCTTCTTTGGCGCTGTGTATAAAACACTTTTCAACTTTTTATTGCACTTTTGATTTGCGTGATAAATTTTCCTGTTTCCTTTGGATGTTCTTGTGATTTGGAATTACCAGCTGCAAGACGAATAAAAAAGAGAGAACAAGCGGTGAGGTCTTTATTAATAAAAAGAAGTAAGTTAAAATGGGGGAAAAATAATTTCGTTGATCATTAAATCAGCAGGAGAAGCCTGGGCATTTCCAATTTCCTGCAATTCCCAGGATGCCACTTAAGCACGATTCGCAGCTTGTCATAAAAGTAATTTAAATGTTTTTGGGGCAATCAAGGGGAATTCAATTTATTCAAAATCCCACTTGTCGAAACATAACTCTTCTTATCGGATTGGTACTAAATTTACCCAAAACTTCCAGTAAAGTCTAATTATTTAAATTGGTTTTCGATGTCGTTTTGATTATATAATAGTAGAAGCAATGGAACTATCAATAAAAATTTGATAAATTATTTAAATTAAGGGAGCATCAAACCGCCCCATTAGCATGTCCAAAATTGAACCTAGGGTAGGTAATCAAGCCACCTATTAGCGGTAACACTAATTTATTGAGCTTGAAAAGAAAGTATTTCTGTTCAGAATCTAATTGGTTTTACTGTACGGCTTTCAACGGAAAATGACGAAATACAACAATTATATTTTTATAGGAAATACAAATAGCTCAGGTGGAAAAATATAACGAGAAATCTATAAGAATGACAAGCCAAAATGTGTTCTAATTGGAAAGGTAAAGCGATGGCATTAATCAAATGACGAAACAAAGGAAAATTCTGAAACAACCCTCGGAAACTTGTCAAAAACAGATGGAAAAGCAGCGAAAAGCGCCGGCGAATAACAAAGTGAAAAGGAAAACGAGGAAGTACGGAAGAAGGCATAGGGAATATGGCCGAAATGTCAGAAAGGAAGAAAGGGAAGAAGCAGTGAAAGAAGGTCGAAAGAGGGATGCAAAAACGGACTGAAGAAGGACTGTCAGAAAAGCGGAGAAAAAGAAGAAGTACTGTGAAAATCGCGTAAAAGTAAACTTGAAAAACTTTTTCGGCTCGTTTTGAGTACAACCCTTATGGAAAATGGAAAATGCCCCGCACACACAGACGCAAATACACGTATATATGTATAGAAAAGAGCCACACACAGACGGACGGCTGACTTTGTTTTGTTTGTGGGGGTGGATTTTTCATTAATGGAAACTGAACGGCTAAACTGAACGCTGAACTTTGTGACGTGCGCTTTTCTATTTTGTTTTCATATGCGAACGCGGCTGCGGCAATTGTTATTTCTCAGTTCGTTTTCATTTTTCGTTGCCCATTTTCGCTTACAAAATGGTGGAGCGCGGCAACAACAAATGCAATTCAAAGTAATATTAATTTCGAATGCACACACACAGATGAAACTAATTTCAATTTTGCAAATTGGAAATTTAGTTCTTCTTTTTAGTCAATTTGTCTTTCACTTGTCTGGTTTTTTTTTTTTTTTTTTTTTTTTTCAGAATTTAGTTTTTCAATCACATAGTTTAATTTTAAATAAAAAGAAATGTCTGCGAAAGAACCGCTAAGTTTGAGACTGAACTCTGACTGCGAAAGTGAACGACTGTGCACCTGTCAAAAGGAAAAATCAGACTGAATGACAGTTCGTCGGCAGCAAGATTGTCACCTCCTTTACTTACTCCTAAGGAAAACTCCGAAAAATACTTGGCAACACAGACGAACGCAGGCCCGCACGCACAGTAAGAAGAAGAAACACGAGAGCTGTGATGTGATAAAGTGAAAAATTTCTAACGTTCACAAAGGAGCTTTTCCGACTTGGATTTTCTCAGTTTTTCCACTTCGACGCCGAGCTGGCGAATGTCAGTCAAATGCAAGAAGTGGAAACCTGTGAGCGAAGAGAGCGAATCGCTAGAAAGAGATGGGTAGAGTGAGAGCAAGCAGTCAGGTAACGGGCGGCGCAGTGAGAGCAGCATTTCTCTAAGGGTTGCAAGGTGTCCAAAAAAGAGAGCGAATTAGAGAGGCAGAGAGTGAGAGCATTGCAACTGCAACTCTGCCACGCGCCTGTTTATCTCCCCCTCTCTCTTTTATTCTCTCTGCCAGCGGGAGGGAGATGGAACTATCTTTTTGCCTGGCCCTTTTGTGCTGAATTTTCGTGGGTGGCAAAGGAAAAATCTTCCGGTTGTTCTTATTCAACAAATGTTGTTTCTGCTTTTGCACACACACAGACACTGTTTTTTCAACACATGCACAGACACTAGCGCACTTGCTCACTTTCACCGTTAGCGCCAGCTTTTCTTTTTACCTGGCCTTTTTCGCTGCGCTTTTTGCACTTGTCTCGTTGTTTATTATTTATGCTTTTTCGCAGTCTTTTGGATTTTTTTATATTTTGTTGCTGACTCTTTTCAGTACACAAACAAAGCGCGACGGCGGGCAAGAGAGTGAGAGAGCGACAGAGACGGGGCGAGAGAGCGTCAGACACAAACAACAAACAAACAAATCGCTGCGTGAGGGGGAACGAGACAACGAGAATCGATAACCGTAGACAAGCGCGTGAAGAAGAGGCAAAATATCAACAACAACAACGACAAACGACGCCGCGGAAGTATTTAATTAAGCCAAAGTATTTAATTTAAGCGTACGTACATATATGTAAATATGTGTACGCAGAATGCACGGCACCCACACGAACGCACGTATTCATCAGCTTTTGTTGCTTTGTTGTTGTCGTCGCTTTTCTTTCAGCTACTTCTGCTGCTGCTACTGCTTCTTCTTCCTCTGTTTCTCTGTTATTTTTCTGTATTTTTCGCTACTAGCAAGTAATTTCCAACCGTGCACAAAGTTTTAGCTCGAAGCTCGAAGATTGTTTGAGGTTGCGAATGGCAATACACCGAACGCCAAGCAAAACCTCGGATACGTTTTTCTCTCATTCTGTCGACGTCGGCAGAGGCAGCGAAATTTTCTACCTCTCTGCGCTCTCTTACACTCTGTTAACCGCTTTTCTCAGTCCACGCACACTGTTAGGCCCATACAAATCGACATGCTAAGCGCTTTTCTCACTTCACGCATGCTGTAAGAGTTCTGTTAACCGCTGCAGTTGACTGAGAAAATGAGAGCAACGTTCGGCAACCGTTCGCGACAACGACGACGTCGCTGCCGCTGGACAGTGGTTACAGTCCCACGAACCGGTATTTAATTGTATTGTTATTTTTATTTATATGATTGACACACTGAAAATTGTTAAAATTTTTTGTTTTTATTATTAAAATTGGTTCTTACAATTATTTTGCAAAAATAATCTATTATTAAAATTTGAGTATACAGCACAATATATCTTGCATATATTTTTATATAATAAACCTATTTCAATAAAGACAAATACCATGAAATGTTGGCTTCCAGGTTGCGGGTCATGGTCACTGTGCGCTGCTTCCCGTTGTAATGAGAAAATGAGAACTGTATTATTTTTCGTTTTACTTTTATAAGAATGAGACAGATGTACATGCGGCCCAATGAGTGCGAGCGGCCCAGCAAGATTAAATGCGCCTGTAATGCGGCTCTCTCTTTACAGCCGCGCGCACCTTTCACAGAACCACTTTGGTGAAAGAGTTACAAACGAAGAGAAATCTTTTGCTCCCTTTTTGACCGCGCGCACCTCACACAGATACAAAAGCAACGAAGGCACACGCACACATCCAAGAAAAACGCAAGTGCCGGCAGAGCAGAGCGAGCTCTCGGTTTCTATCTGCGGACGTTGTAATGGGCAACTGCGAAACTCGGCAGCGCACAGTGGGCCACATTGGAGAATTCTAGTATCCTCTTTTATGATTTTATGAGTACATTTTTCATGTTAAAATATAATTGAAGATAAAAATAATACAGCAGTTATTATAATTATGAATTAAAAACTTTAAGCTTCGAAAATCTCATTTCTTAATTTGCTCAGAATACCTTACTTCCTTTTAAGAGTGTTTCATTGAGAAGAGTAAATAATAAGGCCTTTGTGCTCTTAAATTACGGTTTCTTACACAAGGCACAGCCAACAAAATTGTCGATATCGTTTACATGAACGATATTTATTAAGGAAATCAACAATTTATCATTTTTATTATTTAAACTAAAGATTTTTTTGTATATATTTACAGGCGATTAGCTGAGTCTGAAGCTGCTTTGATATTTACGATGATATTAATAATTTTGATACATAGATAAACATATATATATTATCCTTTTTTATTTCTAACCTTTTTAATAATAATTTAAGGGCCTTATTTCCTTGGCGTTCAGCTTAAAGTTTATTATTAAATTCATGAAGTGAGCAGTTAGGCTCAAACGTGGTCCGAGAAATTTCACCTTAAGCCCGTTATCACCCAATTCCTGGTACCCACCCACTTGTGCAAAGCCCACACATGACTTCCAGTGTCCAGGACGTGTTCCATGTTCGCTTAATGCCAAAGTGCAGCAGCAACAACAGTCAGCTGAATGGTAAACAACATAAACTATTTAGTCTATGTGCGTGTATGCTATTTGGGGGTGGGATGGGTGTGCATAATGGGTATCCACCGTAGCAGTAGTCGAAGGACCCAGAACCGTAACCACACAGCTTGGTAATGTTTGCGTCATAAAGTATGGATTAAACCGTATATAGTATTACTATGCATTCGCTTGTGTGCTTCCAGTTATCGAGGAACACCTTGCCTGCCGCACTTGTTGCAGTTCTCAACTGATTTTGAGATAATCTCCATATGGCGACCTTGCCACCATCTGCAGGAAATGGAGATAAGAGTAAGTTGTTTGTTATTAACTGGGAAATGGTTTAATAATTAATTATGTTCGAAAGAAGTTTTACTTTCCCGCCTAAAACTGTGATAGAAAATTTTAATTTTAGTGATTGCAGGCACGGGTGAAGGACAGAACACATCATCTTAAAATGCTTTATAAAATAAAGGATTTTCCTTAGATGAATTTCAGGTACAATTTCTTTAATTTATTTATACTATTAAATCATTGTGGATAATAAGTAATTTTTCGCTTAGACTGCGACTAATTAGCTAGAACTAATAAACAGCATAAGCAATATAAGCATTAGAGTTACATTTCGCAAGCCAAATGAAGTTGATCATACCGTTCCAACTTCTGGGAGTCATCCTACTCCTAACAACAGGATCCTCAGCGAAGTGTCCACCAGGACACTTAGCGATCATAGATGATTGCGTAATGATAAAGAATAAGATTGAGGTTAATGGACATACATTCGTATAACTGCCATGGAATAAATGTTTTCAATTAAAGTCTTATCGCGGATTAAATTCGCCAAAAACATTTCGCCCACTTTTCAACTCAAAAAGTAAGGTAAATCTGCTTAAGAGGGCGCTAAGTAAGTGGCCTGTTCTGGCTGGCAAGAACTTTCGCTCGACTGCTGGGTTGCATATTGCTTCCCACAACTTTAGTGGCTCCTTTAATGCCCACGCACGCAATGTGTCCCCCAGCAGGATGCATCCCGGGAGCAGAGAGAGACAGAGCTTCCATTTCTCGGAAGGCCGATAAGCCGACGCTATCAACGCCTTACATCCGCGCGTGTCTTGGCGTTGGGTTTTCCCTTTTGCCAAACTCCACTCCCCGCGAGATCCGCTCATCTCCTGGCCCACCCGCTTCCTGCATCCGCTTCCGCTGCATCTGCCGGAGCTTGCTATCCTGTTTTAGCCAGATTTACAACCATGCTACTTCTCGAATTCCGTTTCTGCACAGGGAAAAACACTTTGTATTGCTGTAATATAATCTTAAATAGTAGGTAAATAAGTGTGTTTTTAACTAAGTTATTTTTGTTAAGCTAAAATGTTAACCAAGCTGATAGTTTAAATTCTCTAAAATATCTCATGATATAATGTTTTATCGAATGTTGTCTAAAAGTATGCTACATATTTTGTTGATTGTTAATTGTTAAAACGGAAGAAAAATATGTTAAGCGCTTAACAGAGTAATGTTTTACATTACTTTTTAAAGCCATAACATAATATTAAAATGTAATCTTGCCTAAAAGTATGCCTAATTTTAATGTGTACCTGCCGGTCATGAACTTGAGAATTTCTGAAAGAAAATAACTTTGAAATATTTATAAAACGTAAATTAAATTTATCAATAAAATTTTTAACAAATTCCATTAAAACTTTGACTAATCAGTCATAATTTTGTCTCTGTGCAAATCAGAGTGTATGTGTTTATCTGCGGCCCCGCCGGAAAGTGAAATGCTTATGAAAGCGTCCGGCTTTCCCTTAGCCACCCTGCTATTTGACCTTCTTCGGCGCATTTGCCATGCAAAATTTAATATATACGAGTATAACCGTAAGTAAGCACGGCTCCCAGCTAATTTGCCAGCTGAAGAATGCTAGAGACCATCTAATGCAAGTCCCAGAGATATACGGGCTCGAGTGTGTGTGGGAATCCGCTTTTCCGGCTCTTAGTTCACACAGATACTACTAGCAGATACTAGGGCTTCCAAAAAAGATAAACAATGAAGTCTTGACCCAGTTGAGAGTTGCTTTTTGCGCCCTGCCCTTTGTCATCATCATCTGGCGTGGGTGGTGCCAAATCCACCAACTTTACATACAAAAACGGACGCTTACCGAAATTGAGACAGAAACCGGGGTTACGTGGTAAGGAGGCAACCTAACCCGATACATTTTCCTTACATTTTTTTCCTAACTCTTTTTGTTGCCCTTTTTTTTTTGGACTGGTTGATATGGGGCAAAGTGCAGTCAGACAGTCATTGGATCATTTGTCTTGGCATTGTTGCTTTTTCCTCTAGATTTCTTTTTCGGTCTTCGGTTTTTTCTTTCTGTCTTTTTTACATCAAGGGTTGAGCGACAATGCGGGTATTTCTTCAGGCATTTCAGTTCAAAGGGTCCAAGGCAGGAAGGATGTAATTTTGTAGATACTACCTATTACAGATATTACATATAAATTATTCAGAGTTTAAAATAAAATAAAGCCTTAAGGCCCTTCTTCTCGGGTTTAATTTTTAAAATGTTTATTTTAAAAAAAAGTGCTACAAATTTAGTTTGTTGCCTCTATGAAATGTAAACTTAAACTGCACTTATACTTTTTATTGGCAATAATTCACATCTTGATGATATTAAAAGAAGACCATCAAAATCGCATGTGTGCAGAAATTATTATTAAAAACATTACACATTTTCTGTTTAAGATTAGAATGCCTGTAAATTCATTCAAACTTTATTTTAAGGTGATTTTACAATGATTTTTAGTTGCATTCCTTTCCCTTAAAATAGTAACTAAACTAAAACGATATTGTAAAACTAAGAAAAGCCGTAAAATATTTCACTATTCCGTACTGAAACCGATAATAAACCAATAACTCTTAATTACATTTGTCATAATAAATGTATATGAAAAAAACACTCATTGCTCCATTTAAAATGCATCAATTTAGAGTTTTTGTCATCATCTTTTTGCTAGTGTCAATTGGCAGACAATGTATTAATTAACTCCTTTATAATCTGGCCGTAGGGTGCAGCAGTTTCCACAGACCGCCCAGTTTAAAGCATTTTCCTCCGAAATGATGCTCTCGAGCGGTCCACACAGAAACAAGGCCATCACATCGCACACATTTAGCTATGGGCAGGGTGCAAAAAAAAGAGAAAAATGCTGGAAAGCAAACAGAATCACTGCCCCCTGACTGGAGCTGAATGTTCAGAGCAAATGAAGGTGTCAAAATGACAAGCAGAGACAGCTGAAAAAAAAGGATACGAAGGATGCAGACACACACACACAGAGAGTCACATATACACTAAGAGATACAAGAGGAGTGGGTTGGACGTGCGATGGATGGATGGCCGCCCTTCTTTGTCGAACCGCCCCTTTCCGCCTTTTAGCCAGGCTAACTGTGTAAATGGCAAAGCGACAGCAGCATTTGCTAACTTTGCTGCAGCAGCAACAAAGGCCAAAGCACAGCCAGCCATCAGCTACAACAAATACTACATAAATGTATCTGTATCTATAGCTATATCTATCTAAGCGATGGCCGTGCATTGTATTGCAGTTACGTGCTCGATGGTCCAGCAAAATGGCGAAGCGAACAAAAATCTGTGAAACAAAATCAACAAAGAAGTCCTAGAAGAACAGCGGGGGTCCTCTCGTTTGGAAAATCTTGAATACACTTTTCGTATAAATACGGCAAAAGTTGCATGAGCAACGTGCTCTTTAAAATGGACAGAAAATTTAGAAAAATTTCAAGAATTTTTGGTTAAACTGAATTGAAGGATCGATGATTAGATAAATAAATTCCAAAAATCGGAATTGCAATCCATTCTTTAACATTTTTTATATAGAATTTCAATATTATTCACTCTCACCATAATCTCTTAACAAAAACATCAACCCTACAACTACAATCTAAGTTCTTCTAATAAACTAATAACGCAACGAAAAAGCCACAAGTTAGGGCATCGATGGCAGGGTAAAGCCAACAAAACAGCTTAAAGACTTTGGCAATGCCAACTGCTTACTCACTTGCCAAAATCGCAAAGAGGATTTAAGTTGTAGCCAAACTTTAAATGAGTTCAAGTAGATTTGGGCCTCCCCACCCGCTTTACCAGTTTTCCAGTTACGCCCCTTTCAGCCTCCACCCACCAATGGATGACTATACTTCGGAGGCTGATGAAGCGTAATGATGATGGCTTCGCCAGATTGATTGATTGATAGCTGAAGGATTGGTCGCGGGCGGAGCCCACTCAATTTGCACTTGAAACTTAAGCACGGCCGACTGCAAATGAATTTCTAAAAAGAAAGAATTTCATATTGCTCATACGCCGCGTCAGCCGTCGTGCGATGGATTATTTTTAGACCGCAAAACGATGCACATATATATTTGCACCCCCATATTTTGCCTATACGCATACCCTCCACTCCGCCCTCTTTTAGCACGACCAATTAATTTCGTTCAAATAATTATGAATGTTTGAGATTTGTTGTACAGTTTTTTTCGTCTATACATTTCTCATTGGGGCAACGAGCTCTTTTTTATGGCGGCCGTGAGCCGGAAGTGCAAGCGAAAAGTGTCAAAGCGCCAGCAAACTGGCAGTGCCACTGGCAAATGGCACATGCCACATGGCATACACGGCACATGAAAGATTCTCCCTCGACGGCGCCAGTTGCATTCGGAATGGATCAGTGGACGGGTGTGCATCGGGCGTTCGTCATACGCGCCTACTACAAGAGCAACGATTCCATCAGCTCCGCCCAGCGGCTGTTCAAGAAGCAGTTCAGCATTTACCAAACGCCGCCGACGAATGTGATCAAGTCCTGGCTGAGGCATTTCGAGAGCACAGGATCCTCGCAAGGAGGCTGCGGTGGATATGCGCGATCTTCGCTACCTGTAAGTGGAATTTGAAGGATGCGATTGGGCTAAAAAGTGCTAGCAAAGGTGTACTCAAAATATGAAAGTAAAAGAGAGTAGTTTTGGATTTTTCAGAATTCATAAAGACAGTTCGGTGCATTTGAAGAAAAATATTTATAAATTATATTCAGTTTATATGAGACAAATGACACAAATTTCCAGAGAAATGAGCTGCACATGAAACACATTCAAAGTCGTAAAAAATTACACGACATTTTTGTGTTGTTTTAGATTTACTAACAACATAAGACTGCAAAGATGAGTTTTTATTATTAAATGTATAGAAATAGATATATGTGTTTTTGGAATTATCTAGAAATATTAAAACTTTCAATAAGCTTATAACCATTTTCCGTTTTCTTGAAACAATTTTAAAAATATTGAAATTTTGGAGAAAACTAAAAAACGATTTTAATGCTTAAAATGAGAGCTTAGAGTATTTATATTTTAGCAAGCAAACAAAGAACAAATAACTTGATTTTTAACAAAAAAATGATATAGCCCAGAGGTGATAGTTATTTTTGAGATTCCAAGTTTTCCCTCAACTAAACCCCATTAATATTTTTTCCAGCAAATCTTCTGCACCATTTGCAATCAATGCCTGAGTAATGAGAAGAACTTTAGCAGCTCCGTGAAGTGAATATGCAGATGGGGGGGCATAAGTTAATCTGTTTATCGTATATAAGTTAGTGTGTATGGTTCGCAAATAAATTTCTTGGCTAATTAACAAGCTTGCCAAATCAACACATCTGCCCCGCTGGCTGGCTGTCTTGACCCACTTGCTTGTTTGCATTTCTGAAAAATGTATACGCAAAAACCAAAATCAGAAATTCTTTTGAGCAAGTGTGTCATGAAATTGCCATTCGTTTCTGCTCTATATACCTGGGCAGATAAAACATATTTTCCAAACATATATATACAGATAGATAGTAGTATATATCAACCGACGTGAGTGTACATATCACGACACAAATTGGTAAGTAATCCAGCCAGATTAAATCGTAATTCATGGCCACCACACCTCCTATATACATTAGGTTTTTTACATCCCCGCCCTTAGCAAATTTTTCAAGCTCAATATGTCACTTTGGTCGCACCTGGAGCCAATGGAGTGGTGTAAGGCAGTCTACAGGGACTGTGATTCGTGGTCATTCGTCAAGTGTTCCCTGGCCTTCTGTGCCGGAGTGCTCCTGGTTCGTAGCCTCGATGGAAAATTGCCGGACGGCGGCTTGGTTTTCGAAATTAAGACCTAGAAATGATCATAATGCTGGTCATCCCACCAAATTGACGTCGAAGAAAGGAAACTGTTTTTCTTAACTGGAAATCAAAATAATTCAAAGATTTTGTATTGTCACGGCAGTCTTACTTGTTGATATAAAACAAATTAAAAAGTTGTAAATGTTAAGTTTTACATCAGTTCTGATATTTTATTAGGTGAAACTTTTCCATTTCCTTCAAGTAGATAAAGTAAAAGCTTCTAAAAACTTAAAAATCATTCAATTTTATTCTTAACATTAAAAAAACTTTCGATTTATATGCCTATTTCCCAATCAAAGTCCACGTGCCCAAAACATGTTCATCACCTTCGGTTGCCTTTTTGACTTTCATTTGGTTTATGCCACAACTCACCTCCTTGTTACCAATCAAAACCTCAGTTGTCAGCTTTCGGCAAAAAGAAGTAAATCTCATATTAACCATTTTCCGGATGCTGTGCTTACTTTGCCGCCTTACCGAAAATGTCCACTCTAAGGGGGATATTATCATCGGGCTGTCATGTTACTTTTTGAGTAAAAAACCATGTGTGAGGCCTGCTGACAGGCATCGTGGAGCTTGGATGATTCCCCAAAATGATTCATACCCTCCGCATCCCGCTTAGAGATTACAATCGGAAAATGCGCATAAGGTTTTACATTTAGGCCGTCGTTGGCATTAGTTTGAGATATGTGAAACGCTGGAAATGCCTCCTGCCCCGAGGCAAAGAAAATAAAATTAGGAGGCACTTTTTTGCCATAAACATAAAAATTGTTCCTGCATCCTCGAGATGCCGAGAACATCCTTAGCCAGCAGCGATTCCTTGGCATCATAATTTCGAAATGACAGGTAATTTGGAAGCAGCAACAGGAACGGGAAGTGGATGTGGCACCTCGATGGTTTTTGGGTAACAGGGCAGGGGGCAAGGGATCGCATGAAGTGCGAGAGCACCAAATGGGAAAATGATGCAGGTTTATTAAGTATCGTTACTCAAGAGGAAAACCCGCCCAGAGATACCCCAGAACCAAATCCCTCGCAACAAATTTATGATGCGTCGTTTCCAAAAGACATACTCAAAAAAAGAAAAAGAAAATGAAAACGAAAATGCAGAAAAATTTATATTGTAAATATACTGTAGACGTAATAGTGGGGTGGTCTCAGGTTACTTTCCACCACCCTGTGATTTAAGGTTGCGAAAAATGCTGCCGCACATGAACATGCAACTAATGAGGTGAGTTATTTTCAAAGGGGGGGCAACAGTTAGTTACCAGGTTTCTGGAGCACGCCACGGGAGAGCTCAGCTCGTCCTGTCCGGGTGGTTTAAACTCTAATTGAAATTTAGATAGCTGCTACGTGCACCAGCCGGAAAATCATCGCCAGGTGTCACGACTAGGTGATGAGTTAAACAGACGGAATGGCGGAGTGTCGGAATGTCTGCGGAAATTGGCCTTGGTATGTCAAAGAATCAAATTCCAACACTTAAATATTTACAGGACAAAATGCCTAAAAGCCAAAAGCCTAAAAGGTGATGTTATTAAAAATTCATTTTCTAAGTTTAATTTCATCTTCATAAAACTCTGAGGAACTAGATTTTGTTTATATAACATATTTACATTATATACTTAAACTTTGATAAAACTAAAAGTAAAGTTATGTTATTTAATATTCGAATATTTAATTTTATATCTATTTATAAACATGATGCATGCCTATAGTACAAAGTGACGCAGTGTTTGCGATAAGCCAAGCATATGTGCGCTTAGGGAGCTGCTTATTGGGTTGATATCCATTAACATCCAAGAGAACGTAAGTTTTTGGTATTCCGTAATCTGGGGACTAAAATAATCTGATGTTTTTCTGTGGTGTTTTTTTATTTGATAGCTGCGTTTCGAGCCGAGTCTATATAACACGACAACGCACTCCAAAAAGGGTCAGTCGTGTTTGGTTCTTGACATTGCAGAAATGGAATTAAAATTTTTCGGAGCCATTCTTTTACTTATAATAGTTCTCAACTTCTGCAAATCAGCAGAATTTAATTATCAAAGGTCTGACGTCAAGTCAAGCTACAGTTTAAGGTTCTGCTGTCCCTACAAGAATATGTTAAACGGCAAATGCAATGACAGTCTCGACACTCAGATAGCCTTGGGTAAAGTTTATTTAAATGTTAGCCATGGTTATGGATCTCCAAAGCACCATTTAGTGCCTCTCAAAGAAAAGCTTGTTTTAAGGGAACAGTTCCGAGTTGGTGACCAGTTGCTCAGCTTTAAACGAGAAGATTACAAATTGTTTGAGGTTTGTATTTGTTAATTAATAAACTGCTTCGCTTTGCAAACGAGACTTTTCAGAACGGAACCTTGGTTCTGCAGCACAACAACGAGACACTTTTTGACGGGGATTACTGTCTTTATCCCTACCAATTTAACTCAGACTCCTCGAAGGAAATATGGATAATTCGCCATAAAAATATATTGACAAGGCAATTTACATCAGGGGTAACCTGTGGTAAGGACACTCTTACATCTTATTATTATCATATCACTACTTGATCTTTTTATGCAGTTGAAGTGATATCTTTGGTATGCTATATCCTAACGATAACTGCTTATCTTTACATCAAGAAACTTCGAAATACGTTTGGATATTTTCTTATCTCCAGTATATGCAACATTTTTGTGCATAAACTTTTCCATGTTATGACTATGTTTAATTTATTAAATGGGCTTTGTTGTCTAGCAGGTAAGTTGGTTAGCTTACTAATTAGGTTAACAAATTAATAAGTTTCCCGCAGCTTACATGTATTACTTCTTTAATATATCCTACAATATCTGGCTTTCTGTAATCTGCCACTATGTTTGGAAGAAAATAAGATCGACTAATCCCATTGATGGTCGTCCTGGCCTCGTATTCTACAACACGTCTATCTGGGTAACTGCTGGTATTCCAACTGGAGTTATATTTTTGTTGAACCAACTTTGGGCGAAGAACCCCAAAACATTCAATTGGATGCCCTTAGTTGGTATTACGGGATGCTGGGTGAGAAGTGCGTTGAAAAATCTTTTAAGCCTTGTACTTTAAGCCTAAAAGATATTATTTATTTTCATAGTTGACATTTGGTCGGCCTGGTTTTATTTTTTTGGGCCATTACTAATCCTGGGAACCTTTAATATTATAATGTTCCTCTGGACGACCATTCATATTTGGAAAGTAAAGAGAGGAATTAAGAAGCTCCAACAAGAAGATGAGATAATCTGTCTTAGTGTCGACTTTCAAACGTAAGTTCTATATAAATATAAGGGATATTCTATTGATATAGCATATATTATTTTTCAGTTATGTGCAATTTTTTCGAATCTCTGTGATTATGGGCCTAACTTGGAGTCTAAATGTAGTTTCTTACTATGTGCGATTACAGGGTTATTCTGATCCCGTCATGTTAGTTACCGAATATATCAATGCGAGTTTTGGTATTATAATTTTTGTGCTGCTCATCCTAAGACGCAGCATTCTTAGACTTCTTTTTAAACAGTGAAGATCGCTAAGACCAGGCATTAGTCTTAAACTAAACTTTAATCAGGATAAGTTCGGGATACAATTTATTACAGCTAATAAGTTCTATAAGTATTACTTAAACTATCTTAGTTTTATTTTATTCAGTTTTTGTATTAACATTTATTATTAAGAAGACTAAATTTGTAACTTACCGACTTGCTTTCTGAAGTAACTTCTTACTGACCTCTGACCACTGTGAAAATACAAAACATTCTTAGAAAACCTCAATTCATTTTCTTACCCAAAGTATTTAGATTTTATCCGAGGGCTTACAAGTTGGTTAGTAAGTATCTCTCATCAAAGAGGCCATATTTCATTATAGAGAGCCTTGCAGCTCGTTTAACATTTGGCTATTAAAAATGGCGCCATTGATGCGAATATTTATTGTGGTTCGGGCTCGGCTTTTTCATAATGTTGGATTATCTAGGCACATGTCTTGGCAGGATTTATGTGCCACGAAAAGCATACAAAGAGGAGGCGATAGAGGGGCCAAGAGAAAGACCAAGAGTCAGCTTTAAGCCGTAAGGAAATTGAAATCTTAAGCTTTATTGTTTCACTGGCCCCTCTTATTCTGCCATTCAGCTGGGGTAACTTTGGGGGATTCCCCGCGCGCGACGCATGCAAAGTATAGCAGGAAAGTGAATAAAACTGCAGCAAAAGCAATTTTCATAAATATTTAATGGATAATGGCGAAAATAAGCGCAAGGAGCTGGGCACATCGGCATGGTGAGAGGGCAGGGAAATGGCCGGCTCTACATGTGTCTGTCTGTACTTCACCCATTGCCCCTTCCCTTCTGTTTTTCCGAACCAACTCCGTTGTCGATGTATTGTTATTGTTTGTGTGTAGATATATATATATATACAGGACTCTCATACAGGCACTCCACTCCGGCGTATTGATATGTCAGCATAACATATGTAGGCATATCCATGGGCTTGTGTGCGAATCTCAGCTTTTAGTTTCGACCCAACCCCAGTGTTTCTCATTAAAATAACAAAAACAGAGAAAACAAAAAAGAGAATCACGAATAGGTAGCGACTGCTCTTTTATCTTTTTTATGTCTTTTATTTAAAATATAACTTTTATGGTGGATTTTCATCAATTCTAAGAACAGCCCAATAGGTTTAGAAAATGTGCTTAGAAAAGATTCTGAGGAGTTTCCTTACATCTCCTCAAAGCAAATCTGTATTTTGGTTATTCTCAAAATTAAATTCCAGTTTTTCTATCTTAAACTTGGAAAACCGAACTGTTAGATACCCCTTAATGCCTACCAATTACGGCGCATGAAAAGCCGGGAAAATGAGGGTAAAATTCACGCGAAATGGAGCAGGCAGCGAGCAGGAGAGAGTCCGTCCATTGTCTTTATCCTGCTGCCTGCTTTTCTGCTGCTCCTCCAGCTCTTGCTCCTGGTCGCTGGAGTCCTTCAAGTGTGCCCATTACAGACGGCAGAAATCATAACAATAAAAGTGTGACAGGGCGGAAGGGCAGAGGCGGATGGTGGCTGTTGGATGTCGGCTGTTGGCTGTTGGCTGTTGGCTGTTTGGGGCCGAAAGCTCCCCTTACTTAATCGATGATGATGAATAATTGATTCGCTGCGATGCGCCCAAGCATGGAAATGCATGCGGGGAGCGGCTTTCTGTTTCTGTTTCAGTTTCTGTTTAAGTTTCGGTTTCAGAAAGAAAGACAGAGGCAGAGAGAGTGAGTGAGAGAGACGTCCTTGTGCACGTGTATATGTATGTCCATACATATATATCGTTGTGTTCTTCTGTGTGTAACGAATGGCAAATTTCAGGAAGCGGAAATGGCAATTGCAAGCGATGGGAAAAGGCAGCAGAAAGACAACGGCTGAGGCAAATGTGAAGTTGTGCGCTAAATGAAATGCCAACACAGCAACACGGCCGTGCAAAACGGAAATAGCAAATGCGAATGACGCTGGATTGTTGGACTCATTGGTGGGGGCCAAAAAGTGTCATGGATGGGTAAGGGGGGCGGGCAAATGGGTATGCTAGGCGGATGGGCAGACAGGTGCCAAGGTAGACAATTTGCCGGTATTTAAATTTTATTTTGAGTTCTGTTTAAGCGCGTCAGGAAGCAAATACAAGGAAATGGATAGCGGATAGCAATAAAAACATTTCCCAAAAATGTGACAAAAAATGTGTTAGATAAAGTTTGAAGTGTCAGAAGTCTTTTCTATGCCTTATTAAACTGAGTTAGGTATGAAGTTCTGATAACTTTGTAAGGTAATTATAGTCTAGAGATTCCATTGATTTTTCTTTATAATTAAATAAAGTTAGAAAAATATGAATTAAATTATTTTTAGTCTGAAACTGACACCCTTTAAATATAAAAGAGAAAACCAATTGTAAATTATTTATGTTTTCTTTGATATCCGCGATTTTTCTTCACAAAAGAAATGCTATAATGCTGTGTTTGCTATCGATTGCAATTTTAAATTAAAATAAACCTGAGCTGAGTTAATGAAAAACGACGACAAAAGTAAAAAACCAATTTAATCGTTTTCCGTATTTTCTTTATGTTTTCCCCTCTTTTTCCGAATAAAGTTTCATTTTTCTAGCAAAGACTTTTTCATTCGACACGGCATCGTCTTTTTTAAGGATTTTTTCTTTCCTCGCGGGCTATGTATTTACTAAAATATAAACGCATTGAATATTTAAATGCTTTGCCGGGGCAAGAGTCGCCATTTTCGTTGGCAGAACTGGACGGAGGAATCGAAATCAAATGCAGTGCTTGCGGCTTCTGCGAGTGCTGGCTGCCTGTCAGCCTGGCACAAAATTAGATTTAAATATTTTGGCATTTTCGATCAATTTTCATATAATGCAACCCCCCTTCCCATCCTTTGGCCCGAGATGCAGGAGTCCTGTTGCACGGAGGAATGCTGATAGTGAGTGGGATTCGTCTGTGGCAAGTCATTCCAGCCCATGCACACACACACTCACACACATATGAATGGGGATTGAAAGACAGACTCACTCACACACACTCATACAACCACATATGCTCAATCATTTATGCAGCAATCAGTGCTGACGTCTTTTCCACACGTACGATTACCGGCATAGAGAATCGGGCCCTACTCTCGGTTATGTGGAGCATATTGGGAATCGAAATTGAGTGCGGGTTAACAATGAGGCAGTTCAGATTGCTGGAGCTTCTCCTCTGGAACCTCTGTTGCTGCTGGATTTCTTGAATTTAAATCAATGGAGTTGGCATCCACTGCGTATGAGTAAGACTGCTGAGAGATACATGAAAAACTGGAATTTAGTTTGCGGTTTTCGAGATTTTAGAATTGATTGGCCAAAGAATTGGGTTAAAACGTGAAAGAGGATATCCTTCAATGCCTTTCACTTTACCATCTATAAATCTCACTCACCTCTTATTACGTTTTTTCCATAAACTTAAAGTATTAAACAAAACTACTTCAGTAACCATTTAACCAGCATTTAAATTACCTTTTATATTTTACTAACAAAATCATGAACTCGAGTACCTAAAAAAGAGAAGCGTGAAGTGCAACCGCACAAAAAACTCGATTGGATTATTTGAAGGTTGAAATCAAATTAAGTCAAGTGAATAAATTGACTTTTAGTGCATATCAAATTCGCCAAAAAAGCGCACCCAAATAAAAATGAATCGAAAGAAATGCGCTGAACAAATAATTTGAAAGCGAATCCATAGAAAGTCATCGTTGGCAGACAGCGATTTTTGATGGAACAGAATGGAAAAGTCAGTCAGTTGTGACAAACTAAAAAATTAACTAAAAAATAAAGACAATTATATATAAGAATTAAAAGAGGCAAAAATAGCCATCAAATAAAATCAAAACGAATACAAAATGGAAAATTTGTTAACCTTTAGTAAGTAGTCTTTGAAAACATCGCTCTAGGAAAAACCTTGGAAACCATTCAGTGTAACTCGCATTTAGCAACGTGTACTATATATTTTTTAAAGTTGCTGTAAAAATTTGAACTTTTTCAAGATGAAAAACGAAGACATGGGAATCTTTACTGAACTGATTAGCTGCAAGGATCTCATTCTGCCCAAGGTGGAACAAATTGAAGATATGCGCCAGTTTATGTCGGATCCGAAAAACTTCAACGGTGATATTAACGAGTTAACCGATCGCTTGGAAGCTAAAACCCAGCAATGTCGCAAAGTGCTCAAGGTGCTGCAGGATAGACTTAGGTTAAAGAAGGAGGCCATTCAAAAGGTTAAGGAAGATGTGTTGGAACTGGAATCGGAGATGAAGAAACCAGAGGGTAATATCCGTTTTCTAACCAACCACGAGAAAGTCAAGATTCGTTTTCTCGATGAGACAATAACTTGGGAGCATTCTGTGCCTGAGGCCCTGGAGCGTTACAGTATTAAGATGAGCTCCCTGCACAGTGAGATCATGGCCTTGGACAGTGATGTGGATTCGGTCACCTATTTGACTGGTGTGTCCCAGGTCAACGTTAACTATGTAAAAGATTGGTATAAGAAGGAGACAGAGGATAAGGAAGGAAAGACTTCTACCGAATCCATTGGCGATGGCCCCCAATCAGCTTAGTATAACCATTTTGAAGCTTTCTTAGCTAAATTTATATTACTTTGTTTAACTCCAGCTAGACTGAATAAATTGCATTTCAAAATTACTTAAATAGCTTTAATCTTAACTCCTCTTTCTCCTGAATTTGTTTTAATATTGGATTAAGGTGTTTTATTCCAAGCGAAGATGCCAAATTACCTTTTAGTAATCTTGTCTCCCTTTAAATCCTATCCCTAAGCATCTCCTTTCTCACTTGACTTTCCCTTCACGACTCCTAGCATATCCTTCCGTTTCCTTTCTCTCCGTTTACCTGTCATTGCCAGCCCGCTGGCCGCTTCATCTTCATTCCCCGTCCATGAATAATCCGTGCGACACTTGCGTTTTATGGCTTTGCATAGTTAGGACCTGTTAAAGGAGGGAACCGCTTTTGGACAGTGTGCTCTCAAGCTTTGCTCCTCATGGCCAGCGTTTAGCTGGACCTAGGGAGTTGAATCTGTAGCTGCAGAGAGAGAAAATGACTTTGTTTACTATTTCCTATTAAACTATAAAATGCTCTTTATAATGATATAATATACTTGAAGAGTAATTCATGTTTCTAAAGTAATATTTTAGTGTCCAGAATATATTTATTTTTGTAACTTTTCTTACTTCATAACATAGTTTTCTGCAAGTGAGTTTGCTGGCAATCGGGACAGGAAGCCAACAACAGGTTGCGTGCCAGTGCAGTTTTTCATTGTGAAATGTCGGCGCTGATAGCGAGTGTAATTATTATGCTGGACTGCGGGTATGCATACAGCAAGAGGATTTTCCCGAGGGAAGAATGCTTCTATTTCCCGTCCTGGACACTCTTACTTGTTTCCCATTCTCTTTGTTTTACTCTTGTTCCCGCTGTTATTGCTATCCACTTTCAGACGCATAAACGCCGCTAGTTATGCAATAAATAAAATGCAATTGTTGCGCCAGAAAAGCTAACTGGGATTGGAGGGAGGTAGTTGGTTAGTTGTTAGGAGGGTGGGTGGTTGGTTGGCTTGTTGGCTCTGGACTTTTTCCGCCATGTTTGTGAACAACGGCAAGATGGCGCCCCGCATCCGTTATAGCTGAAACATCCAATTCAGAGCCCACTTTCGCTTGCTGCTTTTGTTGCTGGGCGTCTGCTACACTTCCGGTTGGAAAAGTTGTCGCGTTTTTGGGAGGTACACGCTTCCGTTCGCCCTCGCCATCTCTCCCTCTCTCTCTCTGTCTGACTCTGGCAGACTTTGCAGCACTTTAATTTGACAAAACATCACATTTAAGAGCCCGACGAAAATTTACGCTCCTCGAACAACGTACATCAAGGCGAAAGGTCAAAGGGTGGCATAAATAATGCAGCGAACAACGAAAACGACAAAGTTGCGGACTTTGGCCAACCGGCGGCTTCTGGCCAAGACTCACTTGGCCTGCATAGAAATTGCAGTTTACAGTTGCTAATTGAGTGTGCCGAGTCTGTGCAGGTGGCCTAATGTAGGTAATTAGTGCAAGGCAACTTTTTGCCAAAAAGATTCCGGCACAAAGTTGCTCAGCGCTTACCAGGGCTTTTGTCAATTGCATAAGTTGCTGTCCTGGCTGGATAATTTATATATATAAAGAGAAGAAATGGGATAAGAAAGGTTTACATTTGGTAAACATAATTCAATTTGAATAATGCTTAAATTGGTATGCATAATGAATATTGTAAGGGAACCAAAAGGGAAGATAATCCTTTTCGTTTAGCCGAAGAACTAAATAAGGAAAGTGGTCAGAGTAAGTTTAAGCTTTAACTCATCGTCTGTATTGACAATTATCATAAATATGATTTAGTAATAAACACTATATCTTAAATACTAAGTGATTTAGAGCTCTTTGCTCTTTGGTTTGCCTTCCAGATAACCTCCTTAAAAGCCCTAACAGAGATAAGCACTCTTGGCCAACGGAAATTTCATGTATAAGCCTTGCTGGGCATTCAGTTTAAACTCGATTAAAGCCAGGCACAAGGACATCGACATCGACATCGGGATAATGCAGTTGTTGTGGGAATAAAGCTGACCAGTTTATGGCCAATCCCAGAGATGTTGAGCATCTGCAGGCTGGACTCACCGACAATCCAGGGCACGTGGGCGGGCTTTGTCTGGACACTGAGGACAACGAGAACAACTTGCCTCATGTGGCAAATTAACTTAAAATTAAGCAATTAATTTAATTAGAGCACGGCGTGTGCACACAGTGCGGCCCCAAAGATTTGCCGCACACGCAACAGTTGCAATTAAGCAGCCTTCGCACACAGATGCCACCGCACAAATACCAGCACAGTCACACCAATACCCACCTATACACAGAAGAGAAACAATGCTGTTTCAGCTGCAATTGCATTTTAAGCGCATGCGGAAATTACAAACACAAATTGATAAAGCAAAACCTGTGCTCATGTGTGGCATATGCCACATGGCATATGGCCAGCAATAAAAACCTGGTTATATAAGGTGAAAAATTGGCTTACGACTGGGACTTCGGCAGTGGCAAAGAAAATCGAGTGCCCGAACATATCAAATTGGAATGCAATTCATTTCTCCATTAACCAATTAAACGCAATTCATCAACTGACATTCGCAATTTGTGGAAAAAATAAAAACTTACTAACGTATTAATAAAGGCTGTGTGTAAAAAACTTTTATAAATTAAAATTCCCAGTGACAGCGCAACATCGAAAGGGTTTTAAAGTCAAACGGAAATTCGTTTTCAATTAAGTGTAAATTTAAATTTAACTGCCATTCAGGCAAAGTTTAAAAAGTATCCTTCAACGAGGCAGGATTTGTGTGGAAAATCATGGAAAAGCTAAAGCCGGAGGTGGAATAAAGCAAATCTCTGAGTTATGAATAAAGTTTGCTCCAACATTTAGTTTAAAAATAAAGTTTACGGTTATAGTTTTCATTTTGTATGGTTTTTGTTTTAACTTTATAATAAATCTGTAAATGCTTTTAGTATGATTTTTAATGTATACTAATTAAGAAAGCTAAGACAAAGTTAAGCAATCCAAATTGAGAAAAAGTTTATCAATCAAAAACAAGTAAACTCCCTTCAATAAATTCTTTTTTCAGTCAATGTATTTCACGCCAATGGCTAAGATCCAATTAGAGGCACTTAAACTCTATGTCTGAGTAAACTATATTTTAATATCGTTGAATTGTTGAGTCATCAACCACTTTCAGCCGCATTTGCCGTTGCCAGAAATGGGAAGTTCATCCCCATCAACATGCTGTACAGCTTTCTGCTATCGAAGAGAAAGAAAAGAAGTGGTAAAGAGTTAGACGATGCGTAAGTAAGCGGCTTAGTGATGATTTTATATAACTTGGCTTACTAGATCGAGTCGGAGCACTTGCCCTGGGCATCTCGCACCTGATGATTTCGGCAGCGGGCGGGTTTCTTGGTGGCCGGCATCGAAGATCGTTGAACTTTCACCTTGAAAATGGGCGAGTTGTGACCTTTGGGTGGCGTGTACTCAATGCTCTCGGGCAAAGTGGGTGGTGTAATGGCAGCGGCAGCCATAATGGGTATATCCTTAGATCTGGCATGAAGAGGATGATGCACTGGCTTCGTTGTGGCACCGATTGGTGTCTCCACGATCATCAGATTGTTTAGCCTTGACTTAGGCTTTGATAAACTGGCTGCAATGTCAGCCAAAAGATTGGAGCTAAAGCTAGTATTTTGCTTGACATCAGAAGCTGCCGTTGTAGTGGCCACTGTAGTTACAGTGCTCTCTGGCGGTGCTGCCACCGATGTAGTGCTCGTTGTGGTGGTGCTGCTGCTTGTCTCTGTGCTTAACTTGATCGGTTTGACGGTCAACGCACTGTCATCATAGTAGTAATCCTCCTCATCGTTATACGTCTCCTAATTGAGAGATCCAATGTTTATTTTTAGCTCGCTGGCTGGCTAGCTGCATATTGGTTAACTGGTTTTTAGGGCCCTCACGCACTCACCTCGGCCAATCCATTCTGGCCCACCTCGATGATGGCCACATCCTTGATGCTCACGTGGATGTTGAATCTGCCCGTCTGTCGCTGATCGAAGACCACTCGCCCTGAGTCGTTCACTTCACTGGCCGCCGGCATGGGCATTTCAGCCTCATCGATCGGCAGCGTTTGGACCAGGCCAAAAGCCATCAGTGTAAGCGATATTAGCAGCATTTTCAAATTGAAACCAGTTCTAAGGGGAACACGAAAAAATAATCACGGCTGGGAGAACGTGCGTTCCTCTCGAAGGTGCGATCACAACTGCGTTGGTCGCTGGGCCTAGTGGCCCTACTTAAAGGCACTACTTTGTTGGGCTACACTGTGGGAAAAGTACTACAAAAAGTAATAGTTTTATACAAACAATATTGAACAAAAACTCTAAAGAGAAACTGCTAACGTAAAAAGACTTTATTTATAAGAAAACTGTCTTTCTCCCTAGGAATACAATTTTTAATGAATTTTAACTTAATTGGGAAAGTAACATTCTAGTAAGAAGCAAGTTGAAATGTTGCTAAGACCAAATTTCAAAAAAGAAAAAATACATCAAATAAGGAATTTGCTTTAACTTTTTAAGCTCAAAACTTCTTTAATTTTAAACTAGCAGGCTGTGACAATGTCATTCCTTATTCAGCATATTAAGACCTCAGGCTATCTTTCATATTTTTAAGTCTGAATTTTGTGTTGTTTTTAGGCAAAGATGATAAAATCGATTGAGCCCAATTATAGCACGTCTCTGTGCAAATAGCCAGCATTCATACATTCTTGTGCTGGTCACTAGATTGAGCTGCGCTTAACTACAGTACTCCTATGCACATTTGAGTAGAACCTTATCCAGTATGCACTATATGGATATACATAAATATATGTCCACAATATTTACTCTTTACTTGGCAAACACAAACGCCACCTTTGAGGTGCTAAAGAGCTGCTCAGAAGAGCTAGAAACTAAGTGACCAACAAGGTGGCTAATACCAAATGCATATAGCATAAACGTAAACAGATAGACATCCAAGCAAATAGTCAGACTGTCCAGTTGAGTTCATTTGAGGTCTGTTGATGTGGGTGACTGACGTGGGAATGGCCCAGAAGCTGGATTCAAGAATATTTAACTATTTAAATGGGTGTTAAATGCAGCCCACGCATCTTCATTAGAGAGATTAATGATCGAGATAGAGATTTATATCAAGCCAAAACCATACAAATCATAATTCGAGGCTCGCTAGGCACGACCACTTGAAGTTCATCGAAAAGTCATTAATTAATTCCAGGTATCGAATCCATCCAGTTCGGCGTCTCTCCCAATTAGCTGCCATTGAGCAATTAGAAGGTCAGTTTCTTGTGCGTGGCCAATCAACGCTCCTGGTCCATTTACATAACACCTAACCACTAATTATGCAATTATGCAAGCCAGTTCCAGGGAAATCATATGCCAAGACCACTGCCCGTCCCTCATTTGTATGCAACGGCTGGCAGAGTGCAAAATCAGCATTTCTCATTAGATGGAATTCTCAGAGCCAAAACCAAAGGAAGAAAAAGCAAGTATGGCCCCCGTTTAAATTAGATTAATTTGAAATGAAATTTCATCTAGCTGCCCGCGGCTTTCCACTTTTCTTCGAGGCTGGCCCGCATTTGTAATTAGTTTTTAGCGAATTCTGGGCCACAAACATTTCAAGGTTTAATGCATGGCTGGCGAGCCTTGAGGAAACTTTTTCGTCTTTTGGGTCAGACCTCTGTCAAGCTCAGCAAAATACAAAAAAAAAAAAAAAAGGAGGAGAAAAGGAAGCAAAAGGGTCGAAAGGAGCAGGCCGCATATGAAGTGTATAAATTACACTTCATCATGAATTTATTATCAGTGCTGCAGCAGCTGCATCTGGAGCTGCCACGAATGCACCACTGCAGCACGCTGGCTCAGCACAAGATGTGCTCCTTCCTTTCTCACCTGCACACAAACACAGTCACAACAAGCAGCCGAAGGATTTGGAAAGGATGAAAGCTTCTAATACCCTCTTAGCTAAGGTATTAGCAGAGGTATTTTGTGAAATTTTTAATGTATAAAAATAGTAATTAAGAAAAATGTAAAATATCTTAGAAATATCATTAAAAAATTTAAAATTCAGTAATCTATCCTCAGTTTCTCAATGATATTTGTACTCTTTTTTCACAGATGTCAAATAATACCAAAAAAACAGTTTAAGAAATAACAAAATCTTCAGTTTCCCAATAGTAATCCCAGCATTTATACTTTACTGAGTCTATAAAATTGAAAAAATCATAAATACCCTGAGGAAGGTCATAAAAGGGGTGCTAAACACGCAGCGTGGCAGCAAAAGCAGCGTTTGTGCCTGTGTGGATGTTGACCAGGACATGCATTTTTCGCGCCAGCCAACTTGAAATTGTGTAAACTCAGCGGAAAAATATTAATTCTAATTTCCAAAGCCATCCCAGTCCAAGGACTTTCGCCTTTCCCTTTTTCCTTCTAAATGCTTGCCATTTAGCAGCACCTTTAATTCTGCACTTTATAGGAGACGTAAGAAAATGTTTCTTGTGATTTTCTTTTCGGTTTTTTTTTGCTCATTTTAGTGTCGTTACACGACCATTTGGAGCTTCCATCAATTAGCTCCTTGAAAGCAGAAAAAAGGAGGCAAACGTTGAGTAGCTTTTAGTGTCGCAAGACTATCAGGCAAAGGCTTATGCAAAAAAAACTTCTGCCTTGCCCACTTTTTTTTTGGGCAGTAAAGCTTTCGTAAATAATTGTCGGGTTTATAGGGCCCAGTTTCGTAAAACGCATTCTCAAGTGGATAAGTGAAATGGACTGTTAAACGGAAAAGCAGCAGATGTCCATTTGTGCAGATGCAAATTTCACACTTTCCTGGGGAAAGCGAAGAAACATCTGGAAACCACTAGGCCAGAACTTAATAAACAAAAGCAAAAACAAAAAGCTTCTTGTATTGTTTTTCATTAATGATTAACTTTATTATACTCGTATATAAACCATGCCAATGGCAACTAAACAACCCGCATTAAATTCAAATTATTGGGAAACAAATTCAATAGTGGTAAAGAGTACATAAAGCCAACTCACCTGTAAGTTTTCTCCCTTGAAAGTAGAGAAATAAATCAGGCTTTTGTACTTTCATATTTTATATATTTACTTGGCAAATAAATTACCCAATCTGAGAAAATGGGTTTATGGTAAATTTTAAGAAAGCTATTAACTTAAGCCATTACAAAATTGATCGTTAATTTTATTTTCCATTCATATGCTGGTTATTAAAAGTGGAAAAAATTTAAGAATAGTTTGATGCCATAAAAAAAGAATAAATGCTCTTGAGGAAAGTAAATAAATCAAAATAAAAAACCTATTTAACTATTTAAAATTTTTAAACTTACATAAATATCATAGCTTCCACTTTTTAATGTAAACAAGAAAGTGTCAATGTCAAAGGCTAAAAATTTGCCGTCATCAAGCGTAGAAAATTTCTTGATTAATGGCATGATATATCTAAAGCTTAAATATGAAGGCAAACACAAAAAAATGGGTCTATCCAATGTTGTCAACGACTTTGTGTATATGCACTTTGGCCTTAAACTGTCGGCCGGCGTTTCAACGCAGCCAGGTGGCAAAATGAAAAAAAATTAATTCGATAATTAAACACAGTGCGCTCATCGTTTTAATCTCTGCGCACATTTTGCATATTAATCACTTAATTAGGTTAACATTATTAAAATAAACACGCCTGTCTCTCTGCTGGTTTTGCGCCCGTATTTATCAGGTAAATACACACACACACGTGTCGTATTGGTGTGACTTTATTTCATGTGACGCAGGTGTTTAAAATGATGGGCTCAAAGGCTCATTTAAGCCCTCTTTGTGTGTGCGTTCATTAGGCCAACTATGCACGCAGCCACCTAGCGGGCACTCGGCGTACTCCTGTAAAGTTTTCAAGCGCATAGAAAAAAGTATTTTAATTTGGTGTATATTAGGTGTTTAAATGTAAATAATTAATAAAATAAATGGAAATTATAAACTGTTCTTTCATCAATTAAAAGTATTTGTAGGAATGTTTTTTGTTGTTTATTATTAATGATGAGATATATAATATTAGTACTCACGCTATAAAGAATTAGTGGTTTTAAGATTACCAAAACGTTTCTTTCAATGTCTCTCGTATCAAAGAATTATTTGACCAATTTTTGTAATATATTTTCGCGGTGTACATGCCAGGAATGCCAACGATTAGATATGGACCAACTCATACGACAGTCAAATAAACGCGTCCTGCAGCTTCGAAGGAATGTGTGTGTATCCTTATCACAAGGCACATAAATAATATTTATTGTTCTTTATGGGGCAGCTCGAAGCTCGAAGGGCCGCGAAGATGCCAACCCCACGGCCTAGTGTCAGTTGGGAAACATTCAAGTGTTTCAAATATTTTTTAACAGCTTTTCCCCCGCCTTACACACACACACACACACTTTCCCCGGGAAATGTCTTCATTGCGCTTTAATGAAATGCGTAAGGGAAAGTCGGGGGGTTGACAGCGGGTTGAAGGGGATTCCCCGCTAGCTCGTCTTATTTGCACTTTAAATTGCGCACAAAAGTATGCTCCAGCCTTCATAATAAACACAATTTATGTGCCGCTTTACCTTTTCCCTCACTTTTTAGCAAACATTTCTCTGCCAGAACTTTGCGATTAAGTAATTCCAGAAAGTTGTTTGTAAAAAATTACTCAAGTTCATGGAATGTGTTTGCTAGTAATATTTTAAATTGAGCGACACTGCCATCTGATATTAATAATATTTTTCGGAGGCCATGAGCTCGGCGTGTCTCCGTCGAAACTTTCGGCAGACTTGCCGTAAAGTACGGTTCATCCCGCCGCAAAGAGACATCAATCAACTTGAGCATCAATCATCCTAAGGTTCAGTTCAGCAAAAGGTGAGTGACGAATGCCGAGAAGATGGCAGCCAGGATTGCAAGGTGTCAACATGGGAAATTATATTTAGATGGGATAATTGTGCAATGAGTTACTAAATAAGTTTAAGTAGTTATTATTTTTGATTTTATTTATAGAAAAGTTATGTGAAATATTACCAAGAAGTTCCTTTAAAGTTCTTGATTAAAGTCTTATTAATACCGGAAGTTGAGTCAGTAAAACTTCTGACCTATAATCGAAGGGTTACAACCTCAACCCAGCAATTTTGTCAACTCATTCAAGTATGTTGGGCTTATAATTGCGGCTTGAAACTAAAGAACTTCCACCCTTTTACAGTCAATGACTGAGCAAATTCAAGCCATTGAAAGCTTTAACTTTGAGATCTGCTTGATGATTAAAACCAATCGAATGGGCTATCCACTTTTTAGAAGAACTAATGTTGGGTTTCAGTTCAGTCTTAGATAATGTCTGGTCAGTTGCATTTCGTTTTCGGTTTTTGTTTCATTAGCGGAGTTTTATCCATGCCGATGGAGCCTGGAGTTGATGTCGGAACAAATGAATCAAAGTTCTTGCACAATTTGACCATTCAAATGTTTGCCAAAAATCGTATAGAAACCTTGGCCGCTTATGGAATAAATACTGAACTGCAAGAATTGCGGGTGGCCAAGTCCATTGAGCAATCGTTGATGGAGGAGTTCCAAGTTCCAATCGTCGTTTGGGGACTGAGACGGAATATCAGTCTTAGACATCTTCTTGGATATAAAACCTTGATCTGCGTTAGCATAAGTAGTGTTCGGACCGAGGAGGAGCCCATTTTCGATGTGCTAAATGATGGCTTGGTTGGCTTGCATTATGTTCCGATGCTTTTTATCTACAAGCGTTCTCAAAATACTCCGCCCACAAGAAAAATGCTGAAAGTATTTTTCGCCTGGTGCTGGCAGCACAGGTTCACCAATGTGTATCTAACATTTCGGTATTTTCTGTTGAGTAATTCTTCTGATAAAGATAGTGGTTATTGGCGGAATGATCTCTATAGCTATACGCCGTTCCCTAAACTCACCCTGCGGAATCTAACCGAAACGGGCTATGATCCTGTCGATATAATGATGGATCTAAGGGGCTATCAGTTTCGTGTGCCTGTATTTCAGGATCCCCCCAACGTGTTTCAGGTATCACTGCAGCATTATAAACAATTTTTTTTAAATCATCTGAGAACATTTTTTAGCATTCTAAAGGTTATCTATCCGGAGCCTTGGGTCTTCTTTTTACCGCGTACGTCCACCATAGAAGGGGCCGCCTTATCCTGGAGCCCGTTGACAATGTGGACAGATACAACTACCAGGAGGACCTGATGCTGGCCGCTACCCGAGGCGAGATTGAGATAGGCGTACATCCGTTCTCCTCGATGCAAATGAACTCATCCCTGGTGGCGGGAAGTTTCCAGGTGGGCACCACCAACACCTGTGTTTTAGTGCCATGGCAGCGGGAACCGCCTCCAACTAGACTTATTCGGATTTCTGCATGTATAAATGGTCCCTTTTTCGTAATAGTCCTGCTGGTGATGACCGTATCTTGGCAGAGGGTGACTGGGCATTGGCGACGGGGCATTCATCTCACACTGGTGACCTTCTTTCAGCAATCGCTGCCGGACAGATACTTCCGGCGGCTGGAGGAGTCCTACAAATGCATCCATATTGCTCTTTTATTTGGCTCCTTTGTTATGTGGGTAATGCGCACGGCAAATCTGTCATCAGTTTTTACCTCACAGGTGGGTTTGTTAACTCATTTTTTAACAGCGATTGATTAATTAATTTTTTAAAACCCAGATGCTTGGGGCGCAAATCGAAACCGCTGAGGATTTTCTAGACTCGCCATTACGGCTCATGTTGACGGAAATGGAAGTGGAAATGTATTTCACTGCGGGACGGCTGCCTTCGTCTCTGAAGCCACGCCTCCTAGTGGTCAATAGGACGATGCTGGTAGAGCACTTGGACAGTTTGAATACCAGTTACGCCTACTGCACCACAGCGGAGCACTGGAGTGTGGTTATGCTGCAGCAACGGAGAATGTTCTGGCCACGATTTCGAGTGGCCTCGAAGCTCTGCACCACCAATCAGCTACTACGATTTCCCGTGCAACGGAATTCACCCTTCGAACGGAACTTCTACCGCTTTGCCATTCATTCGCAGCAATTTGGATTCTGGGCCCACTGGATGCATCGCGGACTCCGGGAGGCGATTGCAATGGGACTAGTGAAGGAACTTACCGATGACTATCAGCCATTTAAGAGTCTCACACTTAAGGATTTCGAGATCCTGATAGATGTATACTTTCTTTGCTTGTTGGGCTGCGGTGTCTGTTTTCTAGCGGAGATTGTTTGGAATTATAAGAATTCACCTTAATAATTCTGTAATCCAAGCTCTGATGTATTTCTATATTAATATTATCCATTTGTATGTAATTCTCATATATATTACAATAAAACTCAATCAAATGAAATATTTCTTCGAAAAAAGAACTTTCTTCTGCTTGGAACCAGCCGCTAAAAGTGCCACCGTTTATCGAGGGCTAGATGCAATTTATCCTGGAAAAAACTTCACCATGCCTGAGGAGTGGAACATTCATATTTGAGCGCAACTCATTTGGCTTAACTTTTGTCTGGAGAACTTCACGAAGCAAATCGAAAGAAGGAACGTAGAGTCGATGGGCAATTGGAAACATATCGACGACTGGGTAAATAGAAAATTCAATTTGAAACGATTGCTTACTGGATAACGAAAGCCTGCCTGCCTGACTGTCTGTCTATCTGTCTCTCTGTCTGTTGTGCACTTTTGGGCCAGCCTTCAGCAGAACTTTCCACAGGCAATCCGCATGGCATACGCTCCACGCCCACATTCCCATCATACCAGATACCCCTGTACCTCCGGCCATGGCTCTTGCCCACTCAGCAAGTTGGCCACAAACAAACTTCCTGTATCGATGGTAACACTCACGTACCGTTATCGCCCAGCCCCCGGGCCAATATCTAAGTGAAAACACAGATCAACAGTACGACAATCAGCAGAGAAACAGGCCCAGACCCCACAGACACACATCCGCAGTCAGGAACATATTCCCATTCCCACTTCCACTGCCACATCCACATCCACATTCACTCCGTTTCCAATCCCAAAACTCTCACCTGCAACGTAGGCAACATCAGACAAGGCAAAGGTAAAGGCAAAGACAAGGCCGAAGGCCCCAAGGCATTTGCACCGGCCAAAAAACTGGGTCTCAAGTATAGAGCTTAGGTCGAGGTTCAAAGCTATTTTATCCTTGGGAATCGTAAAAATTTTTCATAGGGGAATAAAAGACCTTTTTATTATTAAATCTTAATCTTAGTTATAGATGAAAAATTCTTATACCACTTACTCTTGTAGTCAAAAGGAATAAGACTATAAAATAATCTACGAAAATTTAAGAAATTTCTTAACTAAATTTTGATAAAAATCTGTTCGTCCTTGAACTCTTTTCCTGCCCAAAGGTGCAATCACAACGATTTTTGATTGCATATTTTTCCAAGTGTGTTTACCATTTCCCCCACAAAATGGCAGGCAGGTTACAAATTGTATGCTTCAGTTCCTTGCTGCCTGTCCCCCCCTTCTCATGCTCTCATACTCAACCTCCTGGCATCCTTGGAGCTCTTTGATTGGTTGGAGGGGCCTTTCTCTTCCCTTATTTTTGCACGTATTACGGCCAGTTGCATTTCTTGGATTGCATTTAAGCAACATTTATGCATTTTTAATGTGACAGCTGAAATGATGAGACGGCAGCCTAGGATTCCTATTCCTCCTTCTGTTTCCTTGTGCTGACAGCGTGTGTGTAAACTTATATGGTATACCTTGCAGTAACCCCTCCTCAAAACCCCGCTCAACATTTGACCTAAGGGCTTATGCATTTTGCAGTGTCAAGAAAGTTTCACTCTCGTTTATGTGAGGCCAAGACCGACAATTCCAGTAAATCATTAGATAATGTGCCGGGGATTTGCGTGGGCTCAGCACATCATGCATGATATATTGGACGGATCATACATATTTAAAGTAAAGGAAATTGTCTTTGATATATATTTGGAAACTATATTGAATATACAAATGAAATATTTTGAGAAAACAATTAAAAGTAATTAAAATTGTTTTCGAATGTAATTGAAAATCGAGCTGATATTGTAAAACTCCCCTGGATAGGCAACAGCTGCTTCTGCATGTTGGGACTAGCATAAACTGGCAGCTAGTGCCCACCATCTAGCACCAATAATGGGCCACTTTGGGCCACATCCAAATGAGGACCTGACCACAATTGACTGCCAACTAGGCGCGTGCATAATCATTGCAATTTTGTATGATTTCCAGTCCTGTTCCCCTTACGACCGCATCGCCCCCGCAACACAATCGCCTCACTTGAATGGCAAATGCCACGCAGCAACCGCAAAAAGCAGCGGACGTACATTGGTTCTACATCGACACTGGCTTTTGCAGGGACCAAAATCCTTACTGCGTCGCCTGTAAGTATGCAATGCTTTTTGTGCCCGGTAAGTGAAGAATTCAAAGGGCGTATTATTTTAATGTTTAATAATATTTGTTTTGGGAATATAATAATTAAATTATTTTTGAAAATTATTATTTGATTATCAACCCATATTAAAAGCGTTAAAAACTTAATGTATTATTAATAATACCATGAGACTATCAAAAAGTAAAGTATACATCTCACTCGACCCTTAAATTGGGAACCCTCATCGAGGCACCTTCTAAAATATTATTTCCTTCCTTTTAGTGTGCCACCTATAAGTACACTATCCGGATTACTGAGTATTTGGTGATCAGGCACTCGACCATAACATCCTTAGTCGTTGTGAAATGGAAACAGGAGCAGAACAGCGAGCAACCAACATCGGGCAACAGCGGCAGCGACAACTGCAAGTGCAACGTTGGTGTTTATTAGCATGATTAACCTCGCCGCATTGCCGCACAAATTGCAAACGCATTGAATTTAGGTCAGCGGGGCGGATAATGAGGGAGGCTGACGTCGGATTGGGGGCGTGTTGGCGGTATGGGCGGTACTGGTGGGTGGTGGTTGGATGGCGGAAAATGTCAGAGCATCTTGTAATTTGATTTCGCCGTCATCCTGGCAATCGGCGCCGCTGTTTGTTGGCTGTTTGTGAGCTGGCTGTTTGGTTATTGGCCTGACATTTTCCTGATTGCAATGGCCAACAAAGGATGTCCGCCCAGGCACCAATTTGAGTGGCTCAAAGAAATGTATACCACCTAGAATGTTAAAGCTTGGACCCTAATTAGTTTTGGATGCACTTTGCACGCAGAGAGAGAAATAGAGAGGGTCACGCACACGGAACATAAACAAAAAGCCGAAAGGCTTGTCGCACTTGGCTTGTTTCGTTTCATTTCCGGTTAACCACATCCTGCGTAATAAGCGGCACTTCCGCTCCGCCCTGGACTTAAACTGTTTTGTTTTTGGCGCTGCCATTGTTGGTCCTGCCTGGTTCTGTTTTTATTGTGACTCAAATTTTCGTTTCGTTTTTAGGCAGAAGACAGGAGCTGGGAGAAGCAGCAGGATGCTGTCACTTCCGGCCACCTTCTGAAAGTACATTGCAAGAAAAAATACTACTAACATTGTGTTTTCATCTAATGAATAACAAATTCAAATCGGAAATGCCACACAAATAATTTAAGAACACTTTAAAGAAAAATTTCAAGTACGTTTCTGGAATATTTATCATCCTTTCTTAACCCATTTAATGCAGTAACCATTTAGTATTGTATTTTCCTTCTCTGTGCAAGTTTTTGGTCTTCGAATTTTCTGGGCTTTGCATGTGAATGGCACGCTTGTGGGCAGTTCTATTTAGCCCCCTGCATGGCATGCAAAATGGAGAAGCCGCAAACTGGAGCTGCATTTTTATTTGCATTTCACTCGATGGCTGCCAGCAGCCCATTGTTGCTGTAATTGCCTGTGTAGGACATGGCACTTGGCTAGCCAAAATGAAAGGGCCACGCCTCCAGCAGCAATGGGCTTGTTTGTTTGTCGAGAGCAACAACTGGCCCAGTAGTATTGTACTCTGGCTTACGTTAAATGAATTCAACTCCATTTGCCAGTACCCAGTTCCCAGTTCCCAGTTTCCGAGTTAGCAATTCTCCAACGAACAACCGTCTAATTGTTGACATAATTAACCTACCCATCGGTGCAGTCGATGCTGTGCAGTGGCTGCCTTTCATTAACATTTCGCACATCGCCTTCGAATTTCGAGAGCAGCCAAAACACTTAAATAATGCGCAATTTCAGTGTAATTGCGTTGCAAGTTTGTGGCAACAATGTGGCGTGCTCCAGGACTCCGGCCGGAAGAGCAGAGGCACTTGAGATGCGCCCAGCACTCGGTGCCACCATGTTGCATTATAATAGACCCACGACCCAAACATATGTTGCACAATCATTTTATTTGCACGAATTATGCGGCTCCCGAAGTGAATTGGGAACAGTGACTGGAAATTATAAATTATAAGTTAAACTTTAGGTGTTCAAAATGTTATTGTTTTTTAAAGGATATTGTTTGCTTTAAATTGGCACACAATTTGGTAAGCTTAAAAAGTTAATCAGGCACATATATATGTGCCCCTTTCTACCTAGTACTCCCATCGTTGAAATAATTTTACCCACTGTCCCCATTCGGGTGAGGACGTCTGCCTGGGATTCTCTTGTGGTTGCAGTGCGGTTGTTCATTTGTGCGTGCTGCCGCTTTTGCATTAGCATTCATGTGTGTGTGCCATCCGGCAGGTGGAAAAGAGGGAAATTGGAAAAGTGGGAGAGGACCGAAAGGTCCTGCCCAAAAAAACCCCAAGCCAAGCCCAAGCTGTGGTGGCTGCAGCTGACGCTGATGACAACGTCGGCTTTAACTGGCATTAATGGCATGCAGCCATTCTGTCGCTCCAGCCAGCTCAGGAAGCCGCCGGCGAAACCGCTCGGAAAATTGTTGAAAAGCAATTGTCTGACTTCGAGACCTTGCGTGTGCATATCCCATGGTTATGCGCCCATTTGAACTTATCCGGTTTGAAACATTCTTATGCTATTTATCTTAATGTTTGTTCTGGTATTTTGGAAATATTTTGAAACTATGGCGAGCACTAAAATGTCACAGATAGTAGTTGATTTTCTACTCCGATCAGTTGTCGACAACACTTCAGACTATCTTGCTCAGATTGCTGTTTTTTTACCAAATTTGAATTGTTAATTAATAGCTAAGTCGGTTGCTTTAAGTTTATTCCTTGATGGAGGGTGAGTGATTACATTTGCGAAATAAAACGGATGATGGTGTAAAGTGTTTAATGAAAGGGGGTATCATTTATATAACTCACTCTCTTAAGTTATGTATTATGTGAAAACATTATAATACATGCCGCTTTCATCTATCTATTCTCTACGGTTGGTTCCTTAAATGTTTTCCGGCAGCCAGCACGCACCGCAAAACAGTTTTCACCCACCTTTTGTTATCGACACCAATGACAAACCATTTTATGCCCCATTTCCTGCTGCTTCCCTTTGAAGCTATTAAAACCGAACCGAAATTGGCCCAAATGGGTCAAAGTTCAGGGAGTCAGACAGGCCAAAACAACAGCGAAAGAGAATCGAAACAATAGAAACATTGAAAAAATATTAAGCGAGTAAAGTCGTCTAGACGTGTGCCAAATGAAATCAAACATCGTATACTGATGCCGCGGCGTACCGTCGACATTTTAGACATATTGATTTTATATCATCATCGATGGGGGAATATATATACTTACTTCGGATTCCATTAAATCACTCACGTGCGTGCCACGATGCGTGTGCTGTGGTGGCTGTCACGGTTCGACGGTCCGCCAATTTCGGCTTTCGACTTCCAGTCTTACTCCGACTTTCATCGAAGATGCGTGCCCAAAGGCTAAATGCCCAGGAGCGCGAAAATCTGCGTCGCCAGCGCTCCGAAATGAGACTCCTTGTGGCCCGTTGCAATGATCTAGGTGGACATCTAACCACTTTTAAATGTAACTAATCTCTGAGGACATCTTCTTTGCAGGTTTCGAGTATGTGGTCAATCCGCCAGTTTGGCCCACTGTTGGTTTCCTAAGGAAAATTCATAGGGACTCGAAGAATGCTTTCTGTCGCGATAGCTATGGTAAAACTCAGCCTGCGATGGTTAGTCCTAATACCTACGACGTATCCAAACCCATAGGATTTAAGGTGAGTCCTATTCAAATAATCCATTCTAATGCTTAGTAACCCTTTTACAGTACCCATCGAAAGCTGGATTTTCTTCCTTGGCTAGCAAATCGCCTCGCCTTCCCCCCTTTCGCGAATTAGGCTATCCCCCCATTGGAACCTATTTCACCGACTTTCCTGGAACGCAGTATTATTTCACCTTTAACAAGTATGTCGTGCCTGATCAAAAATGGATGACACCCGGGTAAAGATAACAGAATAGTTTTCAACTTTAAGAAAGTTATTTTCATTATGGTAATTCAGACCCTCCACTTACTCGCACCATCTGAAATATCCGGATTGGAATGTGGAGACAGCGTTTGGGAGCAAGCGCATCATCTGGCCAGCGGTGGCGGTATTCTGTGCTCCCCAAAACAACACCAAGTGCTCGATTTGTGGCCAAAAGCCGGTGGGCGACTACTTCCACAACTTTGGTAGCGATGCGGACATGTGTCGCAAGTGCATGCATGTCCAGGTGGCAGCAATAAAGAAGTGCAACCTGCAGGTGACTGAAAGGTTTAGTCGCCAGCAGAAGATCAATCAGTTTGTCCCAGCTCGGTATTGCGGATTTTTTCACATTCATGATGGCACTACGGCCACTATTGAAAGGGAGTCTAGAAAGGTGCTGCGCCAGAAGATTCGTGTGGAAAATTACCTGTACCGTTTGAATGCAAAGGAAGAATAGGGCCGAGAAAATATTGTTTATTAATATGCCCAGGGATCATTATTCCGTTCAAGCAGAAACTTTCAATAAAATATGTTATGTCATTACCCCTGAAAATATTATCCTTTTTAATGCCAAAAGCTCAAAAAAGGTTGATTCCTTACCAAATTTATTTTCCAGTTCCAAGCTTATTTCGAAAAGTATTCAAAAAATCTATACTTGAAACTAGGAAATTGGAACCGTGTTTAGGACACTCATTTCAAGAACATAATTCTTTGTTTTCCGCACGGCGGAAGTTAGCATTGACTGTATGGAACATTTTAATCGCATTTCCGCCGCTCGGTTTCCTCTTCCTTCTGCGTATCCCGACTTCCGGTCGAGATGGAGGATTTAGAAACCCACACGAAGCCTGATACAGAAACGGCAACAGAACAAGTGGCATAGACAGCACCCGTCCTTGGCCACAATGCAACAAAGGCTGTTGGCCATTGGCAGCCATTGCGAACATTATGGCATGGGGACGCCATGGCCCTGTCAATGCAAAATGGAATTTCACAGTTTGCTTGTTTTGCATTTGGCCAGCAGCAAACTGGCCACGCCTCGAGCAAAGAGTTGGTTTTTGGCCAACTTTTGGCCATTCCGCAAACGCGTGAAATTCTAAATGCGAGTCAGGTGCTCTTTCACCTGGAAAGGGTCGGATGGCAAGCTGTTACACGAAGAGAAAGTTTCACAAATGCTACTCCCCACATTACCATGACACTTCCTGGCTCACGAGTTAAGCCCCACATATCAAAATCAATTTCAGATGCATGGGCGAACTTTGGTCGAATCTTTAAATTGAAATTGATATTGACCAATGCATAAGTAAGTTGATGTTGTTTTTTAGGTTATCTAAAATAGTGCTTTAAATAAGTTAAACTTTGAAATCAAACCTAAATAATTAACCAAGTTAACAAAAGGTTTCTCAGTTAAGGCTGAGTTTAAGTTCAGGAGTTAGAAACATAAAATATTTCTCAAGCTGCAAACATCTCCAAAATATAGTTTAAGAAAAGGCAATTAGTTCATTGTAAGCTAAACTTTATTTATTGACAAAAGTTCAGACAGATGAAGAATTGATTCAAAAGCTAAGAAACCACCTTCTCATCAGTCTTAGCCGAAACTTCGAAGCTGAAGGAATGTGGAGCAATCAGGAATGTTTTCAATTTCATGTCCTGGTAAACCATTGAACGTAGATCGATTGCCAAACAAAAAAGAACAGCCACTGTGATATAAATTGTGAGAATTTTGAACTACACCATCAGCAACGGTTCCCTTCTTTTTGAACAATTTTCAATTTTCACATTGAGGTGACACAAATGCATGCCACAGATGACAAATCGATGGAATTGGCCGTGCAACCAAAAAGAACAGCCACTGTGATATAGTAGTTTCCTGATTATATATCAACAGCAGAGGTTCCCTGGGGTTAAAAACGGCATGGTTGTTTGTCAAATATAAAACAAAAAACAAAACGAATGATGTTAGTCACTTTAGATGCAAAAAGAACAGCCACTGTGATATAGATATTGTTAAGTAGCATACAACACAGCAACTATTCCCTCTACTTTAAAGGCTGTGATTTGGCACTGAGTATTAGTTTAATAACCTTGATGAATAGTGGGCATTAGACATGCGTTACAAAGGAAAATCACTGTGATATGTAACAAAAGAACTCATATCACAACGATCGTTCCTTTTAGCGAATGGCCCGAGTAGTTTTGGTAACACTTAACTTGGCTTGAAGTGCTGCAAATGCCACAACGAACTTCAATGGTTGTCTAGCTTTATGATCAGAAAAGTCACCTAAGGCTGGACGACCAAAGAAACTAATTGCGACCGTTTTAGATCTTTATTTTTGCTTTTTAACTTTCACTTAGCTTGTTGATTATTTTAAAATTATAGCACGAGTGTTCGGTCTAGTCACTTAGTCGTTTGAAAAAGCGACCATACCGACATTCGCCATTCAATTTTAAAACTGGATTGCCAATTATCACTTACTTTTCAGTTTAAAGTCTTGATGATTTGGTCAAGATCCTGAGACACACTTTGCCCAGTGATGTGAGTTAAATACATAACTGAACAAGATGGATCCCAGGATCGGGACCGTTTTGGTAGATTCACTATTAGCTGGTTGTATTATCGGGATTATAGGACAAACTTTACCCAGTGCTGACTAGCAAATTGGCAAAACCGAACAAGGTTTGTCGTATAATTGCTGTTCCGAACTGATTTTGTTTTCACTGCTTGATCTTCACATCCTGAAGATGCGTTGGTAACTGATGATCTTTTGGTCGGCAGCTTGATCTTTTATACCCAATCTGTTATCCAAAAATCTCTTACCTGTGGGTGGTAGCGGATGTTTTTACCTGGAAAGGTCGGGGCAGTTCTGCGAATTCGCGTCCCGGATCGCGGCGACCTTCGTGAAAATTTTGCAACTTAATCCGTGGCCATAAACGGATTAATGCTACTCCGTTTTCGGGGAAAAACGCGCAGCTGTGTCGCGCATAATTTTCGCAGAAGTGCAATTAGGTTAGTCCCAAAAGGACTTGGGATCGCAGACAACCGTCTGGTTAGTTTCGGTAGTTTTGTTAGGTCCCACGAATGTTAGGTATCACGCAGGATCTTTCAAGAAGTTTTGAATACCTTACAAGTATATTCCTGAGGCGACTGTACCTTTCATGAAAACGTTGATGTTGGTCGCTCTTGAAAAGACCACCTGTAGAAATTTTAGCTAACCAAAATATATGATACTCTTTTCGAGGACTTTTCATAGTGGCTATTGCTAAATATTCTTTGAATACAAGAATGTTCTTTTTCCGAACGATTATCTACGGTTTTTTGGTTTCATATACAGTAAGTAAAAGTTGCAGTTAAGTAAGTTACAGTAATCAAATGTTCTGTGAAATTCAAGTCACTCTAAACTCCCCTTTGAGCACACATATTTTCCATATTCGTAGGTTGAAGCACACTATATACACAACATTCAGAGTGTAGATAAAAGAAAATTTCACACGATAAACGATGCATAGCTATGGAGTCCTACAAGGTCTTATTCTAGCAATAACAGCAATTATGGTGAGTGGTTAAAGCTAGATTATCCTTCATATTAATATTTAAAAGTCTGGCCCTACTTTCCCTATAGATTTTGGGTGTTTGGGTGCATGGAGTCATTGGGTTGCCACTGGCTTTATCCGTTTCCGAAACTCTTCCGATCGCCATGCCAGTAGTAAGAGCTCCGAGGCAGATCAATCTTAATCAGTCTACGTTTGATGTTGACGACTGGAGCTCTAAAGCAAAAATGCCTCATAATTCAGACGGCTTTCGAGTTTTTGGAAAGAAACTACAGGATAGTTATCACCGAAAAATTGGAATCAATGGAACTCATGATCCTCCCACCACCACCAGTAGTCCTACTACTACTACTACCAAAGCTCCAAGGAAACGAATAAAAAGCGGTATTCGACTCTTTGCCTCTCCACAGGATCCCGCAGCAGAACCTCCTGCTTCTGGAGCACCTCCAGATGGAGCAGCAGCGGCACCGCCAGATGGAGCGGCACCGCCAGATGGAGCGGCACCGCCAGATGGAGCAGCAGCGGCACCGCCAGATGGAGCAGCAGCGGCGGGAGCTGAAGGGGGTGGAAAAAATGGTACGCCCGATTCGCTGCGCGTTAGTATTGAACCATTCGGCACTAACAAATACGGCGGAAAGGAATACAATCCATGGGCCATCACCTTTGGAGACCAATTCTTCGATACCCGCTTTACTCCTGGTATGCGGCCCCGTTATAATGTTATAAATATGGCTCCCCCTTATAATTACATACCTAGTAAGGAGTTGACCACCGTGTGCGTGAATAGATCGACCATGTACAACGAGATCAAGGTGGAGAAGTGGCTGATGCGCCATGTCTACAGCAAAAGGAAGAAAAGCCGCCCTTATTTCATGCAACTGCGTCATCAATTGTACGAGAAAGGAAAATCGGAAGAGTGCGAAGCTCGGCTTCCGCGATCAAATTACTTACAATGCTCAATACGCCGTCACCAGCGCATGGAGTACTTAATCCCAAAGTATCCGCTACAACAATTTGCCGAAAACTAAAATCTCTATTTCTCTCCTGGACGCACTTGTACTGTTTAAATTTCAGTTAGACATCAATCATGCCACATTTTCATTTCATGATAACTGATAACCATAAATATAATCCATCCGCTCATTATAACTATGCATTTCCCCCGATTTAATACTTATTTATGTAACTGTAACATAAATAAGTTCATGATTTTTTGGTTGCTGAGAATAAATTTTCGCAATTTCATTTTCAAAAAGTTCATTATATTTTCAATAACTTTTCCATTTCCCAACTAATTTTCAAATAAAACATAAATGCTGTTTTGGTGTTTTTAGCTTTCGCTTTGTTTTTTTCTAATTTATTTGGTAAAATTAAATCAATATCTTCATTTCATTTATATGTTTTTGTTATTACCTTTTTTCAGATATGATTTCTTAGAAAAACGAACATAATTGTTTCAAATTTTCAGCGTTGTACAACTAGAAGAAGAAGAAAACAAATATTGAAAACAAGAAGATATAAAAATTATAAAGAAATCTTCTTAGTTTGTAAGTAGTTTTCGCAGCAGATATCCTCCAGAATCATCTCTGTCCGCCGCTCTCGTCCATCTTCCTTCTCATCCTTTTCACACTCCACACTCATCTCTCTCTTCTACGCACTCCTCAAACCAGCTGTGGGGAAGTAAAAAAGATGTACAATACAACAATATTATTAAGACAAAAGTTAGAGAAATGCTTTCTCTGCCGCTCAAGCTCTCAAGATGACTTTCTTGTCTTAAAGGCGTTTCTCCGATCCCCGAATGCCAATTTTAGTTTGACGATTGGGCGATGTTAGTTGGTTGAAAGAATAATGTTTAACATAACTTTGCAGAAGGTGTATGATAGAAACCTGCAGTAAATACAGCTATTAGATATTTAAAAAAAACAAATTTAACTTTTAACTTACCGTTTTGTATAAAATATTGTGGGCTTCATATTTGTTTGGGCATCAATGCCGAGAAAATCAATGGGTAGAGAATAACTATGATAACTAATCCTTAATTGGTATGTTTAATAGCTTTTTACACTGTAAAGACAAAATAAATGTTTTGAAATAGTTAGTGACATGTATTTTTAGTGATATTTTTAAAAATCTTTTAGGAAAATAGGGTAGAAAGTATCAGGTTAAGAAAACAGGATTTCATGTTTCTGGCGAAAATTTAAACCAGTAATTTTTAAAATTAATTTATTTAAGATTTCTAAGTCAGTTTCTCACAACAGGATTATAAAGAAATATTTACAATTAAGAAATTTAAAACAAAATTTTTATCCAAATCTTGATCATTGCTATAAAACATTATTTTTAATTAATTTAACATAAGACTCTTTTATATAAAATCTGAAAAACATGTACATTTCCTAAAAATGTTAAGTATCAGTAATACATTTTTGTTTAAAAGGTTGGATTTTATACCTTACCATCTCTGTATTTGAGGAGATGGTAGTAAGGCCATAAAAAATGTACATGCCCCAATTTATTGCAATAAATATTTTGAAATAGGAACAAACTTCTAAAAATATTTAAAACCAAAAATTGCTGTAATTTTTTATTTGTCAATTTTTATTAAAAATCAGATTACTTTTTTCATTTGAAAAAGCGTATTTTCATATACCAGACAAGGCTTGCTGATTAATAAACCTAAAAATAATTGTCCAAAAACGATTCTCACTGTAAATAATTTGGAAAATAAAAATACCAAAAATGTCGAGTTTTTTCTTTTTTTAAAAGTTTATTTTTCATCTTCATTTTTTGAGCTTAGTCTCGGGCGTTGTAAATTAGATTTGTAATATATTAAAAATTAAATGTAGGTTTTTGTTAGACTGTTTCCGCATTGGCGGAAATACTGGTTATATGATACGTAATAGTAAGTAGAGAGGCTGCTTAAGTGTACAGAAACAGTCTCGTGTCAAAGGAAGTGGGAGAAAGTGGATGAGAGTTCGAGAACGAGGTAAAACATTTAGGCAACTTACAAGAAATTGTCGGTGCCGGTGGTGCGGCATTCGCAGCTACTGGGACCGAGGTTGCTGGTGTTGTCGATATTGCTGCTGCTCTAACCGATGTTTGCTGCTGTTGGGTTTGGTTGTTAGGTGTCAAATGTTGTTGTTGGTTGTTGTCCTCATCATCATCATCAATGTAGTACGTTTTGTTGTAGTGACTGCTGCCGCCGCCGCCATTGTTGTTGTTGCTGTGGTGGTTGTAGTTGTTATGAGCAATGTTATTGCCGCTGCTGATCGTGGTTGTTGATGTTGCCGTCTGCTGCTTGCGCTTGTGTCCGGTTATGCTTAGAGCTGCCGATAAACTGGAAGCAGCATGCAGAATCGAGCGCTGGTTGAAAATGCTGTTGGAAGCTGCCGCCGCAGCCGCATTGTTGTTCTTCCGAAACTTCTGATGATGATGATGGTGAGCTGGTGGCTGTGGCGGCGGGGGCGGTGGCTGCTGATGCGGCGGATGCGGATGTAGCGTTGGCGGTTGTCACGAACATGCCACCTCCGTTGTGGTTGTGTTGCTGTTGGTGCTACCATTGTTGCCGTTGTTGTGTGGCTGTGATGGCTCCTGATCCACTACGTCCATTTCAGAACCGTTTTTGCCCGAACTCTTGAAGTTGGGCGCACTCATTTGCGCCGCTGTTGGTGTGGTGGGCGTTCCTGCCCCCATATCGCTGGAGGCATTCGAGTTCTCCTCTGTCAGCTAAATAAGAAGAGTAATGTTACTCGGTTATCCTAAAAAGTATTAGTAATAAAAACTTACCGATTCGCTGAGTCTGTGTATCTTGGCACCACTTTCCCGTCCGCGATTTCCACCTGATTGTTGCTGACCTGGTGGCAATGGGTCCTGCGATTGTGCCAGTTCCGTGGAGAGTCGTTTTCGGTTGGCCAGTAAGGTGTTGTTAAAATTATTATGACTCTCCATAGACTTACGCTCCCGTTTAAGGAAGTCGGAATCTAAATAGAGAGACAACTGTTTGCGTTTCACGTGACGGGCATCGATTGCCATGCCTTCCTTCAGCATTTTGATGTTAACCTGAAAATATAATATATATATAAATAACTGTATATAACTCATACTCTTATTTGTAGACTTACGCCATGCATCATAACGTGCTCTGTAAAGTTCTGTATGCTCTCGGTGAGGTCCACGTTGAGGTTTTCTGAACGCTCAAACTCCAAACCGATAAACCACATGGAGCAGAAAGGTGCTGATGTCACTGCAGACTGATTACCCTGTGACTGTTTCAGATCGTCTTCATTTCCACTGTTGTTCTGGGAGTTATTGGCACTTTGGCCCTTCTTAAACTCAAAACACTTGGGATTCACGTGAGCCAAAGCAATGTGAGGATTCCGCTCCAGATTTCCAATCAGAAGACGCACCTTGGACTCTACCAGGCCGCACCACTCTAGATGATCGTCGGCCGTCTGTGAGTTGACCAACAGCACAATAAAGTGACGATATCTGTAGAAGAAGCTGGGCGCCTCAAACAAACGCTCCCACGGAATGCGGCCTAGCATGATTTCATCAGTGATATTCATGCCGCGATTGAACTCGGTCAATATGACCTTCTTGGTGGATTCTGACACATTAAATGTGGAATTCTGCTGTGGGTACGCGGGCGTAATAATGGGCATCAGATGATAGCGATCCGAGGCATTAACACGTGGATCCCAGACCTAAAATAGAAAATGAATGATTAGTAAATCTGAAAAACGTTGATAATTCCATCTGACTTACTTGAAATCTTAGATTAACGTTGTCGGGATGCTTGAGCAGCACTGGGTTGGGCCACTTCCAGCGCGAAAAGACCAAGAAAAACTTATGCACCAATGTGGCAGCTGCAGCATTAGGATACAGCTGGCAGGTCCTGGCCACTAGCATGGCCCAGGTCACACCGCCGAAATAACCCAAAGAATTTGAGTATATGCCGTGCTCTAAAGGAGAAAACAAAAATTAGTCATAATTTTGTACAGAGAACTTAATCCTGGTAAACTTACTTTTTGCCCACAATTTTATCGTACGCAGTGCAAGGCGGAAATTTTCAATGTTAGGCACCAGAGCCAGGATCTCGTCTGTTACACGGCAACCATTAAGACTGCGCACCGAGCGATGATCCAGATTCCGCAGCAAGTTATCATCCCGTAGATCAAAATCATCGGGTATTTCTTTTAAGGAAAGACGTGCAAATAGCAAATCGATCTCGATGCCATCAAAGTTCATTTTAATGACCGGCACAAAGGCCTCCTCCACGGAGCGGCACTCGGTGACCTCCGGCTGCTTCTTGAGCACCTCAAAGAAGCTCTGAAAGTAGTCAGTGCGCTCTATGTTGCGAGGAGCCACACAAAGGGCGTCGATATCAGCGCCCTTGTGATGCACACCCAACCGGTACGAGCCGAATGTGTAGATCTTGCCGCCAAGCTTCTCAGCGGCTGACTCTGGCATATTCTTGCTGACGGAGATCTCTTTGACCCACTGCTTGACCAGTGTGTTGAGCTTGGCCAGGATCTCCATGCGGTGGTTCAGCTCGTCCTGGCTCTCAAAAACATTGTAGGGCTCCAGTGAGCCACGCAGATCGTCTGTGCGCTGCAGATCCTCCGGTCGTGGCTCGGCCAAGCTGATGGCCGAGGTCATGCCCAGTTGCTTGGCCGGCGGACCGCCCGAGGTAGAATTGCCATTGTGCTGGTTCTGATGGTGGTGCTGGCGATGTGTTGGTTCGGAATTCCACATGCTGTCTGTGTCTGCCTTCGTTTGAACTTAAAGTTAGGTCCTGAAATGGAAATTTAAAGAATGGTTTATTGAGTTTGTTTGAATGGAGTTCTAGTTGGTTTACTCACCTATCTAGGCTTAAAACGTATGGGGTATTATACTTAAGTTTGCTTTCCAAGAAGACAAAATGGAATCATATATAAGCGACACTTCTTCTCTAGGCTCTGTTTATGATGCAGCGCTTAATAAAATGCTGGAAAATAATATAATTTGAATAGATATTATTAAAAATTACTGAAATAAAAAAATGTGAAGATTGATTTCATGTTAATTAATTTATGTTATGAAGATTGTGAAATTTTAAAATCTGATAAGACGATTTCCAATTCCCATGATTCATGACGCAGCGGATTTTAGAAAATGAATCTCTTAGTTTTCAAACAAAATAGTTATATTGTGTGTCATTATAACTGTGGTATACATATAAACCATTTGATAAGAGCTTCCGTAGTAATTACTGTATATTTTAGGGATTATTTAAATTAGAAATTACCTTCTTTTTCTTACTGTGTAGCTACACAATTTACTTTCGCGCTGTCCAAATGCAGTTTGCGATGTGCGATAAGATATTTACGATGTTATATACGAAAAACATAACAATGAAACGCAGGGCAGTTGGTCACACTGGTTCCGTTTTGCCTTTTGGGCATATAAACAAATGCGTAAAACAATTAGCAAAAAATATATTCGCGGTTGAACAGCGGGTGGCGGAGTGGGAGGAGTAGTTGTTGCTCGGCGTGTGTACAAAAGCAGAATAATTTGACAATGACAAACATAAACAAAGAAAGCAAATTCAAACAGAATATTAGCCTGAACACCCGCCCCCGCAGGTAAACGGTACTCTCTCACACATACCCACGCAGGCAAGCACGCACACCCACACACACAGAAGCGAGAGACGCACGCACCGCATACATACACACGAGGAAAAGTTTTATCGCTTGTTTTTCCTTACCTGTGCTGCGTCTTCAGATTCTTGGCCTGTTATTTGTTGTTCTTCACTTTCTGTTCTGCCGCTTTAAACAATATTTGAAGGTGTGTGTGTGCCTGTGTGTCGTATTCGTGTTGCTGTATGTCCGCTGCATTCGTGAGTGGTGCATTTATGTTTGTATGTTTGTTAGAATTTTTGGCAGAAGAGTGAGTCCCATTCATGTGTTGTTGCTGCTCCTCCTCCGGCTTCTACTTCCAATTTGTGTCGCTCTCTTTTTGCTCGTCGTCGTTGTCTTCTTGTTTTTTTGCGGCACTTTTCACATTGCTTTTATTTCTTTTTCTTTTCCCGCTCCCGTTTCACCCCCTCCCACTACTTTTTGAACAGAAACTCTCGCGTTTTATGCTACGTGACGAGCTCTACTGAAACGAAACTGACGCACACGCACACACCGATATGCATATGCCAGCAGAGTAGTTGCCAAAACGCAAAAACAAACACTTTTGGGCCACTTGTGGGCCGTTTTAGAGGCGACCGGGGCACACTGATAACGCTGCGGGATCAACGCGGTGGCGTTTAGTGGGCGGCAAACATATTTTACTAACTTTTTAGCCACGGATTTGCGCGTTGTAGCAATAATTAAAATGTGTGGCAATCGATTAAATGCTTAATGGTAATCGTTATCGGTGTTGTAGGCGCATAGAGATGGGGCAAGTTGCGGCATCTAGGAATGGCATCTCGACACGATATTCTTCACACACCAGCATTCCTATTGTGAATGCACAACATGTCAGCAATTATAAAACCCCAATTAAAAGCACATGGTTACATTTATTAAGATATTATTTGTATTATATTGCTCATTATATCAGTATATTGTTTAAATCAAAGTTTTTACATAAGTTCATTGGAAAACAAGAGGATCTAATTTTTGAATAATCCTCATATTGTGGCAAATACAGTTCTTCGTCTTAAGCTATACGATTTTCTAAATATTTCCTAAATTCCCAGATTGTTTTATAATTGGAATTTAATCTTACCATCTGCTCTTCGTCGACAGATGGTTATTTTTGCACCTTTTGCATAGGTAAATTTCTGAACTTTAAATCTTATTTTAAATGTATTTCAGGTAAGTTGCTTGAGTTTTTGGTTAAACATATGGTCAGGTATCCAGTTTAGAGAGAAACCCATTTTCATTTGTTACCCAACTTTATTATTTATTTATTACCCAGTCTACCCAGATTAAGAAACACTATACATTTCAGTAAAGTTAACAACCGGATAAAACTTGCCTCCTTATGCAAAACCGATTTGCAATTTAAAAAAATTGTCGAGAATATATTTAATTAGCTACATTTTTATATTGTTCAGATAACCGTTACGCTCTAATAAATGAATTACTCGAAAATATCGATAGAACGCTTCTGTACTTAAAACCAGGCGGCCACGTAATCAACCATCTGGCAACTACTCCAACAGCTGTTTACTATCGACTTTGCAAAAATAATAATCGCGTTAGAGCAATTTCGCATCGATTCTGTTTATTTGGGAGAAAAATGCAGAATAACCAGAAAAAGGCGCCGCATAATGTAACGCAAACGGCGAACACCTAGCTGCAGACCCAAGATGATACCCTGGATGCGCGAGAAGTTCAACGAGAAACGGGCCAAATGGCTGGCGCGCAGCAAAAGAAGTGGTGCTTCTCCGACGGACGAAAGTCCTCGGAGTAGTAGTCATAGTCACAGCCAAAGGACAGACGCCAGCGATGCGGAGAGCCTTAGCGGATCCTCACTTAATGTTCATACGGCAGAATCTGAGACACAGACGGATGGCGGAATAGCCAATGCACCGCCTCTTGTGGGCGGTGGCAGTTGCGTTCTGAGGACTCCATCTCCCGCCCGACGACGTCGCATGCACCTAGAACTGCAGCTGCAGAGAAGGGAGGACCGGACTGAGCAGCATGTGGAGCTCCAGGACTCTCCCACGCCCACTCAGCAGCAGCAGGCCAATGCGTAAGTTGACAGGCAAAACAAACATGCTCAAATATTTCCAATTGCTTACCTCCGTATATATTTGTCTATTCGAAATTCTCCGTTGGCTTTGCTGGCGCAATCAATTCAAAACAAACTATGCAAAAACTGCGCAGTTTGTTCCTCAGGTTTGTACTGTCGAAAAGTTCTGTGATATCTTTATTAATCAATATCTATCTATTTATGAACCCATCTTAGAAAATCAGCCCATTCCAATCGCCCAAATAGCTCCGTTACTGCTGGCGAGGCAGAAGATGCCAACAAGCCGGGTGAATCTATAATGGTGCGGGTAATCTGTCCAAGCTCGCGGGTTTTGGTCTTCAAGACGGACGTCAACAAGCGCCTCAACGAGCTAAAGAGCGAGGTAATTTTGGAGCTGAGCGACGATCCCGACTCCATCCAGCTATTTGCTCCAGATGTGCGGCATTTAAACCCGCGATACCGTCTTTACCGAGCGGAATACTTTGGTGGCGAACTAAACGAATCAGACACTTTGGCCCAGCTAAGAGTGCGCAACAATGAGACTTTCATCCTGTCCCCTCGACGCAATACCCTTCCGCAAACGGTATCGCGAATCCGCGAGGTTCCCGGACCCAATGAGCAGCTGGTGGAGAGCGCGACGCGATATGTGCCCGTTAACGGCAGCCAACTCCCCACCATCGACATTAATGAGATCTTTCAGCAGTCGAACGTAAGCTGCATCTGGTTTATCCCTTTGATTTTATTAACCAGACTGTTATTTAGATACAATACGATGTGCGAAAGGTGCTGATATCCCTGGCTCAAGCTTCGGCGGCGGTTATAGGAGCTGGCCCCTATGCTCCGCGCTTGATAGCCATGCTGAAGCAACGTTTGATTAACCGCCGCAATCAGCAGGCAGATACGTTGCAGTGTCTGGTTGACATGGGATTTAAACGGGAGCTGGCTGCATTTGCCTTGAAGGCTAACAATGGCATTTACTCGACCACGATGGAGTGGCTGATACAAAACCAAAACGAAGAAAACCCACAGGAACCACCGGCCATGAACATGCAGCACAGCCTTTCTTCCATCTCGCCCTCCACGATAGTCACTAATAATGTAAGTCAAACATAAACAGCCTTGCTCCTCTATAACTAATAACTAATTATATTAAAGGAAGCCATTGAAAACACCGCCGCCTTGATTGAGATTGTGCGAATCTACAGCCATCGGGATTCACCGCCCAGTGATGAGATTGTAGAATCGCTAACCGAAATGGGTTTCGAGGAGACGGCTGTGTTGGCGGCGTTAAAAAAGACTGGAAACAACAAGGCCTCCGCTTGCGAATGGTTGTGCGACAATCGCTCTGGCAGCGTAATTGAGCTGCGTGAAGGCTTGGCGCCTGATTCGCCCATCCTAAAGGTGATTCTGGAAATGCCACAGGTCCAGATGACTCTTAGCAATCCCAAGACTTTTCTTGGTATGTTTAGCCTAAGCAATTTCTTGCTAAATCAATAATAACTATATATATTTGTCTAGCATTTCTGGGCATCCTGGAGAATGAGCATGCGATACGCGTGTGGCGTGGCGACAACGACACAACCTCGGTCATCACACATATCCTGCAAAAGTACCATGAGGAGAAGCATGTGCTGGGCATCAATCAGTTCTACACAAACCGCTGGTGAACGCTGGTGCCGCTAAGTGGCTTTATTATGAGATTAACCAAATTATATTTATACATATACATTCATACACACAATCACACACCCGAAGTGCATGGCTGAACCTTGGTCCATTTTGGGGCCCCCATTATACATTGTGTATGTGCCCATATATAAAGAGTATTTTTGTAGCCAAAAAAAAAACATGAAAGTAAACTGCACAAAGCCAAAGATGCAAAAGCTTCGCCATAAGCACGCGGCTGCACTCTACAAACGCTTACCGATCAGTACGAAATGCATTATATACATAAATATATATATATGAATAGGAACTAGTTGTAGTCAGGCCTTCATCCTACGATTCTTTTAGGCTAACAATGTACTCTATCCATCTAGTTTGCTAGCTCATCTTCACCCGAATCTCGCACTATGATTAGAAAATGTCTCATATCTCATACTACAACCCACAGACGCATCCCATCAGTTGTAAGTGAGCAATTATTGTGGTAATTTCAGTGTGTTGTAATGACGGGTTGTTAAATATGCCGCCTGCGAAACCATCAACTTGAACTCAAAGTATTATTTTGTAAACCAAATATTCGATTTGCATTGTTTTAACAAGAGGCAAATAAATCAATTAGTTTTTGATACAAAACGAAAAAATGAATGAGTTTTTATTTATGGTATTATTTAATTCTTATGTAACTTCTGATAAAGTTACATTTTTAAAGAGTAATTGAGAGTTTTTATTTTTAATTCCTTATGAATTAAGGGGATTAATATATTTAAGCCAACATGAGTGTACTTCCCGGGTTGGGGTTCCAATAACTAAATAGATAAGTTTACTACGTATGAATCATGTTCCTTTGAAGTTACCACTGCGTATTAGTAATACTTGCAGATACTTTAAACCGAAATGAGTCATTCATAAACAGTTGCCATTACTCTAAGCCGTAATTTGTACAAATTGAATGGCTTTGCCGGCAGAGCAGCTCTCTTAAATTATTTTGCTATTGCACTTTTAATGTATTACAATTAATTTTCCATGTGGCCGCACATTTTTCATTTCATTATTCCAGCTGCAACATCGCAGTAAACAAAAACAGCGATACAGAACTATTTTATTCAATTGTTGCACATTCTTTTTTCCACATACAATTCATTGTATTTTTTTAGCCCGGAGGTGGGAGGGAGCAGATACATTTTAATTTATGTTAAGCGCGTTTATTAAGTGGTTGTTGCAGTGGTTGTGTTTAGCCATGAGTAACATTTACTATCTCGTGGCTTTTAATTAATATTTGCTAGCAATATTTGAATTGTTTAGGATATGGATGCGGGCAAAGAGCAAATTATTTATGGTCAGCTCGTGTTTTTATTAAATGTTTGCGGTTGCATGTTGCATCTGCAACAAAAGCGTAGCGCAACGGAAGCGCACAAAGTATCTGCAAGCTTCGCCTAATGGCCCTTGGCGATGGCCATGCAAATCTATCTCTAAAAATTGATGACGCATGCAGCGGAGGATGGAAATAGACCATAATAAATCATCTGGACCCTTGCTAAGCGCTCTTGGCTAATACACAAAGAAAAATATCAATAATATTCTTTAAACATGAGTTATATCTCTCTTAAGAGAGAGCCTAGGAATTCTAGTTCTAAACGAAAATAAGGAGGATTTCGCGGTTTCTTTTATAAAAGTTTTATTAATACCATAAACTAAATATCTTTAATTTTTTTTTAGAGTGCAAAAATGTGGCAAGCGGAGTGATTGCTCTTGAAAGTGTCCAAGGCAAATGAGTTTTTGATATTATCAAAAGGCGAAATGCATTGACAAGGACGACGAGCGCTGAACATCGCCCAACTAATCCTCCCCCGCAGCAAACGTCCCCCGCGGCATGAGTTGCCTATAAAAGAAATACAAAAAAAAAAACACATTTCAACTCCAGCTGGAGTTCTGCGGAGGGTAGAAATGGTATATTATTGAAGAGTCGTGTGGCTTTGGCAATTTCCGTTGCATATTTGCAGGCGCCGCAAATTTATGAACAGCTTTATATATCGACGACATCACACCGCCCTCACACAGCACCCACACTTACCACAAAAAAGCGAAACAATGCTGGGAATCGGATTGGCGATGGAAAGTAGGAAGAGGAAGGAGATCATGGCCAAATTCCGCAATTTGTATGAAAATGAAAATGTTTTGTCATTTCGCATTCAATGATTTAAAATTCCTGTCGCATGCGATTTTGGCGAGCTTTCCATGTTTATACGAGGTGTGTTCAAAAAGTAAGGTGACTTTTCAAATTTCTCGGGCAACATATTTTCGATTATCGATTTTTTTGTTTTGTTATATTGGTACACTCTTCCCTAACATCTGTACCAAGTTTCAATGGAACATCATCTTTTGTTTGGTTGTGAGAGGCGTAGAGTTACAAGTTATTTTGCGAGCTCGGCGATTTTTTGCTATCGAAAAATATGGATCAAAGGATTTGCATCAAATTTTGTGTAAAAAAAAAAAATGTATACCCATGATTCGTCACCAGTTATGACCCTTTTGAGTAAATCTGGGTCGTCGTTGACGTCATTCAACAGCTCTTGAGCGATGCTCATGCGACGGTTCTTTTGCTCAAAATTCAGCAATTTCGGAACAAACTTCGCTGACACACGACTCATACCCAAAACGTTTGAAAAAATTTCATGGCACGAGCCAAGCGATATACCGACATCTTCAGCAACTTCTCTGATAGTGATTCGACGATTTTCCAAAACAATTTTCGTCACTGCTTGAACGTTTTCATCAGTTGTTGACGTGCTTGGGCGTCCAGAGCGAGGCTGGTCATTGGCATCTTCCCGGCCATCTTGGAAGAGTTTGTACCACTTGTACACATTTTTTTTACTCAGAACAGTTTCACCGTATGCCACTGTCAACATTTCAAGTGTTTCAGAGCACTTAATTTTATTTTTTACACAAAATTTGATGCAAATCCTTTGATCCATATTTTTCGATAGCAAAAAATCGCCGAGCTCGCAAAATAACTTGTAACTCTACGCCTCTCACAACCAAACAAAAGATGATGTTCCATTGAAACTTGGTACAGATGTTAGGGAAGAGTGTACCAATATAACAAAACAAAAAAATCGATAATCGAAAATATGTTGCCCGAGAAATTTGAAAAGTCACCTTACTTTTTGAACACACCTCGTATTTGCCATTAAAGGCAGCAAGCCAAATAACTTCATCGAATGGCCCTCTTAAAAAATTGCATTTAATATGCATTAATGGCACCAGAACCAAAAGCAGCGGCATAATCCTCATCACCATCACAAATCGAATGTTTGTAATAAAATATTAAGATTGGAAGAGACATAAGACGTGATATTCTGTCATCGCCAAAAGGCAAAATAAAATAGATACCAAAATTTGTGTTTATAAATGCAAGAAAAAATTAGAAGATTATCAACGGGAATACAAATTTTGGATGGATTTAATACTACATATTTTTGGGATAACAAAATGGGTCAAACGTTATGATAAAAATTTGAAAAATAAAACTTTAGACCCTTAAATAGTTTGCGAATTTTTCAGTTTAAACAATATACAAGTACCAATATAAATTACACAAAATGTTGGTTACTTTACAAGTTTATCGGTTCGTTTAAGGAACAATAAGTAATAGCAAAACTTGAGTCAAACACCAATAGACACATGATAATGAATAAATCACGGATAAACAAATAGTTAATTTATAACCGAAAAAGCAGTAAACTTTATCCTGAATCTTCCCGAAACTCAGTCTTTTTAATTATACATTCCTATTTCAGAAGCAGTCAGATCACAATCTTATAATTCTTGTTAACAGGCAAACCCTTAGTATTCACCGAACATAGCATCCCCCCTTGAAGGAGAAAACCTCCTTCCTTCATCAGAAAATCCTCAGACCAATTAACCATTTAAAAGCGAATCGAACTCCTTCATTAGCAAACATTGCCCAATTTCTACCCTCGTCGCAAATATTTCATTTATATGCCATAAATACTTGTATGAAACTTTCAACGCGACATGAAAATTAAACGAAATGGGACATGACATCCCTTCCCTCACATATCCTATATCCCATATATATATATCCTGAAATTGTTTATCTTTACGGGTAGCAAATAAAAATTCTGCTTTAACGCATGAAATCACACAAAGATACTAAAAATTTGAACATGCAAGTTTATGTTGGGCAAACGGCATGGAGTCTGCGGCAAGGATAAAATGTCCTCTAAATGGGCGGAGGTGTAGTGGGAGGTTGCGGGTCGCACAGACACTATATACACACACAACACACATGCATACCAAATAGCAACAATAGTAAACAAAGCGCCACAGTTTATGACGCAGTAGGCCAAAGTCCCCCGGTCTCATAAATATAAAAATTAGTTGCCGGTCAGTTAGCAAGTGGGCGGTAGGTTGGGTGGCAGATTGGGTAGTCCTTTCGTTTCGGTCTCGCCTGGAAGGCCACGCTGGCTGCCCACAATTAATTAATTAGTTCAGTTGACAAAAATTGCGGTGTTGCCGGGGGTCGAGAGGGCGTGGCAGGGTCCTGCGGCTGGCCCGGCATGTGTCTGTGATTGGACTGGCTTAACCAGGAGCTGTTCTCCGAGAGTGTGTGTGTTTGCGAGTGGCCAAATGACTGCGTCTCTAATTATGTTCATGCGCAACTGGAATTATCAAAGGACACACATTTTGGGTTATGGGGATTTGTGAATTAATAGATGGTTTTTAGTCTCGAACATTTTGGTTAAATTACAATGGTATTTTTATATGTGGTAATGTCCTTATAAAGGAAAACCATTTAAAAAGTAAAAGTGGCAAGAAAGTAGGCTACGAAATATGAATTTTTACCTAATCACAATTTTCCCCCGCATAAACCTCCAGCTTATGTTGGTGTATGTTCGCCTCATATTTATGCACATGTGTGAGTGTAACTGCTTTGGGGCCCAGAACCCCGTCCTTTGTGGGTGTCATTTCAGTTTCAAGGGTCGTGGGCTGGCGGCGGTCAACTGTTTTCATAAGCGTAGCAAATATTTTCACAAGGCCAATTAGTGGGCAGCCCCCCAGTTGACCGCAGCTGCTGAGAGTTCTCAGCCTCACTAGAATGCATCCTTGAACCCAGCTCCCTTCCCCTTCCTAAGACCCTTTCCTCTTCACATCCGTTTCCTCAGCACAGTTATAAAATTAATAAAAAGCACCCAAAACTTTCTCAGTAGTTCCTTCTCTTTTTGGCTAACTCCAAGGACCTAGAGCGCCGTCTCCCTTTGGCCTAAACAGCTGATCACATTCTGGTTTTTGTCAACGACTTTTCCGAGTGACGCAACATACTTGCGAACACACAAAAGTGAAAAAGTGAAAAAGGCAAAAGCAATAAACTTTTCAATTGTTTCTTTCGCACTCTATGCAATAGTTTTCTGCAGCTCCCCCCTTTTTTTCCGTTTTTTAGTTTTAACAGAAAGTTTTTTAACTGGCGCTGACTTTAAGTGCAATTCAGTGCCGAGGACAAGAAAACCTCAAAAATAGAAAAGGAAAAAAAAAAAGAAAATGCTAAAAACTTTTCCCACTTGCCGCTGACTTTTCCACTGTGTTCTATTCTGTTTTGCGGCTGCCACATTCGTTTTGTTTTTCGCCAGTTTAAAAACGCATTGCCAAATGTGTCACACAGAAGTTATTGTTCGTGTTGTGTTTTTTCCTCTTTGTTTTTTCTCGTCTTTTTTTACAGTTATTTCGTCTGACACAATGGGAGTGCCGTTATTTCAGACTGGCAAGAAAAGAGCGAGAGGGGTGGCGTTGCACATTTTGCACTTGACATGATGCAAAACGAATGGAAGCGGGAGCGAGATGGATGGCATTCACAAGTCGAACGGTACTTGGCGGGTCAGTAACCACCTATAACACCCGCCACCCACTTGCCACCCATTCTGCACAAAGGACCAAGCACACAAACAGTTAAAAAAGCAACTGGGTTGAGAGTCTTAATGCGTGGCTAAATGCCGACAGTCAGGTGCTTTCCATTTTGAAAAGTATTCATTTTAGATGAAATGCGTTTTTTGTGTGGTAGAAGATGTGAAAGGTGCCACCTATGACCTTCTATTTACTTTCCACAATGGCATAGAGGCTTATTTGTCTGAGATATAATGATGGTAGGTGTTTTATTCAGAAAGGCATATCCATTTATTATAAAAAAAAAATTAGGCACCTAAAAAATAAATTATATAAAGGTAAAAAATGAATCAGGATCTGATTCTTCATAAATTAAATTAATTTTTATAAAAACGTTGGAAAGAACGTGGAAAACGTGGCTTCTAGACATTTGTAAAGAAGCTTGAAAGTAGGCAATAAAATATTTAAAATTATAATTTATCGAAGAACAAGCTAAACTTCTTTTTGGGCTTAAAGTGTATTTTCTTATGATTAACGCTTTCGTTTTCGTAATCCTTAGATGTCTGGTAATTAAAATAGACTAATTAAGAAGCATATGTGTTAAATCCTATCCAAAACAGATAGCCTTCGAGTTACAAGCGAATCCGTCCATCACCTTCAGATTGATTTCAAAAGGGAGCTTAATAGATATTATTTTCCCCTTATTCCTCGGCTTTTTAAGCCGATCTAACGCTTAGAAGATGGTCTCCCAAGGAGCCATCGATACGGGGTCCCATGACGGATTAATTTTTAATGAGCCAGTTAGGCAAAAATTAATGAGGCAGAGCTCAACAAAACGCCCATACCCTTCTGCCTTCCCTGCAGGATGCGGTCTCACGTGCCTCACCGATAAATCATCATCGCCAAAAGCCAACAAAGGCAACAAGAACCCAATGAAATACAATTGCAATTTCCCGTGTCCAGCGGTTTCCTTTCTGGCCTTCTTGCCCTAAATCCTGACAAATGAGTGAAATTTCATAGCTCAGAGGATATTAACGTGTATTAGCGAGAGACGTAGTGATGGCGAATGCATTAAGTCAACTAACTGTGGTAAATAGAGGGGAATCAACTAGAAGGGCACGTTGCACGCAGCATCAAATTTGCTGCTTCATTTATAAGGATTACTGCCCCCGAAAACAACAGTAAAAACTCATAACAAAATTACTTGCAAGAAATGCAACAAGCTCAACTATAAGTAGAAGATATACTACATACCACACAACCCCTATTTGCACAGGGTAGGAAAACTAAGAAACTGGCGCCGTGGGTGGATGTAATACTAGGTGGGTGGGTGACTTGGTTTTTCCTCATTGCCTGGCAAACACGAAATATGCATTAGTTTGCCAGTTGTACTCAATGATTACACGTATTTTCTTTCGATGCCCATATCGAGGGTTGACTTTAAGAGGCTTTCGAAAAGTCGGGCAAATCTATATTATATCGGTTGGTAGTAATCAATCAAAATAGTTGATGAAGGCTGAAAACTTGAATGAGATTATTTATTTAGAATTTATTACAATAACACTTGAAGCCTTAAAAACTAGCTTTTTATTCAATTTGTTTTATGCTTTTAAATCTCCAGAGAAGCATACATTATCTTAAGGAGTATTACAACCTGAAACGGCTTATTCCCTTGGGTCCTATGAATGTTCAGCATTTTTTAAGACATATTTACAAAATATATAAGAATGGAACCTGAAAACAACCTTTTCACTTCTCTTTGCCATCTCAACCGTGTAAGTTTATAAAGAGTTCATATCTGACAGGTAACTCAGACATTTCCCCTTGGGAAACATTTCCAAAAAAGTCATCATTCCAGACACCAAATTACTTTTAGTAGCTGCAGCTATTTTTTGAACCATTTACCAAATATTAGAGGTGAATGTAAGCCGTAACTCCAATTTCAGGATACTGGAAAGTGGCTGCTTTTCAGGTGTTCTTCGGTTTTCCCATTTGCGGTGGCGCCATTAATGTCAACCAGGATGTCAAAACACACCAAGATGCCGCTGTATACCAAGTTATTATAATTAAAGTCGGAGTGGCAAACGACTGGAGGAGTTTCGCTTTCTTTGCATCGGCTTTATTGTTTCCTTTCTGGAGTTCTGTGAGATGTTATTTGAAAATTCGTCGTTGGTTGTTTTGGTGTTTGTCGTCGTCGTCGTTTGTCGTTTGCTGTTTGTTGTTTACTGCGGCAAGACAGCCACAAGAACAACAGAGTGTTAGGGCCAGAACAACTCAACAGCTTGGCTTACAACGGAAACAGCAACGGCAACGGGAACGGCAACAAGCAACATCAGCAGCAACTGCGTGCTATATGCCTTTTTAACTTGATTTAATGAGTGCAGGGAAAGACATCAACAAGAAAAATGAAATAACTGTCATTGAAGACATGAAAAAGGGAGCCCCAAATGGGCAAAAGGGGGATAGACAATGTTTCTCCGGGTCCGGGCTCTGATGAGTTGAGCTGATGGAGTACGAGGCTGCGCTACTTAACTGCCATGCCATGGAAGGGTCGCTCCTTTCTGAGTCCTGTCTCCAGAGTCCTGGGTGTGGCAGGGCGCAATTATGCAGCAAATTAACGCTTTATATTTATTAAAAGGAAACCCAAGGAAATGGGTCTGGGCGTGGCCATCTCAAGAGGGGGATGAATGTGTCCATACGTAGACACTGAATTTTCTTTGACAGTTGCTGAAAAAAAGATACTCCGCTTGCTAAAAGCTCATCTATCCGTCTCCTTGTTGACGATAGAGGAAATTAAAATCTATGGTTATTGATATTTATGGTGGAGTTTTAGCAGGGCAAACGTAGATGTAGTACAACAAAATACTCTAAAGAAACATTTCACCAACCTTTTTAACCAGAAAAAGTGTCTACAACTGGGCGTCAGCTCGGTAATTTGTAAAATCAAAGGGCTGTTATCGGTAGACAACGTATTTTATGATGTTTATGATTTATCGAAAGTAGATATCAGCATGATATTCTGTAAAATATATAAGCCTCTTGTCACGAAATGATTTTTCTGATAAAAAATAACGAAACCTTGGATTTTAATCTAAAAATTTTATAATGAATTTGGATTTACTTTAATTAACCCCTTTCCAGAGCTCCACATAAACTCACTCTATATTAAACTTATATCTTCCTTAAGAACTTTGAATCATCACACTGGTTAGTCACCCTTAGTTTCAGTCTATATTTAGCATTTAGTTTACATAGTTCTTAGTTTTTAACAAAGTTTTTGTCTTTTCTACGAGATGACACACAGGCCGCACTCTTCCATCACACAACAGGCTCCAAGGAGCATACAGCACTCGGCGTCACTGGGTCCTTGCGGGGGTCCTGGCTGATTATAGCTGGGCTGCTCCACCACCACTACCGGTTGACTATAGACAGGCGACGGCATTATCACCTCCACGGGCGGGGGAGGTCCAATAACATTCACCACCTCCACGGGCGGTTGATAGTACGGATCGATCACGTCCACCTGGTAGCCTGGGTTGTACATCCTTTCGCCTTTAGTTTTGTACTAAGTGTATGTCTTAAAAGTACTAGCTAGTAACTAGTAAGTGGTCTAAACAGCTCGACTAAGTGAACGCAGCTCGGCAACGCGCTTTTTACTGAAACATCGAACGCAAAAACGGCTGACTGTTTGGTGGAAATATCTTACTCATTATTATCTAAAGCCGGGGAAGGCATTTGATCAATGCCCTGCCCTGATTACGAATTGGCGTACACGCAAATAACATTGAAAAAAGCAGGTACAGTGGAGTCATTTGGTTAAATACTATTATCCACAAAATTTTATATGAAATAATCAAAGATTAAGCAAAGAAATAGGTTAAAGAGAAACGTATACGTTCTTAAAAAAGAAACTGCAGTTTATAAAAGTGTATCTCCTAAGAGCTTAAACTAAAATAACTAATATTTTGTGTTCTCATCACATTTATTGTTATCTTATTTTGGCAAGAATTGACTTCCGTAAAATTGTAATACTGGTATTGCCATTTTAAGTAAACATGCTATGCCAAGTATAGCAACTATAGCAAGAGAAGCTTTCCACAAAAACAAATCTTGGAAAAACCGGTTTAAATGTTTTTCTCTCTCGGCTTAAGCTTTTAAATTTCCTAGTTTATATATTATATTTACTATTTCTAAATACAACTATTGAGAAAGCAGATAAATTTACCTAGATAATTAAATTTCATTACCACTGTTTTCCGGTATTCTGCGTATCACGTTGCGTATGAGTAATATTGTTTGAGCTTTAGATAAACGCTTTCGGCCAACTCGAGAGCGCAAGCCAAAAAATTATGTTAAATGAGCGGGCCAAAAACTTGAAAAAGAGCACTCGCATTTGAAGTCCAAGTCACTCCCACACAAAATGTCCCAGTTTGGGGACCCTCGTCAAAATATTTGGGGCGAGAACTCTGACGCTGCGGTTGCAATTCAAGCGCCAAGAGTCATAAAATCCTTTATCAAATGAGAGCAGCAGGCCCATGGAAACCGAAGTTGGCAGCACTCTTGACACATTTTCCGCTTTTATTGGCAAATTGAGAAACATATAAATAATAACTCGGAATGTGAACTAACTTTGAAATGATGTGGTGAGCATTTCCAGCCAGCTAAAGAAGGAAAAAAAAGGATTGCCCCCCTCTTTGAAAGCCATAAAACTACAAATTTTTGTGGGATGTTATTAAATTTGGCTTTTTATTATTATGTGGTCTTTTGGCATTGAGATTTATGTAAGACAATATGTTACGAGAGGGTCTGCCCAACGAAACAGCGTTATTTATACCAAATCGTAAAATTTTATTGCATGAAAAAACTGTGTTGAATTGTGCGACCGCCATAGACATAGAAAGTTAATTTAACGTAACGAATTAAGGCAACCGAGGTCCTTTGTTTGAGGGCTCCTTCCTTGCCTTGTTCACATTATGGTGCAGCAGCAACAACAATCGCCACAGCCACAGCAACAGGGGCAACAGGGGCAGCAACAGCAGCTGTTATCCTTTGGCGGAGGTGGCGGCGGAGGTGGTTGAACGATCACTGTGGTTGCCGGCTGAGGAGCTACTTGCACCACTTCCACGACACGCGTTCTGTGGTCCATTTTGATTTGTAGTTCGTAGTTTAATCGAAAGTCGACTTGTTGCACCGCACGCGTTTAGTTTGGCACTGGTCATTATGGTGGGATTGTGTTATTATAGCTGCGCTCTTTGCCAATCTCTGCCTCTTACGTTGTTAGTCTTATCTATAGATAAAAAGTAACTGGAACCCTTATCGGTTGCCAGCGATTTGTGTGAAGTACCCAGCGATTCGTTATGGTCTCACCTTGGTTGTCCAACAGGGTTTATGGCAAATCGATGGGATATTTATTACATGATTTGAATTTGATATAAACAAGGAAGTACAATACTTTAAATAACAATGCAACTTTTTCATGCATATAGAAATTTCATAAAATACTGATAACTTTTATCTGGTTTGTTTTATACAGTCTTATCTGAAGTTTATCTTGCTGGGAAACTAGAAGCTACGTCATTGGAATCTCACATTGCAAAGGTTTATAATATATTAAGTTCTCCCCTTTTAATTATAGTTTTTGAGCCGATTATAAAACCTATTAAACACTCAAATAACTAATCCGCTCTATTTAGATTTGAATTTTCCATTTATTTGTAGTAGAATTTTCACTTAAATTACACCCAAGTCCGGTTCCCCATCGGGGCTTATCAATTCAATGAGTCACATTGTACAAACTATAAAGGGGGAAACTTAAAAAACACTCTAGTGTCGCATAATGCCAAATGGGGCAGCTAATTATATATGCCACCTTATCTGAGAGCACTAACAACTATATCTATATCCGAGAACGCACTTTGCATTCGAAACCAGCCATCCAAGTGGCATCATCAGCATCAGGAGTCACATCAATTTCGGGCGAATAGTTCCTCGTTGCTATCATAAAACGGGGATCTCAATTAAAAATTTCACCCAACACCGCAGTTGGGGGGTTATAAGTTTGGTTTGGGCGTTACCTTGCTGAAATTAATAAAAATATATATATATTTTTGAGCGCCCTTCGTGCAATGGCGATGATAATTAGTGTACGTGATTCTATTTACTTCGACTGGGCCTGCCCATCACCCTACCCCCTAAAAACCTCAATGGATCCTGGTGGCATCCCTGAAAAGGGGTTGGTCGGAGGGTCCTTTAAGCCAGGGGAATGTCCCTGGGTGTGTGTGTGTTGGAGGGTGTAATATGATATGCGCGTAAAAAATATAGTACGTGTGTGCGTGACAATGGCAACAACGTGCGGCAGATCCCTAAAAGAAAAGGTTCAGGATGGGGGAACATCGGTTTTTGGGGGACGGTCGGCGAATGCTGGGTGTCAAAAATGAAACTACGCCTGCTCGGAATTTTAAAATAAGCTAATGAGTTTTTAGCTTGATGAAAGCAAGCAATAACAACAAAAACAACAGCAGTCGCAGAAGCTGAAGCAACAGAACACAGCCCCCATAAATATTTATAAACTTTCCCCTGTCATATAAATACAGGGTCATTAGTTGGCTTGCACACCTTTCACCAGGTCTCCCCGCTCTCCTACTTGAGGATAATAAAAACAAACTAGGCGGCAATTTGAATTCCTCTACTCTATATAAAACGGGCGACTAATAGAGTCGTTACTTTCCTCCAACTGGGAGGGCATAACCAAAGGGTTAATGGGGTTCACGCAGATTTATTGGTGGGTGGGAATGTTTAAAAGTGTGTTTAGGCGCGTTTAAAACAATAACTTATTACTGCAGTTAAAAGCTGAGAAAGGCATTACATAGTCCTAGGAACTAAGAAAATCCTATAAAGTACTACTTTTACTTAGTTACTAAGAGATCCAATGGCAGAATGCTTAAATTTGCGTATTTAAATTCATATATTAAAATCTCTTATTACCATTTTATGTTTTTCAAAAACGTAGTAGAGAAGACTTCTTAAAATAGAGTATACGCACTGTTGGTCCCACAACACCAATGGTTAGTTTAACTGAGGTCAGGACCAAGCCTATTAGCTTTGTTTCTACAAAAGCCCACGAAACATATAATATATATATATATATATATATATACAATACATATAAAAATGATAAAGCAAAATGGCGAAAAGTGGCAGTAAAAAATAAAATGCGCTGCCGCAAAAGTGCCATTTGTGGCATAAACACATGCGCGCCAAGAACTTTGATAAGACAAAAGCCGAGCCGAGGCCACCAAAAACCAGGTGGGCGATATGTGGGTGGATGGGTGGTTGGTATTAAAAAAAGGTGGCAAGTGACAGGTGAGGGAGCGAGGGCCGAAAAACTTTGCCAAGTATGGCGGCAGCAGGAAAGCCAGAGTGGAAATGTCCCAAAAATGAACTTCGTCGTTGGATCCTGCGACCGCAGTGTGCCACTAAATGCTGCCACTAAATGTGTGCCAAGTATTATTGCAGGTGCCAGGTGCCTATCTGAAAATATACACACACACACACACACATGTGTGTGTGTGTGTGCGGCTTCCTGTCGAAATTGCCCAAGGAGCTGCTCCTTGAGGTGTTCACCAAGCCAGGACTGGCATAAAATTAGCACAATAAAAACACATAAATGCGGCACAAAAACATGAAAATCCACTTGTTATAATTTAATCGAGTTGATAGAATTTTTACGACACCTTTCCTCAGCTTTTTCTTATACCTTTTTGTGAGTATGTGTGTGGGTGTGTGTGTGTGTGGATTGGTGTCTGCACGAGCCTTTGGTTAAAATGTGGGACAAAATAAAAGTTTTAATCACACGTCGCCATTTTATTGCTGGCCATGAAGATAGCAAATGCATTACAAACTTTACGTGGGATAAACTTTAGTTTAAATAGAAATGTTAAGTGCACAGTAATAAGTGAAATCACTTAGGCTTTATGCGTAAGTGGGTAACTTACTTAAGGTACTAAATATCTCAGATTTATGGAAAAAGTTTCAATAGAAATAAAAACCATTATTTTTAAGTTTTGCCAAGGCAAATTATATTTTTCTTACATTTTAGCAGCATTTAATCACCGATTGTAAATTTGTAAGGAAAAATTAAATAAATATTAAATAGTAAATGGGAAATTATTCCTGGGGTACACTATCCTGGGCGCTAACCAACGATTGAGTTGCCACAGATTCCGATTTGCTCACCCTACGACTTTGCATCATGGTGGCACGCTTGTTGATTGAATCCTCCGTGTTGCACATCATGCAGTTCTCTATGAAGAATATCAGTGGTTGAGATCTCAGGATATGGGCAATGGGTAGGGCATCATCCAGAGCTTCCCTGGTCTGCTCCAACTTGTGCAGAATGGCATTGGCCTTGACTATCTGGACAACGCTAAGGAACTTATACAGGTTGCTATTGCAGTGCTTACTCTCTGTGAATTTATAATATAAAATAAATAAATTAAGAGAAAGAAGTTTCTTACCCTTAATAGCCTTTCGGGCATTGAAAGTACACTCAGAATGACGTCCCTGGTCCAAGTATGACTGAGAAATCTGATGCAACAAATAGCATTTTTCAATGGAATACTTGGCAAAGTTCATTCGATCTTCCAGGCGTGCAGTCAATCTCCTATAAAGTTTAATTTAAGAGAATTTTAGATTTCATTTAAGTGACTAATTCTTACTTGGCTCTTAATGTTGCTGGATCATTGCCCTCTGGCTCTGGGGCGCGATCTCCAAATGTCAACGAAACGAAATCCTTAACTCTTTCAACTGGAAGACGCAGCAATCTAAGAATTGAATTACTTCCTTGGGGCGTAAAGCCTTTTGGCACTCGAAGTTGTTCGGCCAGGGCCAAGGCCATGGTATTGTACACCTCATTGAGGAACTCGAACTTCCAGCACATCACTCGAGCTGTCTTCAGAACTACATATGACCCCATTAGTTCTTCCACGAATTTGGCCAGTTGCTGGGGATTAACAAGCTGATATTGAATCATACCCTTGGAAGCTATGTAACCATTACTAACCTGCACCTTCTTGGCCTTTCGAAGAGCTCGGATCTCCTTCAGGGCCTTGTTCATGTTACGATGTGTCTGATACTGTACGCGAAACAGGTAGGCCTCACGGTATCTGTCCGACATGGCCTTATTGCGGTACTTCAGGTAGTTCACCAGGTACAGCGGGCAGCGGGACTGCAGCATTTTCTGCATACAGGAAAAAACCAGGATTAGGATCAAGTCCTCTGGACTTTCTCTACTAATCCTAGACTTACCATAAACTTACGGACAATATCGTATTGCTTGCCAGAGAGAAGTTGAAGGAAATAGGATGACTCCTTGCACTGGGACAGCAGGAGAGTGGGATTCTTGCAAAGCATCTTCATAAAGAGAACATCGATCCAGGAGTCGTTGATGTACGATTGATGGAAGATGTTAAAGGCACGCTTCCGGCGTGAAATCTCCATTGGGGATAGCAGCTCCTCGGGAACTTCTGGTATACTCTGAACATCACACTTGCCCTGCTCTTTAAGTATCTTCCACAGTGGTCGACTGTCGATTCTCTCCTTCTCCTTAATCAAGTCGTGCACAATGTTCACAGTCTTCAGATTCTTTGTAAAGAATTCCGACATCGCTTCACTGGTCACATCTTTGATCACTCCATCCACCTAGAAGGAAGATTTATTTCCATAAATCCTTTAACTTTTATGATTTATTATTATAAACTTACCACCAGCTGGCGCTGTAAAAAGCTGTTTTTCTTATTGCCGATAAAGATTCGCATATTATTGTGCATTTCGGCTTTGCTGTTTTCGAATTGGTTTAATTCATACAGCACATCGCAAATATCCAGGTTGATAATGGCCTTCTCCTCGCCATCCACCTTAAGGGCCAGCTCTATAAAATTCGAAAAAATTATTAAAAATAATATAGTAAAAGATCTAGGTAGGAGATCATAAAGCTACTCACTGGCTGCATCCCGACTGTCGGCCAGAGCACCCAGCATTTGGGCAGCCTTCCTCTTGCTCTGGCACCGCTTGTACAGGGTCATGTGATCCAAGGGCTCCAAGGCGAGCGCCTTATTCAGATAGTGCAGGGCGAAGTTCTCGCGGCGGCGCCGAGAGTAGTAGGTTCCCCAATCCCGATAAATATCGTGCAGCACCTCATCTGACCAGTCGATCTTCATCCATGGAGGCAATGCCTCGTCCAAATTCGCCTTGGGCATCTCCACAACCGACGTCATTTTGTTTTCTTGTAGGTATTAACTAGATCTAAGAGATGGACTGACGAAACAGCTAGGACCGATGGTCTGCTTAAAGACGTTTCGAAATTATGCAATGTGGAAAATCGTTCGTAAAGTGGTATTAAAACTTGCTTGATAATTTTACTAAAAATTTAACAAACGGTTTAAAATATTTGTGTACTGAATGTGATAGAGTGAGACAAAATTCTGATTGTAAAAGGTAAAAGGCAAAGGCAAACTGATTCTAAAAATTATAACTATGGGAATTATAAAGGCTTTCTAAGTGAGTCATTCCAAATATTATTTCATTAAAACTTTTATTTTGACCAGAGTTCTCAACTATTTCCAGCATTGTTTACCCAACTGTTTGAATACCGAGGCACAACTTATGGTTGCCCCATATTATTGTATCACAGAGAGCCTTCGTGTGTCGCAAATGGAAGTGGCAAGTGGAGGGGCGTCTCCGTTTCCTCTTCAACTTCGAATTCTGTCACACTTCTAATAAGCGCTTAAAAGCCACGCAAGGCTATCCAAAACCTGTGATTAAATGGGAAATGCGCGGGGGAAAAAAGTGGGTAAAACCAAAGGAAAAGCCACTGTGAAAATCTGACCGCAAGGCGAGTGACAGAAGTGGCACAGGCCACCCGATAATTGTGCATGCCCAGTGGCAGCCGAGCGAAAGAAATCACTTAAAAACTCGCACACCCACACACACACACTCACACATTACAGTGCCACCTATAAATTATGCTTCACACCCAGTTCAAATAGAAGTTGTAACAATGAAATTAAAGCCACCACAAAGGGCAATGATAAGTGCTGGACGGTGGAGAAGCCGGAGTGGGGTAAACAAGGGGCAACTCAACGCGATCATAAATCTAATGTGTAATAAATTTAAACAGCGAAATCATGCAAAAAGCCAAGGCAGGTCCTTTAGCTAAGCTCACGCACAGGACTTTCTCATTTTTTTTGTTATTTTTTTTGCCACGAAGGACCCGACAATGACTACACTTTAGCGGCAAATTTGTGCGCATTGTCGCCGTATTATTTGCTATTATTTATGCCTTTTCCACTATTTACTTCCTTTCTTAGCGCCCGCCACGCCATTTCCAGGGGGAGGTATGCAAAAGTGGCCACTCCTTGGCCAAAAGGACGCAAAACCCACACACATATATACACAAACAAGCACACACAAAGAAGGGGAAAATACACTGGGAAAACCACAATCCTCGCTGGCTGACACTTATGGCGTGCTAAGCATTTGCGCTCGAAGAGAGGCTCGCGTGGATTTTAAACATTTTCACACAACATTCTCATATTTAGACGTCGCCCATCAGCCAGCAGGAGTAGAATGGAAATTCGCTTGCCGGTGCCGGTTTTTTTTTTTTTTGGCCAACCCGGCGATAATGTAAGCCCCTTTAAGCCCGAAATAAAGGACGCGAAAAGAGGACGCGAATGCGACCGCACCAACAACATGCAACGGCACACGCGACCCCAAACGAAAATCTGTGAAATGTAATTGTTACCATGAAAGCAGGCCCAACTTGCCACCCACATGCCACTTCCCAACCATTGCAAGCCCATTGGGCAACCCAACTCCCCCTTTTGAGGGCATTTTAAGTAAGTTTCGCAGTTTGATAATCGCCGGGCCTCAGCCGCCAACGCTGATATACAAATTGGCTTTCGCAATGACTTTATATATTTTACGGGCTGCGGTCCTTTTTCGGGAAAAGCGTCCTTTCGACTTTTCCGTTTCGCATGTGAGCGCCGAACCCGGCAGCCCTCTGATGCGATTATAAAGGAAAACTGATGCAGATAAAATTAATTGAATTCAAAAAGCCAAGCCATTGGTCTTGCTCCTTCCGTTTTCTTGCCAACTCTGCCTGCACTTGGATATGTGTGCTGCCTGGCGAAATTTTCGCAATACTTTTCTGGGTCATGTCATGAGGAAAGTAAATAGTTACATGGCCACAAGGGCCTTAATCGAGAATTAAAATCAAGTTGTTCCATTCGCATGGTGGCTTATGCACTATACTTATCGCATTGGCCAAATTGACAAATTCAGACTTCGAAAGGCAGTAAATAAGAGTTTTTATACGGAAAAAACTTAATAAACCAAATATTCCAAGAACAAAAATTCTCTAGAACAGAAATGATCGATTTAGGGCTTTCCATAAAACCTAAAATTCTGCATAATTTTTGGCTATTTTGAGAGGTTTATCTTATCGTCTTTCCAGCAAACCTTTTATAAACCTTGAAATAGATTGCTCTTGAAAGATTACCTTAACCAGAAACCTTCAAGGGGTTCTTCATATTTTATCTTGGTGAATAAAGCTTTTCTAGCAGTTTTTCTACCACCATAAAAGCAGGAATAAAAGTTGAAATCGGTTACCTCTTTCTTTATAATCTCAAATTCCACATAACTGTTATTAAATATAAAGTTTAATCTTATCGGCATATATAAAACTAGACGCACCTGTCAAAAGAATGAGTTTGAAATAAAAGGTTTATCTTTATAACGAACCTTAGAGGGGTTTTCCTCACTTTATTTGCCATGACTAACTCAGCTTCGGGCATTTACAAGGTCTTACTCATCACCCTGGTCATCAAAATATGGCAATATTTGTACTAACAAACACGTATATCGATTAGCTAGCTATACCAAACAGATTAGATAGGTCTTATCTTTATAGGGGTAGAGGGTCTTGATAAGATTTCAATGGCCATAGAGATTTAGTTGCCTATAAGAGTTGGAGCCCATCGCACGTTCTTTGGAGTATAGAAAAATATTTGAAAAATGCCACCACCACACGGAGGACCTGGAGGACCGGGAGGTCATGGCCATGGAGGACCACCGCATCATGGTGGACCACCACATCATGGAGGTCATCATGGACCACCTCATCACCATGGACCAGGACGTCCCTGTTGCTGTTTCTGCACCATTTCATAAGAATTTAACAAGAAGAATTTACCAAAGAAAGTAGTTTAAGGATTCTCGTGCAATAAATACGAATGCCCCCAAGGAAGTTCTGTAACTGTGTTTGTGTGTGTGTGTCCGTCTATGTCGAAGGTTAATAAGCCGCCTAATTAGTGTAATCGAGTGCCTCGAGTGCTAAGCAATTAATGGCTGGCTAATCATTATGTGTCACCTCAAAACGCTTTAAAACCTCAAAAGCCGCTGCCTCATGGCGGTGGCTTTCCAATACAAGTGTACCACCAATGGTATCTGTGTGTTTTGTTGCGTGTCGGGAATGTGTGTATTTGTATGGGGGTGGTGGTGAAGGAGGAGGAGGAGGAGGAGGAGAGATCCTGGTGCCACACACACGCACTTGGCATTTAAGGTCGGACGACTGGTCGGTGGCTCTAATTTATAGCAGCCAAGTGGATGCCGAAGACCAGAAGACATACAAGTGCCATAAATTCTGGCAAAGGAACACATTATTTATACTGTCAACCGGTCCATATTTCGGATGGGAAATACTCCAGCCTAACCATAAATAAGTGCATTGCCTTTTGCCTGTGCTGCGAAATAAGTCTTCATTAGCGGTTAAAAGGCTGACTGGTTGACCCACAAAGCACTTCTCAATGCTGGTAAATCGGTTCTTCATTCACCGTTTCACCATTTCACCATTTCCCCATTCATATTGAGCTATAGCCCTAGCCGCAGAAATGCTGAAGAACCGCCGCATTAAAGCCGGAAATGCCCAAACAACAACAAGGAAAATGCTTAAAGTTCAAATTAAGCACAACAGCTGGCGAAAAATTGAATTGAAAGCAGTAGCAGGAGTAGAGTGGCAACAAAAGCAACAAAGAGTCGCTGCTCCCGGTCACCCAACCCCGAAAAACACCCAACCTCAACCCCGAACCCTAAAACTCAACTCAACCCAAGGCATTTTGCACGAGAAACAGGGAAAAAACAGTCAAGGGAAAACCTGAAAGGAAAAACCGAAGCACGCTTTTAGGCGATGGAGGCGCGATGTTAGCAATAACTTCGGGCCATCAGCTGGTAAAGAAAGAGCCTTAAAGAGAGTAAATAAAGCTAAAAACTGAGAGTGGAGAGAAACAATAAATTGAGATTTTCCCAACACACTGGCGCCACTTCACCCCATGGCGTTCATTTCGGGTACTATTACACACGCATGCGTTGCTATATCGAGTGAAATTTTGGCAAAAATCGGAGAGCGAAATCTAAGGTTTAGTTAGTGCCACGAACAAAGCTCAAGGGTTTGGATGTCAATAGTAGAACATTTTGATTGTTCTGCCCCAAAACGATAGCCATAAAATTTAAGACCTTGTCAAATTTTACTGTTTCGATTGCAAGTTATGACCGAAAACAGGTTTCTCAAGTGCTGATTAGGAACTGGGAATGTTTTAAGTTTGCCAACAAAGGTTGTCAATCAACGTACAACCTTAACACCTCCAAAGCTAAAATAAAATAGACACAAAAATAGCACAATAACTGTTATTTGATAACAGTTTAAGCCACAAAATACGTATAGAGTTAGCCCCCTTAATGACTGAAAGCAAAAAATATATTAGAAATATCATGTCATGATAAGTCTTTGAATGGCAAAGGATTAAAAATATCTATGAATAATAAAGGATTATAAAAATTGTTTTATTGCTGATTCCAGAACATTTCCATCTGAATAAGTATTAGTTACATTTCATATCCATCTTAGCAATCATTTTAAAGACAGATTTTCTTTACCAACACCTGAATTGTTTTCCTTGGAGACACTGCGTTAATGCCTCTTGTTGGCTCTTGTATACAATTTCCTGGCTTTATTTATTCAACATTCTTGATTGTTTTTTGCCTTTCCTGCTTCATTTCCTGTGCTTCACATTCACAATGATGCAAAGTGGCTGCCACTAAAGCTCTGGCATTATCCCGAAGTGTGTAATTACGTATGCTGCTAGGGCCTTGCCACGCCTCCACCTTAGACCCCCTTTTGCATAGTTTTTGTCTAGTTGCAGTGCATAAATTATGTTAGGCCAAAGTGCAAGCAAAGTTATGTAGACGGACTAGGTTTGTTGGAAAGATTAACGCCTTCGTTTTGTTTTTAATGCGGCACGGCACTCACATCGGATGGACTCTCATACATTCACATCCCACATAACTACATCCACACACACACACACACACACACATCCACTCGTCCGCATGGTGATGCTTATGCCACTAAGCCGTCTGCGAGGAGCAGGAAAAACAAACTGCAACGGAAGCTGCACCTCATCGTCGAGCTTTTCTCCCACTTTTCCACCGGCTCTGTCACTTTTGGGCGACTGTTTCATGGCGGCCACTTCAGTGCCAACTACAGCGACAATAATACCACCAAAGTAGAACTAAGTCACTGAGAAAAATGTGTATAGCAATGATATCCTTTTTCATTCATAAAACCTGTAGATATTATACACTTTACATTATAATCGAACTTACAGATTTATTAAAATTTCTTTATATAATTCAATGATTTCTTTGAGAACATCTGTTTCTCTCAGTGCACAGAGCGACGGATAAGGTGCGAAAACGAGTCGGGTGTGTGTGTCTCTTAATGATAATGATGACAGTCTGTCGCTGGCTGTACTGCACTTGCTCTTTATGCTGACGGTGTAGGACTCTCGGCGCGCTAGTTAAAGTTTTAATTTGGCATATTATAGTGGCTGAAGTGGCACAGCAGGCGCTCGTTAAATATGCCCACAGAACACATGGAATTAGAACCACAAAAACACTGCAAAAAAAAAAGAGAGAGAGACCTTCTTCAGCGACTTATGGCATTGAACTTAACCAAAAGGAAAGGGTCCTTGGAAGCTGCTGAGGTTCTTGGCCACAAGTGTGTGTATCGACATGCTCGAGTGGCTCAAAATGAATGGCTGAAGTGGCGCTAAAGCTTTAGAAATGCAACTGGCTGCAGATGGCATTTTATATGGATAATTCTGACTAACTAATTGTGGTACCACAGAACTGCAGATTGCTGACAGCTCTTAGGATTATTAAAGGTTATTAAATATTATGTTCTTTTGGTGGGAAGATTGAGTTTTAAGTACTTAATGGATTTATTTTACATTAAGATCTTCCATTTATATCATGCTTTCCTGACTTTCAAAGTTCAAGATCTCCCACTGTTTGTATCTGCTAATATTGGGCATCTAATTAGCTAACAGACTTAAGATAAGATTATCCAAACATTCAGCTGAACTCGAACTTTAACCATTTATAATGATAAGATAAAGATAACATTTTTCGTGACTACTCAAGCAATTTAAATTGGGATTCCCTTCCAGAAACATCTTAATCATTCGCGTAGTTAATGTAAATTTAATTTTATTGCTGGTAATAAAAGTAGAAAAACCACATTAGAACGATGCAAACTTACGGAGTAAATGTAGACAGATATTTTGGCAGAAAACAAACTCAAAGTCCAGGTTGGCTATTAATGTTGTTGCGGCTTTTTAAGCATTTCAATCCGGCCAGTGACTTGCTTTAAGCCATTTAGCAAATTATTCGCAACGTGCCTCAACCCTTGAATACAAAACGATCGAAAAAAAGGGGAAGGCGAAGGCGAAGGCGGAGCTGTAGACGAGAACAGACAGCCGTCGAAGGCGAATGGAAATTTTTTGGCAAAGCATTTTCAATTCAATCAAACGCCCCCACACACACACACACCCACACATGCTGGCATTTAAATAAAAATAAACAAGGCAAAGGAATACTTTGAAACACTTTTAAGCATCATTACATTAGCAAATTTCAACAATTTTCAAGGAGGGGTGGAGGGAGGATAGGGTGATTTCGATTGAGACGATGGATTCAGAACTTCGATAAAAGGACTTGGCATGCGAGCGTGTGGAGGCGTGGCCGGGGCAATAACAAAGAACATACACACAGTCACACTTGCAGAGCCAACGTGAAGTTCGCTCACTTCCGTTTCCGTTTTTCGGCATTTTCTAATTTCCATTTCCATTTGAACCTAAGAGAGAGACGTGGGAAATGTAATTATGGCCAAAGGAAAACCCGCAGAACCCTCTGACGTGAGCTGTTGGCCAGCTGTTGGTTTCGTGTAATTGTCGTTATAATAAATAACTTCAACTGTCCGACCCTTGACACTTGACATCAACTGCAACGGAAGCGGCAACAGGAGCGGCGGCAAAAAGAAAATCCCCAGCCCTGCATATGGGTGCATGCAAAGTGCCAGAAAAACATTTACCATTGCCGCATATTTCAAATGCGGACACATGTAAAAATGCTGAAGCGCTGATAAGGACATTAACATTTGGCCAAACACATAGACACGCGGAAAAGCAGCCAGGGTGCAGAGTTGGGCTCGGGGAAAGCTTCCTTCCGCATATGTGAAACATCAAAAAAAAAAACCGAACGGAGCGGTAAAACCTTCACCTCGTCGCTTTTGACACGCAAATTTATAACGGCAACGGCGGCAAACAAAAACTTACTGTGGCCAAAACATACAAGCCCCCAGCCCTCTCCAACCACCCATCAGGAAAACAAGAAAAAAATAAAGGAAAAGCACAAATTTTGAACGCATACAAATGCAATTTAAATTTACTTATTTAGAACCCCTGGGAATTTCAAATTATTTGCCTTTTCACGCAAATTTAGCGACCATTTTTCTCACAGAAATAAAACTCAGACAGGTGGGCGGGCAGCCTTCGTCAGCCCAGGAGTTTTCATAGTTTGGGGGGAGATTTTCCAAACCCCCCAACCATTTGACATGTGTACACGAGCTGATTCTTGGGCGCAACTTTTTCCAACTCTGAGTTCTGTTTTTTTTTTGCATGGGGGCGATTAGAAAATGGTGTACCCCCAGCAAAGAAAGTAACCCAAAAGTCTCTGACAAATGCTCTTTGGCCAGCATGTTGTTGCTTCTGTGGTGATTAATGACGTCGAAAGCTGAGCAGGATCTGCTCAGCGGGGATGCCGTGGCAGCTTAATTTAAAATGAAAATTGTACTTAATTTCTAGCTGAAGGGAAGGGGGCAGGTTGGGGCTTGTAGACTGATTATGCTCTTCATGGTTTTGCTTTGTGCTCTATAGGGAAAGCCATCCCTATGCCAGTTCTTGTTCATTAGATTTAAGCTTTAACAAATATTACATTTTTGTTTGGTTAATGATTCTGGAAAGTTGTAGCAGAAACAAACTGCTGGAATTTTGAGAAATTAATTCTGTTTATATTCAAAATTGGTTTGTATACAAACTCACCACATGAATTTCCTTTTTATATTTTAAGAAATTAAATCTTTTCCTTAAGAAATGGCTAAAAAGAATCCCAGAGTAAACGAATTACCACCTGTAAAAATCTTAAGAATGCTTTCAGCATTCGCTCTCCTTTAGAATCATTATTATGATAAAGTTTTAAGATTAAATTTCCTGACTTTTCCTCAGTCACAACAAACAATCTTTGCATGTGTAACGCCAGAGTTTATCACCCAAGTCGACTGTCCCCACCACAAGCAAATTGAATTAAGATTACCACACAAGGATTTCAAAGCATTTGCGGAGAAGTCAAACAAGCTTTAGTTTATTATTATTATTGCGTCAGAGCGAAAAGTTTCAGCCAGTCGTTGGTCAGAGGGTGGTGGGTGGTAGATGGTTGGGTGCCTGTGGGTTGGAAAATTTTCAATCGCAATCTTATGGTTTATTTCTTTTGCGCCAAAGCTACTTTATTTTGACAGCAGACAAACAAATGTCAGAATTGAAATTAAAAGGAAGGCAGCGACAGGCAGCAGCAGCAGTAGAAGCAGCAGCGGCAGTCAGTGGAAAACTTGTGAAAAACACGCCCGACTCAAAGAAGTAGACGAAGGTTTTACCAAAAGGCAAAGGGAATGGGATGGCTGCTTTGGCCACAGTACGCAATACCAATCAGAAACTCCGGATCCCGGCCACGACTCTGGATCCGACTCCAGCTCGATTCCATCACCCACACGCACTGCTTTTCTCGGCAGCTCGGCTTGCCTTAGCTTGGCTGACTTTCCTGCATTCCCGTATTTTCTTTTTGTACATTTCACACAGCGTGAAATTTTCTAAATGTCATTTTGCTGTCATCTCGTGGATAATAAGATTACAACTACGCTGAAATAATAGGATTCAAATGAAAAAACTTTGCCGTCGTCGTCTGTCTCCTTGCGCTTCTCAACTTTCAATACGCGCCGCCGCCACACCTCCAACACCACCATATAGATATATATCTCGGAATCTGAATCAGAATCCAGCTGTATGGGGCGTTGGTTCTTGGTGGGTTTAGCTTGGGATCTGCCTGCCACCTGGAATGGGGCATCAGCAGTGGAAAGTTTTTTGATAGAGTGCCGCGATAATGAGTGAGCTGGCAGCAACAACTCCAACTCCAACACCAAAGTCCGTCTGCGATTGTAATTCGAGCGACCTACGATCTCGAGACCTCTCGAGGCGTCCCTGTCTGTACCATGTCTGCGTTCTATTTGTATAATTGATTCGATTCCCCCTGGCCGGAGTGGGAGAAGGTGGTTTAATGAACCATGCTTTCATAGCTGGCCATAACTTCAGTTTGTCTACCTGGCCGCAGGCCACAAATAGACGAAAGTACTGGCCAAGATGGCAAAACAAAAAAAAAATGGTTAGCAAACCTGAGGAAATGGGAGAGATACAAAACAAACACCTTAAAACCAAAACAAAAAGGCAAAAACCATCAGCTGGGCTTAGATGGATCACTGCCCGGGGACATAAAGAGAAACCGGCTTTTATTGACCGCAAATTCGGGTATAAAAGCCGCGATCGAATCCCAAACAGACATCAGAACCCTACCAAACGTTCTAGCAAGTCATAGTTATTCTCAACATGAACTCCTACATTGTGATCGCTTTGAGTGCTCTGTTCGTGGCTCTGGCTGTTGCCTCGGTGAGTTTGAGAAGAAGTTGAGAATATCATTTGATATTCTAAAAGGAAATCCTTTGATTACTCAAAGATCTCTAAGATGGTTTTAAGCTAGAGTCTTATTATCCTTTATTTATTTTAGCCCATTGAACTGAACGAGGAGCAGAAGGCTCTGGCCAAGCAGCATGGTGAACAGTGTGCCGCTGAGCTGAACCTCACCGAGGAGGAGAAGGCCAAGGTCAAGGCCAAGGACTTCAAGAACCCCACCGAGAACATCAAGTGCTTTGCCAACTGCTTCTTCGAGAAGGTTGGAACCCTGAAGGACGGTGAGCTCCAGGAGGCTGTTGTCCTGGAGAAACTGGGCGCCTTCATTGGCGAGGAGAAGACCAAGGCTGCCCTGGAGAAGTGCCGATCCATCAAGGGTGAAAACAAGTGCGAGACCGCTGTGAAGTTGCACGAGTGCTTCGAGACCTTCAAGCCCGCTCCTGAGGTTAAGGCTTAAGGATGTTCCGGAGTTGAAGTTTGGCAAATTGTGATTCATTTTTAAAAGAGTAGTGGAAAATAACTTATAACTTTATATGATAAATGATTTGAATATATGCTTTGTCAGATGGAACTATCTGGTTTGTTTTTATCTCAGCTGAAAAATCAACTTGTAAACAAAAAAAAGAGCACCTGGTCTTGTTAACAGAACGAACAAATTATAAAATTGCTAAACTAATTACATTTCATTTTACCTTGTTCATAACAATTCAACAGATTTTAATTTTTGGCTTATCATTGTGTTCTTTTTTATTGTCTTTTTTTCTGCATTTTAAAACCTGATTTGAAAAAATAATAATTTCATTCTACCCAACGCAGGGTGAGAGTTAAAATTTGCCGCAGCTTAATTGGGGCTTTCGGGCCCTGTTCCGCGTAAACCGCTTATAATCCATATTCATGTGTATGCCAGGTCACTCGGCGTTTTCAATTTGCATAATGAAATGCATGAAGCCCCCAACCAGACAATTAACCATCGAGTGCGTTGAACACTTGAACATAAATTTATTGTTTTAAGCAGGAATGCCTATTACTAATTGAAAGGATCTCCCTTTTAGGAACTGAATCCCTTGACCACACATCTTTCGTAGTTATAGACAAAATCGCAGGTGGTAGCTGATTTGGTGGCTCCACAGCTATTAAGTAAGCTCTTCAGTTTGTCAATTGGGGCGCTGCTGAAACGTAGTTGGGCAAACTTAACGATCTTATCGGTATCCGGCTTGCCATCGGCTCCTAGTAATCCCAATTTCTTGTAGACACAGCTGTGATAGCACTTGACCGCCTCCGAGGGGTTGGCCACTTCCTTGTCTGTGGTCAGCAAATTGGCATCGCTGGCGGCTATATTCAGCTCCTTGATACAAGCCTGTTGGATTTGCTTGTAGGCTGCCATATCAGCAGAAGATTGACCCTATTTAAGTTGGTCAAAGGATTTTAGATATCCTTTTATGTAACAATATGGGTAAGACTCACCGCTGCCAATTCGCTGAGAGCGAAAATGAGGAAAACAACCACAAAAATGTTAGAATTCATCTTGTCAAAGCTATCTTCACTGAATAACTGAATTATGAATCCGAATAACGAGGCTTAAATACTTAAAAAATTGGTAAATTTCCGCTTAAGTTTACCCAATTAAGTTATTATTCTTATTAAAATTCAATTATTTGTATTTTATTCAATTTTTGGAATTATTTATTTATTTTTGTTGATTTTCAGCCAGCTGGCGTTAAATTTCCACTTTGAATGGTCATTCGGGTCAGTGAGCTCTAGTTTTAAACTAAATGGCTTTGTTTTTGGTTATTAGTTTGTATTACTTTGTCTTTTGTGTTGCCTTCATTTGATTTTTATTTAAATATTTAAACTTTCTGTACAGGATACGGTTACTTACGTTAAAAACTAAGCCAATGTTAGATTGAAAAGAATGCTCTGATATCTTAAAGATTAAAAAAAATTACTGTTGGTTTATAAAAAAAATTATGGAGACAGGAAAATTTTGTACATTGCTAACTTTTATAACTTATCGTTCAGCCCATAACTATGCTATAATCATTTTAAATATCTTTCTTAACACCTTAAGCCTAAGAGTGTGCTTTAATTTTTATTTATTTATTTGTTAACTGAAAAGATACAACTTAAAAGCAATTTAAATTCATTTAGAAATTTCAAAACAAATATAGATAAAATGCAGACATTTTATTTTAAAGTTTTTAACTTTCCACAGAATACAATATAATTATTCCTTCTAAATACATTTTAATTACTTGATTGGTTGATTTAGTTACTTTAAGCTGACACCATTAAAATACGACAAGCAAACATAAATATTTATCTACTCCGACTTGGTTGTGGTCCCTGTTTCGCCAGAGTGCTGGATACCATCGATAAAGTCATTGCCATCCGGTCCGAAACCCTCGCTCTCCGCCTCCGTTCGCTCAAGAATCTCGCGGATACGCTGCTCCGCCTCCAAGGTTTTCAGGTGATTGTAGCACAAGTGCAACTTGTAGGCTGCCTCGCATCGTGTTTTGCCCTGAAGATCGCTGCACTCCTTGATCTCGGCCTTCTCATGCTGGATGATCGTCTGGACCTGGTTCTTAAAAGCCTCCTCCAGCAGGACATTGTACCTGTCCAGATCCAGAGTTTCATATAGACAACTCACAAAACACTGCAGTGGCTCATTGTGCTTGAGATCGAGATAGGGCATCTGTGAGTTGCCATTAAAGTCCAGTTCTCCCAGGTTATTGACATCGCCAATAGATTGAACTGGGGTGGGGGCTACATCGTTATCATTGGTATAGTCACTATTCATCAGGCTCATGTGAAAGAGCTTCAGCTGTGACATCGAGATCTCGGTCTTTCGCATACAGGACCTCAGCATATCCTGACTAAGCTTGGTCTCTGTGCCGTTTGGAGGATCTGGAACCAGGGTTCTTGTCATGGACATGTTTAGCGAGACGGTCAAAGATCGGGTCTAAGGGTAAGAGTTAGCATTTTGTATTTAATCAATTTAATGTTTCCAAATATTTAAATATCAAAACCTTACCCATGCCACTGGCAGAAGATCGATGAGAGTCAGGCAAAGCAAGGACAGCAAATTGGCTTGAATATTCATCTAAGCTATTTTTTCCAAAAATGATTTATCAGTAACTTGTTAAAAAACTTTTGAACTATAGAGACTGTCGCGGCTTAACATACAGCTTTTATAGTGACATCTTTATGGATCCTATCTCCTTTTAAAATTGCTATTTAATTGTTGATCAAAACGATCGGGAAACCATTTTAATGCCTGACTGGCTTAGCCCATCAACCTGATCGTTTTCAGATACAGAGCGAATAATGTGCCATGCCTCAGTGCATTGCCAAAAGCATTTTCAGGTGAGAATTCAAATTAGCAACGGCAAAAACCCATCATTTCCAATATTTGATGTCCACGTTTAATGGCCTCTATAATTACGCAAAAAGAAAATGTTTTTCTGCAAAAAGTTTCAAGCTCAATTTGGTAGATGAATCTCTGACATATATTTAAGTGCCGTTCCATAAAAGTGTTTAAAAACTGGCGAGGCAATTACTATGAATATTTTCGGTATCTTTTGCTCTACTTTGTTTGCAATTTCAATTAAAATAATTATAGTAATTACTAACTAATTGGTTTTTGACAGTAATGAGAGTTTTTTAGCAAAATGTTTTGCAAAAAAAAGAAAGCATTCTATTAAATACCGATTAGATTATGGAAATGGTAATGTTACAAACAGGAAAACATTAATGATTACTATCAATGTTGTTTACTAAATATGCGTTTCACTTTCACTTAAAAAACAATCAATATTGGCCACTGCAGAACTACCATTGGTTTTATAATAGAATATCTATTGGGCTCTGTGAGTATTTTGCCAACAAATTCAATCACATTAGTTTCAACCGCACAGCAACTGGTTTACTTCAACTCCAACTTTCTTTTGGCTTTCTCTAATTGACGAACTTAATAACAGTCTTGTGCTGATAATCAGGAACACAACCGCAACATCCCCAGCCACATCACATATTGGTCTTTAAGATCAAAGCAACTCCACATGGACGGACAAAAAGCGAAAGACATCGTTGGATGAAAACAACAAGACCACCCTGCAGCGAAGTTTTTATAAAATTAAATTACATTAATGTGAGAACCGCAGGCTAACCCTGCCTCTCCCTCAAAGGAAACAAGAATCAACCCAACTCCAGCAATTTTCTTGGTCCTTGGCCATTGAAAGCCAACTAACATGGAGCAAGACAAGTCAAACAAGAGGGCCAAGACAATGGCTGATGTCGGGCATCAATGTGCTACCATCTCACGCGTGCTGGCTCCTTTGACAAGCCGCCATGGCTACGTCTACTTAAATGCATTAGCTCGCGGGGGTGGAATCTGTCGATTGGGCGGCTGCCTTTTTAATAGACATTAGTAAACGCATCAGTGATTGTTTGGCCAAAGCCAAAGCCAAAGCCAGAGTTCTTGTGCAGACAACTGCAACTGAAACGGATTCTAAATGGAAGTGACATGACAGTCGGAGCCAGACCATGGGCCCCAGGAAGTGACAAAATGAATTATGGACGCCGCCAAGTCCACCCCTGGCCAGGATCCAAAGTCCCCAATGGCATAGCCAAAGCTAAAGCCAAAGCAATTGTCCCTTGTTTACCACCTTCACCAAAGTTCAGCCGGTGGTAAATGCAATTGCGACACGTGCTCAATGAATGTTTAATGATTTGTTAATTGGATTTGGGCTTTTAAAAACACACGGTTCCCTGTGTCCAATTCATTTGCTCGACCCGCACGCATTTGTCCTCGTTCATCGCAGAATCCAGGATATGGGATCCCGTCTCTTTGTGCGCATAAGTTTGCCGTTGCTCTCATCAATATTTATGCCAAACATGAGCGGCCAAATGCCTCTGGGATCGGTGCTCTGGCCAAGGACTTAAGCCCCTGACGACGGTCTGACAGTGGTCCTTAATGATGGCCCACTGTTATGCAAATGGGTGCGTGGCCTGGTGGCTACCAAGCAAATGGGTCATACAGTGGAGCTTCCATTGACAAGTCGAATATGCATAAGTAATTATGTATAAGAATTTCGCTCTTAATTTCCTCTGAGAGACAAAAAGGGGGCGCGTGTCGTGAAGGGATGTCAAAGTTAAGAAAGTTATTCGGCTTTTGAAAGGTCCCAAAAATATGAGGATGGGAAGGTTTTACATCGTTTAACGTTGTAAGGTTTTACTCTAATTTTGTTAAAAAATATTCTCAGGTATTTAACGATTACCATTTGGGAGTTTTTACAAAGATTTTTTGTGTTCTGACAGTCTTTTCTATAAGTAATAAAATTGATCCTTTAAGTACCTAAAATCTGTCTAAAATTTCAAGTTTCAGGTCTCTTTTAAGCATGTTTGAACCTTTTAAAACTGTTCCCAAATCCAATATTTAAAATCAATTTAAAATTTTAGGTCATTTTATATTTTTACAAACTCTTCCCCAAAGACTTTTTCAACGAATTAACAGATCTTTGCATGATTTTCTCATGGATATACTTGGTTAAAACAAAATAGTTAACAGGTCACAGACATATTATCACACATAATAAATTCGCAAGACTTGGGCGCTTAGATGTGGGCGCGGTTCTTGTAGTAGCACTTAAATAGCTGGAAGGCTGTATCGCACTTATCAGCTCCCTTGATAGAATCACATTTAGCCTGAACAGCCTTCACGGCATCTTCGCCGGCCAAAGGTCCCAACTTGGCCAGAACTACATCAGGCTGGACCTCGCCATTGACCAAGAATCCAGTCTTCTCAAGGAAACAGTTGGCAAAGCACTTGACCTTGGAATCAGTATCCTCGAAGTTGCCATTTCGCAAGGCTAGCGCCTGATCCTTGGTGATGCCTTCCTGCTGGGCACAAAGGGCGCCATTGGCATGGGCAATTGCCTTCTGTTCATCGGACAGCTGGAGTTCCTATAAGATATATATGTATATAGAAATTTAACAATATAAACATCGTAGATCAAAAGATTTAACTCACGGCAGCGGTTATGGCCAAAACGGCGGACAGGACAATCAGGAACTTCATGCTGGAGATGTGGTTGGTAACCCTTTGGTATCGAAACTGTTTGCCTGATTCTGTTAACACCTGGCTTTTATACGATATTAAAGCCAGCTTCGCTAAAGTTTTGTTTTGATTATCTCGTTTTGTTTTCGCTCTACTCCGCTGATCACAGTGCATACGCAATTAAGTACATATACACGGCTATCGGTTAGTTTATTTAAATCGCCGCTTTAATGATTCTCCTCTGATGATTGTTTCTGGTCCAAGCCCCCTCCGTCTGATCTCGTTGATAACCCCATAGTGAGTCACTTTGATGTGCCATTTCAGCTTAAAGTTCAACCGATATTCCGCTCGGTAAATGAAGCAAGTTCATTGCGGTTCCCATTGTACCTATAATTGGCCTTAATGCCCCAGACCCGGGGCTCATTATAAGGCTAAAATAATTTGATTTCCATAATGTAAGTGCTAATTGTAATTTCAGATTTTCCAGCAATTAAAAAAATTTGTTGTTTTTTCTAAGGGTCAGACTGCTCAGCGAAGCGTCAACGTTAACAAATTTGATCTAACAATACTTGTACTCTCGTAACTCCCAAAACCCTAAACCTGAAATGCGATTAAGTTACGATCAGGTTTTTGTAGAGGTAATAAAATAAAAGTGCAGGCAAAGCATGATTAGGCAGTTCTCGAAGGGCTATAATAAGGTCAACAGCTTGATTCTCTCTCATTTAGGAATAAGTATAGAGGTAGTTGGGGAATATAGGGTAATAAGATGAAAAAATCCTTCTGTATCTGCAATGGATAACGTTTTTATGTATATATCCAACTTTCCTTGCTGACAGTCCTTGTTTTTTTGGTTTATTTTTGAAGGTGTTAAGCAAAAGTGCAAGCCAAGCATGAGTTGCCAGTTTTTAAGAGGCTATAAAAAGGTAAGAAACTTGATTCTCATTCGCTGAAGAACATTAAGTTAGGTGCTTAAAAATTAAGTAAGCCAAAAATATTCTGAAATGCAAAAAGAGTAAAAGAGCTTAATACCTAAAATTTTAAAGATATGTTCAATAATATTAATTTATTATTATCTTATACTAACAGCAGGCAAATATGCCTTTATTTAGGCGCAGTGATTGCCATATTTCATACTCTTACACTTCTTAGTTATTTAATAATTCTAACGTGATTAAAGCCAATTAAGCTCTTAAAAACCCATTTAAATTAGAACCAAAATAATTCCACAATTATATTGCATATTAATTCATATACTAGACAACGATCGCTTTGATTCATCAAACCAGTTTCAAGTTCATGATGTATTTTTTTTTCTCTTAACTCTTTCCATTGTTTTGCCGGTTTTGGCCAAAGTTTGAAATCAAGTGCCGGTATCAAAGTCTAAAAATCCAAACGAGTCTCAAAATCTCAAGTCCATGAAGCCGAACTGGTTTGCTGATTAATTTGTAGCCCAGATATGTCTGGCTGATTAATAATTAAAGTGACATTCAGATGATACGCCTGATGTATGTAGATTTATGGATAAGATTTAAGCGGAACCGTTTAAATGGGAGCCTAACTGGACGGAATTATTAAATTATGGTAATGGAAGGCTGTTACGTGCCAGAGAACTTTTCAGATCACATATATTTTGTCAATATTTATTGCTGACAGCATCGATAATTCATGACCTACTCAAACTATATAACCGTAAGTTAAGCCACGACTTTCGAGACAAAAGTTACTTGGTTGGAAAAGCTCGTAAATAGTTACGCACGCCAGGGAAAACAAAATGTCACAACGATTATTGCGGCCCATCGTCGCCTGCCAGAAGTAAAATATTTAAATAGTAATAAATTCATAATGTCATCGTGTATATAGTACGGCTCCTTTTAGGGTCCTCCCAACGATTTATAGACAATAATAACTGCAAACACGAAGCAGCGGGTGACTTCTCAAGTAGTTTGATTTCGAGCTTAAGGTATGGAGGCGAGGCCAGGCAGCTTTCTTTCCTTTCACCTGCTGGAAAAAAAGTTCACTCTCCCCTACAAAGTTAGGGGGAATAAAACTGTTTTATCGCAGACATGATAGGACGAGAGGGACCGTGCCATGTGGCATTCATACATATATATAATATAAATATTAAATACTATATGGCATGCCATAAAAATATAAACAGCACATAAAACGACAATGAAAAACAATGGCACACGTTAATAAATATATATATATATAACCGAGTATATATATGCTACCGAAGAGCTGGCAACGGCTAATGAAATGTCATCGGACCCGAGGGCTCAGCTCAACCGAACTGAACTGAAATGCAAATGTCACGCGAAAAACTATTTGACGACGACATTACGTTGACATAATAATAACCGCCGTCAACCGTTGAAGGACTCCTACACTCCCCCTACCTCCCCCAACCGGGTGGTTAACTTAAAGCCCAAAAGTTCTGGCAACACAGTCATATGCAAATTTTACGACCTTCTCATGACCAGTCATAAAAGTCAATTTATTAGCTATGAGAAATTAAAAAGAAAAACAATTAAATAAGTGCAAAGCGTGAATTTGTGATTAGGTTCGGAGCTTTGGGAGTTTCAAAGGCAGCAATTTGATTCTCTATGGAATAGTTGATAGATCTCTTTCAGTTGATAACGTTCTTGGTAGTAGTAATTAGGCCAAAAGATAACTTTCTCTTAGCTGGGGGAGAGCTCAAACTGGAAATTTATGGACTCAATCCTATAAAAAGTCCATTTATTTCTTTAGTTTCTTCTTAAGCCCCATTAACAATTATTTATTTTGATAACTACTTTGTAAACTATATTTATTACCATCGTTTTCTGTCCCATTTGTTATTTTATGCTAATTTACCGACTGATAAAAATCAATATTTTAAAGATAATAAATGCAACTGGTCCCCTATAATGGCAGCCTATGTAATTAATTATAACCAATGGCTAGCTAGGATCTTCTCCTGCCTCCTCCTCCGGAATCCGCAAGCCTAGCAAAAAGCTACAGAAATTCAATTAGGCTTATCCCGTGCAATAACAACAACAGCAGCAGCAACAACAACGACCAGACCCACAGAACAGCTGCAACACCTGCGCAATTAATTAGTGTTTGCCGCATTAATTTCAGAAAATAAAAAGAGATGGCCCAAAGGAAACCAAAGCCAGCAGAATGGGTTTTGGGATTGGTATAGGGATAGGCACCCTTTTGGGGTCAGAGCCCAGCGAGGCTAATAAATTCAGAAAGCCTTCTGCCCCGTCGTCCTTGGCTCTTGCACACAATTTGAGCAGAAAATTCTCAATGGGCCAGAAAGGCAATGAAACACTAAACCAGGTAAATCAAATAAAGCAAATTCAGTTAATTTAAATTATAATGAGAGCACGAGAAGGGGCGGGAGAATACTATTTACTGATAAAAAGATGAAACGAAGGCGGAAAACTTCTGTAAATATGTATAGTAGTGGGGTTATTTGAATTAGCCAAGTGGATTTTATACCACGAAGTCTCTTACAAAAATGTGGATTAAATCTAAAAATATTTCCCATATCTTTAAGTATTTATTTTAGATTTTTACATAACATTTGACGTACATGAAAAGTATGTTACCATCCATCGGATAATCTTTTCCCAGGACTAACATTAAATCTGAAAAAGATATCATAATTTCCACTTGTATAATTTGTTTATGATTATGGCCGCATGCAAAATAAAACGCATTTAAGTAATTAAGTCATAAAAAGTGTGGCGTGCTGGTTTAGGTTCTCCATAAAAACGCCGAATGCCTGCAATAAAATGCCAAAAACAAAACAATTAGGCAATTAAATGTCTTTCTATTACCAAAAATTTTCGTTTTGGTAACAAAACGCGTCATAAAATAGGCCAAAATGTACTCTGTTCGTGGGGGAACCCTAAAAATGGATCACAAATGGGGGAAATTATGTGAAAATGTCTGCTCTGGCCTTTTCTTTTCTTGGCATCTGCTGTTGTCTCTTCTCCCTCCCTCTCTCCGCCACCCCCTTTGATTTTCCCAATAAAAAGGCAAAAGAAAAAGGCGAATGCGTATGCGAGTGTTTTAGTAATATTTATTGAATTCCAGTTAACGAACCCAGAACCGATGGAGCGTTGGATAAGGGACAGTGTGCGAAACACAAAAGGGGGAAAAGTGGAAAAAGTGGTAGAGGAAGGAGCTGGGGCCAAGAGTCAAGCAAAGCTTACAAAGCTTTTCAACGCACATTTTCCATACCCCCGCCGCAGCTCCTCTACAACCCCCACAAATAGCCGGAAAATTCCGAGCTCTGCAAAATGAATTCTTTTGTGACAAGTTCAATTCGGTTGAGGGGCCAGTGCGGAGTTCATATGGAACTCCGAACCGAACTGTTGCTCCTCCTTCTGCTCCTTTTTTGCTCCTCCGAATCCTCCTTTTCCTGTCATATAACGCATCAAAGACAGCGGCCAGGTGAAGGAATGCAGTGCTCGTTCTGTAAGAAATTGGAAAAACCCCAACACAGGGGGAAGCCGCCAAAGCCGAAGCTGAAGCTGAAGCTGAACCTGAAGCCCGATGCTCGGAGCTCGAAGATGATGGCAAAAATGGAAAATCTCAAGCTGCGAAAATCAGCAGCAAAAGCGCTGCTTTCGTTCGCATTATTGTCATGATGCTGCTGTTGGATATTTTCCTGTGCGCTTGGAATTTTTAATAAACGTTAAAGTTTATAACATTCTCTGCGCTGCGTAATCTCTATGCCACATATCGACAACGAGCCACCAGCAGTAGCTTATCCCCGGAAAGAAAGCGACTTCTTGACTCCGAGAAAACTGCAACCGAAAAGGTAATCCAGGGCGGGCATAAAGAGTCTTACATAAAACCAACTAATTAGGCAAAGCATCTAATTAGAGACGCACAACAAGGACATGCGTCCTTTGTGCCGCCTCGTAAAAGCCTCCCCAAAGCCCCTAAATGACAGCGTCGCTAAAAATTCTTATCGCCGGCAACAAAATGAAGACCTCCCGCCCCGAAACCGACGAAAAATACAACGTCGTTGGCGAGGAAAAGTCGGGAAAAATTTATTGTGGCAAAGGTTAAAGACGGCGCCATGTTAAATGTGGAAATTGTTTAATCCACTCCAATCCAGCCCGGCAATTACAATTACAGGGCCCGTGGTCCGTGGTCAGCTGCATGAAATTGGAACTCTGTCCGAGGGACATGAGCCCAGATAAACTCGATGGGCGTGAGGAGACCCTGCTCCTGCTTCTGGAAAGTAGAAAAAAATGGAAACAAACCTGAAAATAAAGGAAAAACCTATTTGCATTTTATTTTCTTTGTAATTTGATGCTCGATTGCTTTTTTTAGTGTGTAATGAGGTGGCCTGCAAATGGGTTTAATATACACATTCCACTAACTCCAAGCTCTGGAAGCTCCAAAGTTAAAAAAGTTAAAAGAACTTATCCCACGCATGGTTGGTCCTTTTTATATTAGGGCGCCGCGGATGCCTCTTTAATGGAAATCTTGCAAAAAGTGTTTTACTCTATAATGAGTTTTATAATATATATATAATAGCAAATGTTCATGGAAACTAATAATTATCTAAAACAAAAATCAAAATGTAGAAAGAAACCCGAAATTGAAGTTCGGTTTTTGCAAATTTGGTTAGCTAAAAACGAGGCAACTTTGTTTCTACCCAATGATTCGTTTTTGAATTTTCCCATAGCCTAAAAATAACCAAATAATAAAGCACGGCCTGAGGCTTCCTTCGGAAATTCGGAAATTTCCATTCCGTGGCACGCACGAATGCATCATCATCATCGTCCACAATACCCAGAGAATATTTAGGCAACCTAAGAGGAAACTGACATTGCGACGTGCAAATTGATCAAAATAAATTGCATAAAATATTCCATTTACGTTCCCATTCCGAAAAGCGAAGGGATGGCCCGAAAATTATTGTAAGCATCTAATGCAATCAGAAGAAAGTGTTGCAACGCCTTGGGGCAAGATGGGGCCAAAACAATGCGCATCTAGCCATTAATTTGCCTCCCAACCGGGCCGGCCAGCGTTTCTGTTTTGAGTTATGCCCGGAATTTGTGATAAGCTATGCGGATTACGGACTTCTCTGGCTGCAAAATGCCAAGAAAACTGAGCTTTCTTTTCCGGAACTTGCAGAAGGAAAGTGGTTTTGGAATGTTCCCCAGAGGTAGAGAGAGAGAGAGAGGAGCAAAGAAAATAATTTTAGCATTCGGGCGGATAGCTCTTGTATGCTGTTAAAATAATTAGTGGGAAATGGCAAACCCCATACACCATACACCATCCAGGTGGAAAGCCAAAGTAAAGCTTGGCCGAGAGCAGGTCTGTTAAATTTGGAACTGCAACAAAAGAGTTGATTATTTACCCACGTGCACAAAGTTCTCCTCACGTGCACTTCCATATGCAAATACATCAGCCAGTCATTAAATTAATTAAAAAGAGCTCTTCCCGTGAAATGACTGTGCGAAAACTTTCATTTGCACCTGGCTCCGGTGAACCGAGTATTTTGTTCAGGTGTTTTCTGAACCATTTCAGGAGCCATCAATTAAATGCAAGCGCAGTCCCCGGCCTATATTTCAGTTTAAAGTGAGTTTCACAAACTAATAACAGATTTTCACACTTCTAAATTGATTACTTAAACAGAAAGCGATGAACTTGCAAGTTTTCAATACAATGTAATACAGATATTAAACCGAAATGTGCATTAATGCAAAATTACTATTTACTTGCAATTCTCACAAGTTAATTACTATTCAATGAAGTTCAGTGAATCCCATTATAGATTTCCATATAGGAAACTTTGCAATAACATTTATGGCAGCTTGATTAGGTAAACTTGCCCTGCAGCGCAATCATTACAGGCGTAAAAATAATCTTAAATGGTTACCCAAAGATGAGAACAACCCTTAGTTGGTTCCCCAGTTTCGCCCTTAGAAACTATCCCCAAAAAGTCATTCTTGGGGAGAGTTCAACGAACTTGCCCCCAAAACACGGGAGGAGAGTCCCCAAAGGAATTGCCCTCCATGTTCTGATACTGATGACTCTGTTTCTGTTTCAAATCCTCCCACATGTCATGGGGGCAGGCAATAAAGTGCGGCATAAGATTTACTAATAACAATGATATAGGACATTCCCGCAAATGAGTATATAATAAAGCTAATGGAAAATTATGGAGACTGGGGCTTGAAGTTGGAAAGATACTTTTCGGGGTTTTGGGGTTTCGGGTAGTGATATAAAACAAACATACTGGCCATTTAATGGGAGGCCTTTCAGATTATTTTGCACTCCTGCATTCCGCAATAACAAATTGATTAAATTTCACACTGAAAAATGAGTGTCGAGTGTTGAATTTATGGCAAAGCAATTTGGGCTTATCACTTGGCATTCTCGGAATGGCATTCCATCTGCAAATGTTTATTACCTGACATACTCGTGTTTTGCCAAACTAAACCTTTTCCTTGAAATGGGTTTGGGTCAAGACTTAATGGTCTATTAAGGTGTTTGGCCGTCAATTTAAATGCAATTAAATGAAAAGTCTTGCCATTCTTTATGACTGCAGTAGACTGATAGGCTGGGAGGGGGTTCAATTAAAATAAATTAAATTGCCAAAAAGAGTGGCTCGTAAAAATGATAAACGCATTAAATGGGTGCTGGCCGTCATCAATAAATGCCTTCCACTGACATTTATTTATGAACGCTAATAACTTTTAAAGCTTTTCATTTAACTCAAATACAAATGGCCAAAGCCAACCGTTTGATGGTGGAAAAGATGGCGGGACGAGTCTGACATGTTTTGGCGGTTCTTTTACACACACCAACACACACACACACACACTTTTGGCCACAAACACACAGGAACACAGAAAATGTCAACTTTTCGCCAACCGAAAATTGTCAAATGCACAGAATTTCAAGCGCCATACATTTATGTTGATGCGGTTTAAAAGTTTTTTAATTACATTTGCAGGAGACCCGCACCACCCACCGAGCAACAAAAAAAACAACGACAACAGCTAGATCCTTTGGTCCACCCATCCGAAAAACACCCATCAACATCCACACACTCGCCTCATTCAGAGTATATATTTTACGCTTTATGATTGTGTTTGGCTGGGAAAATGTTTAAAACTCATTTAATTTGAAACAAATTAGAAACGATAACACACAAAAGTGAGTCGTTGTTCTTGTTGCAAGAGCGATACTCCTTCCCTGTCGCATTTTCTACTTACTCATTTTCCACACTTTTTTTTTACCACCTATTTTGATGCTAATGGTGTGTGTTTTTGGGAAGAGTGCATTTTAATTATGTTTATTTTAACAAAATTAAGTGCTTAGTGGCTATGTTAACTTGTTGAGGAAGTTAGACTAACTAATGTTTATGATTTACTGCAGTTACAAGAGGATGTCTATGACTATCTAGATAGCTAGTATTTTAAAGACCCATAGTAATAATCATCAACTGATGACTTTCGAAAAGCGTTTCTTGCATAACCATTAACCCATTTAGACTTTCATTTTCAGCACCCATTCTCACATGCTCGTTTCCTTGTCACTTGCTTGTCAATCATCCATCAAAGCCCCAACAGAAGCCCATCAAGACTATGAAAACTCTGGGCTACTTATCTTCACATTGAATGCTCGCTGAAAACAGAAAACAGAAACTAATTGCTAAAACGCCTTGATGCCTGTGTAAGCAGTGGGGATTATGTAAAGACACACAGGCCAGGAAGAATCCTATCTCTAACCCTGAATCATAAAAATGTTTAGACAACAAACTGAGCCTGAGCTGGGTCATCATTCATTTGGCCCAAGTAAATATGGCCAGGCCAACGAGTGAATGCTATCAGTTTTTTGGGATCTAGTTTGACCCAAATATGCACAGTGTGGGTGATAGCTTGGAGCTGGGGGAGGCTCAATCCCTGCTGACTTAGGATAGTTTAAAGCCACAACGAAAATTATTAATAAACTGCAAAGCTCAATCTTTGCTAAGTGATAGCTGCCAAGATATTTGAACCTGACACCGCGAGATTAAAACTGCAAGTCAGCATGGCGAGGTTGTTTCTCCACAAACAAAGGCTAGTGGAATGAGAACCAGTAACTATATATGGTAATCAGATTTAGGTCTATAGTTTGTCATCTCTTTAACTTGTTTTCAGGAAATTTCCTCAATAAAGTATCAAAAAGGATTAGTATATGAATTCTTAATAACTGAACTAGGACTACTGACCTAAAGTACAACAACAATTATAAACGAACCGTGAAGCCTTTAAAAGCTTTGTCTTGACTCAATGAAGCAAAAAAGATATACAAACCTGGTACCAAGAAAAAAAACGCAAGTCAGCATGTCGAAGTTGTTTCTCCAGCAAACCAAGTAAGAGGAAAGGGAACCATTAAGACTATATGATAATACGAATCAGGGCTAAAGTTCATCCTCTCGAATCGTATAAATGCTGACTGCCCGAGACAATCAGGCATCAGTTTCGATTCCAAGAGATTCTAAACAGCATTCAATCAGCATCATGAAGGTATTCCTTGCTTTTGCCGCTTTTGTCGCCGCTCTGTCCTTCGCAGCTGGCGTGGTAAGTAAACATCTGGATATCCTGGATCCTGAATGAAACCAATTCCTTTCTGCAGGAGATCTCAGAGGCCCAGATCGCCGAGGTTAGGCAGAGGGCCAAGGCTTGCGCCGATCAGGAGGGTATCACCAAGGTCCAGGCCATTGCCCTGCGTGCCGGCAACTTCGAGGACACCGATCCCAAGGTTAAGTGCTTCGCCAACTGTTTCTTGGAGCAGAGCGGCCTGGTGGCCAACGGTCAGATCCAGCCCGCTGCTGTTCTAGCCAAGCTGGGCCCCATCGCCGGCGAAGCCAAGATCAGGGAGGTCCAGGCCAAGTGTGATTCCATCCAAGGAGCCGACAAGTGCGACACCAGCTACCAGCTCTACAAGTGCTACTACGAGAACCGCGCTCAAATCTAAATCATGATATGTAACAGGGATTTTTTTTTTGGTTTAATAAAGACAACATAATTTACTGAACTGCAAAATAATATGTTTTAAAATAGGCACATTTAAAGAGCAGAGGCTAGAGGCATTCATATACATATCCTGTTATCAACTGTAAAAGCCCTACAACGGTGACCAAGGGGTTACAGGGGGTATGTCATAATGCTTTTCTTCAGAATTTAATTTAATAAAGTAAGGAAATTCACTAATAGGCGTACCTAAAAAGCGTATTAAGTATATGACTTACAAAGGGCAGCCAGAACAGAATCTGTCATTGTATTCTTTGCGTCCGTCAAATCAGTAAGATGAATGTGCTGGTGTTTTGTATAATTTCAGCTTTCTTTTGGCTTCAAGTCGATTCTTTGGTAAGTAAGCTATGCAATTTGAAATTATTTTAATTAGCAAGTCAACTTCCAGACTTATCTTGAAAAAGTACAAACCTGCATAAAAAGAGAGGGAGCTACCAAGGATCAGGCCGCTGACCTAGCGCTCGGCGACTTCAAGGACACCGATCGCAAGGTGAAGTGCTTCGCCAACTGTTTCTTAGAAGAGAGCGGAGTAGTGGCCAATGGCCAGATCAAACCAGATGCTGTTCTGGCCAAACTGGGTCCAATCGCAGGCGAAGCCAAGGTCAAGAAGGTGCAGGCCAAGTGCGATTCGATCAAGGGAGCCGACAAGTGCGACACTAGCTACCTGTTGTACAAATGCTACAACGAGAACCGAGCTAAATTCTAAGTTTTTGGTTAAAAAATAAAATCATCTAAAAATATTTTGTTATAGGTTAACTTAAAATATACCTTAAAAACATTAATGAGTGTGAAATTAATTCGGAAAGAAATAAAAAATCAAAACTGTGCCATCCAAGATGATGATAAGTGCGAAGAGGCTTTAGAAAGTTTAAGTCCTACTTGCTCTTTTGAAAAGTTTCCTTATAACTACTCAGCATTCCTTTCCTATTTTACATATGATTCCATTTTAGTATCTCAATAAAAATTGCATAACAAAGGTATGGCTTACATTATGTGTGACCTCTCAAATATTTATATTTGCAATTTTTACGTGACCGAAAATATCCCCTGTAACTAATTCAGTGATAAGGTAATATGATTATATGAACCCCTTTAAAAGGGTGAAATTAATTTAGAAAAGGCGTGCAACTGCACGATCAAAAATATTTATTTAAGACGAATCCACAGCAGCTGAACTCAGTATATAACCACACTCTGCGAAATGAAGGCGTTTATGCTAATATGTCTTTTTGGCATCGTAGCTCTGACAACTTGCTTTGTAAGTTAAAAATTTCTCCAACATTACCCTTACTAATTTCTCAATATTATCAGCCGACGGATAAAGATGAAGAACTTATAAAAAAATGTGTACTCCAAGAGAAAGTAACAAAGGAGCAGTTTATTAGTTCTCTAAAATCCAGAGTTATATCCCCCGATCGTAATGTCAAGTGCGCTGTACAATGTTTTATGAGCCAATCAGATCTATTCAAAAAGCGCGTTGAACAGTTTAAAAAGATGGGCCGGTCCGAAACCTGTAGTTCCATCGAAGATGCCGATAAGTGCGAGCAGGGCTTTAAGCAGCTTATGTGCTTCATGAAAATTTAAATAGTTATAATTTAAACTTAAAAAATTTTAAATATAATTATTTTATTTCCTTGTGCTTCGATCAAGTAGTCTCTGGAATTTGGGTTTATGACACAATCTTCTTTTGCTCTCCAGTTGGAATAGAAAACTCGGGTCGGTAGCACGTTGCTTCCTCAATATTTTTCGAATCAAAATTTAGTTTAAAAATTATTTTTTTGGGTTGAAATTTAATTTGTTCATTACAATGTCGAGTTATAGAAGATTATACCGGGTAGAGCGTCTCATGAATCTGCTCAAGGCCAGTCGCGGAATGAATAGTACGGGCAGACAACCAATCTTCGATGTGGAAACCAGAAAGGACTTTGTGCAGCGCGTGATAAACAGTGATCGACCGGTGGTTGTGGATTTCCACGCCAGGTGAGCATGCCTCCAAGTCTGATGGATTTAAGGACCTTGATTCATTCTTCTTAATCCCTTAGTTGGTGCTGTCCTTGCAAGGCTCTGGCTCCCCGCTTAGAGAACATTGTCTCGGAGCAAGGCGGCCGGGTACGTTTGGCTCGCGTCGATATCGATGAGCATGGGGAACTGGCCCTTGACTACAATGTGGCCTCCGTTCCATCACTGGTAGTCATTAGCAACGGCAAGGTGGTCAACCGTATGGTCGGTCTGCAGACCAGCGAATACATCCGCAAGTGGCTCAACAAGGTGATGTCCCATTCGTCTGCGGATGTTGAGAAGTAGATCAGGATGTCAATGGAGAGTGGAATCACGTTTTTGTAGGCTCGCTTAAAGTTTGATTAAATCATTTTCACGGCAACACGTTTTTAATTAATTTTCAATTTAACAAGCTCGTCTGCTGTTGCGTCACCTACAGTTGCATGCACAGTGGAAAGTAATTTAGTTCTTTGAATATATTCTTAAATTCTTAGATTCGAGAAATCCAAGGAAATTATTTAACTCTCTTAATTTATAGAAACTCACTACTTTACAACAAAACATTTACAACTACACTTCGAAGTTTTAAAAATGTCTCCAGGGATTTTCGCTCAGTGTGCTCCTGTTCAAATAGCTTCAGCTCGTGGCTCCCAGTGGCGGCAATTCAAAATGCAAACAAAGTCTCGTCTCGTGCTCAAACAATTTGCGGATCGGCGCCGTCCGACAAAGGGGGTGGGTACTGTTAGCAACAAATACAAAACGTATCTCGATTGTTTGCGTATTTGTTTGCCAAAAACAACAAACTTACCCGCTCTCCATGTGTGTGTGTGTGTACCTTTGTTGTATATCCTGGCTGTCTAGGCGATGGCAATGCATGGGGGAATGTCTCTAATTGATTTTGGTAATGTTGCTTTTTAATGAAGTGTCACAAATGTGCTGCTTGCGATGATGCATGTGGTGTCGAGCAGCATTTAACTCCCTCGGGAGCACAAAAGAAACACAATTAATGCCGTCTGCAGTCGGTGGTAAATTAATTATAGAAACGAAATAAACTCTCTACATGGAGAAAAAAAGATCATATTTGTTTTTAATTAAAATGTTCAAAAGAAAAGATATTTTAGAAATTATTAAACTTTAATCGGAACATACATAGATGAGATTCTAAGAGACTGATCTTTTAATAACTATCAATATGAATAGCCGTTAAAGAATGCCGCTCCTGCGAAATGGGTCACCAAGACCGCCAGCGTCACCAAGGCCCATTAGCTCAGTTGGTTAGAGCGTCGTGCTAATAACGCGAAGGTCGCGGGTTCGATCCCCTCATGGGCCACTAATACTTTTTTATTTTCCAAACTTAAAAATATCCAAGATTGATTAAAATAAGAAAGGAATTATTAATATTTAACCATAACATACAACTTTTTATATTTCAACAAAGAACATCTAGAAAAAGTAATCATAATTTTTAGAATTTTAATTCTATTGAAAAACAAGATGGCGTCAGTAAGGCCCATTAGCTCAGTTGGTTAGAGCGTCGTGCTAATAACGCGAAGGTCGCGGGTTCGATCCCCTCATGGGCCATCATAATTTTTTATTCTTCAAACTTATATGTTATGCAAAATAGACTAAAATTTTAGAGAAATTATTATTTAACCATAACTTAACAATTTTTATATTTTAGCATAGAACACCTAGAAAAATTGATCACATATTTTTTTAAAATTTAAATTCTATTCAAAAACAAGATGGCGTCAGCGAGGCCCATTAGCTCAGTTGGTTAGAGCGTCGTGCTAATAACGCGAAGGTCGCGGGTTCGATCCCCTCATGGGCCACTAAATCCTTTTTTTTCATTTTCCTTTTATATTCGTTTATTTAGAAAAAGAAAAGGTCCCTCCAATATTGGTAGATAATTAACCGACCCTGATATATGTAAAATAAATTTAAATTATTATTTTTTTTTTTTTCAAAAAATAATTTAGAGCTAAAAACAAGATGGCGTCAACAAGGCCCATTAGCTCAGTTGGTTAGAGCGTCGTGCTAATAACGCGAAGGTCGCGGGTTCGATCCCCTCATGGGCCATGATCAATCTTTTTGGGATATTTCCATTTATTTTACTTTCCAAAGGAAATCACATGCAACAATTAAAATTGTTAAGTAAGAGTGTTGACAATGTACAGTCCGCAGTGAAGTTTGTTTGTGCCGGACCCACAAAATAGATTTGCCGCAATGTAATTGAGTATTTGTATTCAATTAAGACTTATTTCAATATTTGCATAAATTCAGCAGACAACCAGCAGACAGGAGAGACGCATCGAGTCGAGTGGTATGCAGTCCAGTTGAGTCCTCGAGCGGATATAAATCCCTCATATGCTCGGGCATAATTTGGTGAAACGAAACTTGGACAAACAGTAGAGATTCGAGAGGATGGAGTGAGGATGCTCTTCAGCGTGGACAACACCAGGACGAAAATCTCCGGGATGTCGACTAGGTGTGGGTGCACATGTGTACACACTGTCTGATTTTGACAGCCCGCATAAAGCGAGCAAAGGACTCTCTGGTCCTCGCTGCCTAGGTAAACACTCGGAGAAAGGGCCAGCTAAATGCATTACCCCTGTGGACCCATCGTTCTCCATTTCGGCAGTTTGGGGAAATGGCGACACAAACTGCAACAAATATTAATTTTTATTATGCAAACATTGCTTTAATTACATTATTTTTGCGTATACGCCCGGCAAACAAACTTTCCCCACTTCACGTGTGTGGCCAGCTCTTCAATTCCCCTCATCGCCCTGATCAATCACTGGAAAATTGGATTTTCATATGTGCTGCACTCCCACTCTCTCTCTCTTTCTCTCTCTGAGTGTGTGTGTCTTTCTCCATCTCTTTCGGACAGAGTTTATGCAATTTCCGATACCCTCCGTTGCCTTGTGGCGGCAAAAATCAATCGGTACCCCTCCCACAAACAGCAGCCGCCCATCGTTTGACAAGCACAAACACAAACTTAATCAGTACCCATGGATTGGTCAATAATTTTTAAATACAAATCAAGTGTTAACTGGGGGCTTAATTGTGGGTTGCCCATCGAACAGGCAATAAAAAACCGAACTCACCTATTGGCAATCGTCTCGTTGGCTTTTTATTTGAGAAAATTTTAAATTTGTTAAAAGCTTACGCAAAAAAAAAATTGTTTGTTAATTTAATTCGATGTTTTTTGTGGGGCTTTATTGGATATGTTTTTTGGTTTGTTGAATAAAAACTTCAGTTTTTGTTAGTAAATAAAATGTTAAAGCACATGCCAAACGTTTGTCTAATTATTATGAAAATGTTGATAATTTTAAAAAGGATTTAAATTTATCTATCTATCTATTTTAAGGTAAAATCTATTGTAAATTATTCATGTACGTATTTTTCTGATTTTTCAAGAACGCCCCTTGGTGAAGTATATGCCGTCTAAACCAAAAATCGGAACTAGGAGAAACCACAAATACTCCCCAAAACACTGACAACGTGGGATTTTAACACTCGCCAGCTGACTGCGTCGAGCTCTGCTCTATTCAGGCGGAACCCTTTTGCTGTCTCAATAGAAAAGCTGGGGGAGAGTTAGGGCGAATGTGGAGAAAATGTGTCCAGTTTATTTTTTTTCTCTCTCTCTTCTTGCTTCCTTTACCGTCTATCGAATACGTCGGATGCCGGGCTGACGGAAATTCGATTTATTTTCATCAATATTCAATGTCATTGCAACATCTTCGTGGGGCAAAACCAAAAGCGTACATCAAGCATGTCAGCCAGCAACAACAACAACGAGACAAAACCAACACAATCCGCAAGGAGGAAAACCTCACCTAACCCCTTCAGTCCAATGGAAATGGACTTTGTGGCTTGAAACTTTTGGGGGTTTTGCTATTAAAATTTGATGCGCATGTTGTTGTCTCGTTGTCGCAGCTGCACGTGCAGCAGGCAGTGGACAAACCAAAAGGTAGGTACCAACCTACCCACTTACCTATCTACCAAGCCAACGTATGACATCCCCCAAAAGTACTCCACTCCACCCTTCCCAGGTGAAAATGTCGCAGAGTCTAGCGCAGTTTTTGGCCATTTGTCCATGGGGGTTGTGCCAAACTTGACGCGCTCTGCCATTGCATATTTAAACAAATTTATTTGCAATTTAGTGTTTGCGGTTGGTTTCCATTGGCCCGCACAAACCTCCTCTAAAAATTTAACCCATCGGAATGGTTTTGTGCAATTTCATGGCGCGCTTTTAAGTGGCGCGAAAATTAATTAAAATTTTTGCCATTTATTGACAAATATGTCAATTTGATTGGTGAATGAGGATGGTAACTCTCCGCCTGGCTGAGCATATTTAGTAACATTTTTCACATCAAATCAAAATTTCAAACCAAATTTCCAAAAAGTTGTCGAGCACCTTTAAAGGAAAGATTTCAGAAACTTTAATGTCCAGCATCCTGGACTCGTACCCTCGTAGCCATATCGCATCTCTTAGCAATGCAAACAGAAGCTGCAAAAACCAACAGAGTCGCACTCGGTGAGTGGTTATTAAAGCCGTATCTGTGCCAGTGGGCAAAAAATGGATGCAGAGCCTCAGCAGATGTGTGGGAGCGAGCTGCAAGTTCGCGATAAGAGAGGTGCCTCCACCACCGTCACGGCACCGAGTAAATACATAATCCACGTGAGCTCAGGATCCGGTGACACGCATTGTGGTGTGGGCGAAAAGCAATTCCAATTAACAAAATCTTAAAGATATATCCAACTTACTCCTATTGATATAGTTAAATTAAAAACTTTAAAAATAACTAGAATATATTTTGTATAGTAACTATACCATGGTGTTTAACAAAAAATTAAGGGTCCAAAAAAACTCACACATACGAATTTACATTTTAGCAGAGCAAGGTTTCGATCCTCGGACCTCTGGGTTATGGGCCCAGCACGCTTCCACTGCGCCACTCTGCTTGTGGAATCCCGAGCGATATGTTGAATATGAGTAAACAGGGTTAAATAAACGTTATGAGTGGACATGCCTTTACTTGTAAAATTCATATTGTTCCTTAAAATAAGGGTGAATATAAGAATGAAGTTTTCCTGTTAGAAAATGTATTATTTTGGAAAGTATTTGGGGAAAAAATACTGTTAGTTATTTATTCTAAGACAGTTATCCTACCTTCTCTGGTTAATTTTAATTAGCATTTAAATTAATATTCTTCTCTTTTAATTTTCTTCTGTTATTTCACCATTATATGGAACTATTTCATTTATTACTTCAAATGTCAATCAGAACTCACCTAAATGCACGTTCACTCATAATAGACGTTGTGCTTAAGGAATTCCAAGCAGAGTGGCGCAGTGGAAGCGTGCTGGGCCCAT